ATTTGAATAGTTGATTTAAAAAATATATATTTATATTTACCTTTAGTTAGACAGAGTATACCATTTTAATTCATGGCTTAGCCAGCTTATGTATATTGAACACCTGTAATGCACCAAGAATTTGCCTACTCTATTATCAAGTCGCTGCTACGAAAAAGATGATGAAATCGCAAACACACTCAGAAAAAGCAATACGTTGCGTATACGTAACCGTTGAATTATTGCGCATACGAGGTGTTTGCACAATTTGCCACGTGATTTCCCATTAATTAAATGCGTTTGCAAATTATGAAATAAGTAAAAATACATTAAAACAGAGTAGGCCCAGACGTCAAAAGAAGCGAAAAGTAAAAAATAAAATTAAAATGGGATTCTCCGCCAGGTTGTGTTGTGCTGGTGAAATGCACCCGCTTCGCTTAAAGGTCAAACGACATCCTCATCATCGTGTTGATGATGACGATGATGATGATGGGAAAACGCTGCTGCCTGGGCGAGGTCGACGTCGCTGTTTTCTCTGTCTGCGGTTTGTTTCAGTTTTTATTTTGCCTCTTTGCATTTAGCTCATTCATTTGCATTCCCTGCCACTGCCTCTCGATTTGCCCGTTTTTCTGTCTGTTGCCGTGCGCAGTCTAGCTGCAAACAAAAAAGCAAAAAATGAAAAAAGGGTTGGCCTCTCACACGGGAATCAAAGAAAGGGATAAAAATGCTGACGGGTGGTGGCGAAAGAGCGGGCTTTCCTACTTTTCATCTTCTGCGCCAGACAACATTGTAATATTTTGCACAAGCTAGACCAAAAAAAATGTTGCCAAAAACAAATCAGCAAATATATAAATAAATAGAAACCCGATTGCAGACGAAGCTGACGTCAGCTGATGATGCTTCTGCTTTTACATCCTATATATTGGCTGTAGAAATCCCTTTTGCACCAATGCTAAACAAAATATTACACAAGTTGGGAAATTAAATCTAAACAGCCTTATATATCTATCCATTATTATATTTTTTCTTTTCAAGTTCAATATCAACCCAATAGTTTATGATTATATTTTTGTTTACGTTTGGATATCTGAAACCAGTTTTGATTCCCCCGATAAGTTCTACTTTTACGATTTCAGCTAAATTAAGCTAAATTTTCCATTTGATCCTAAACTGCTTAAATGTTTCTATTATTATTCTCTTTGTTTTTTGTTCGCGCATTATTAATTTTCTTATAAAATATTTAGTAGTGGTTAAGAAATTCTTTCTTGTAGTTTAATTCCCCTAAAACCTAGAAAACACTTTCTGTAGAAATCGCGTTTTAGTCCAACGCTATAAATCGCTTTTAAATTGCATCAAAAAATCACACAAGATGCCGAGAAAATCTAAACTTTAAACAACAAAGGCACACAATTTAACTGGATTTTTCAAGTTCAATGTCACCTCAATGTATTATGATTGTTAAAGCTTATGATAATGCCTCTAGTTAGTTTATGTACCCGCGTAGAATGCGACGATCCTCGCACAACCTTGACATCCAATCAAGGTGTCAATGGCATTGCCTTCAAATGTTTTTTTCGGGCCGGTATACCGGGCATTTTGGGGCTTTTCGGGGGTGGGACCAAGTGCTGCACTTGACTGTCATTAGCGCGGTGATCATAATCATTGAATTAATAACTTTTGTTGTGCGCCAGAGCGGGAAGGAAAGTTGATCGAAAGTGATCTTGTTTCGCGGCTTGAATCGCCCACTTAATCAAATGCAATTGTCATCACCGCAAAAGGACAGAGATTTGATTATGTAGAGACATTATCATCTCCCTCGGTCAAGGAACCTATTCAATTTGGATGGGTATGGAGATGGAGATAGTGAGAGATCAAAACAAGTTTCCCCACGATTTGTAAGCTTGCCCACTGTCCGTTCAATGTCCGTTCCACTATTAAAATAGCCATGAAAGCCGTTTGGTCGTGGCTATGGATCTCTGAAAGTGTTAGCCAACTGTCTGATCTGTCTGATTTGTCTGGTCGGGCTGGTCCGATTTGATGTGGTTTGGCCGGGTGCGAGGTCTGTTGTATACGAGTATATGCCGTCTGGGGTCTGCCATTCGCCGACTTGCGTCTGGTGTGATCAATTCAAATATTGAATCTGTATTCGCTCAATTATTTTAGCACTTTTTCAATAGTTGGCGGGCACACGTGCGTCAGAGGTCCAATCAAATAGAAACCGGCGGACAGTTGAACTGTTGCCAGGTAATCCTCTCTCTCTCTCTCTTTCCCCGCCCCGGTTTTATAGGGTATCAGGTGATTTGTCTAGCTGTACACCTGTATATATACATATTTTTTTTTTTAATGCATGTTTTGTGCGCGGCTCCAGACGTAAACGAAGTCCCCAGACGTGCTCAATCATTTCACCTGCGATAAAAATAATTGCAACAACCTGAAACGAGCGGCACAATTAAAAAATACAAAATAACGATCAAACTGGGGAGTGATCCAACTAACAATTACCCTATGAAAGCGGCTTTAGTCCCGCTGACTAGTTTTAACAATGTTAAGCTTTTATGATCTTAATGGCATATTAAAATACAACTATAAACGTAAGTTTATTAAGGCGCGTAAACTTAAAAATTATCATTAAAAATAACACGCTCATCAAAATACAAGTATAAGACTGTCTAGAAACTTTGACTAAAAAAATAAATTTATAGACTTAAATTTATGGAAATAGAACATGATTTGATGAAAATAATGATATGAAACTTCAGCAATTCTTAACTTAGGACAATTTAAATTTTTAGAATAATAATTAAGGCTTATATCTTTGACCTTGGCGATAATAATTGGGCTGAAAGTATAGGAAAATAGATGTCGACATCAGCTTTTGTCACGCTCCACAGTTCGTGGTACAGGGTAGCTGAGCAGGCAAAAATAATTATCAGAAAACAAAGGCCATAAAAGGCAGACCGAAAGCAAATGACAGCCAGCCAGGTTGAGTCACCTGAGACGGTTGAATCCGAGTGACAGCGGCTGGGAATGCGCAAAAGTCTAAAGTGCCACTTGTTGTTGTACCTGTTAATATAAGTTTTCTTTTTTTTTGTCGCTGTCTCGCCTGGGTTGAAGTCAGACGGAGAAAGAGTCATAGAAATTGTTGACATATTTTAATTGGTTGCCGTTGTTTTGTGCCTTTTCGCTACGTACATTTTAATTTCAGTTGATTAACTCTTGGCTTGTCTGGCATTTGTTGGCTAATTCGTTCATGTCTGGCTGGCTTCTTTTTGTTTTCGCATTTAATATATGTATGTACATTTTCTCTTTTTTTTCCACCGTCAGAAATCATAAATTAATGAAAATCCAAATATTTATGTTTTCATTCACCGATCGTGGGGAGACAAAGATAGAAACGTTTACATAGCTGCGTCATTTTTGCCCTGATGAAATTGCGCTGCGGATCGGTGTTGTTTTTGTAACCGTATATCACAGAGACAGAGCGTCATGATATTATTCACTATATGTAGTTGTAAAATCTTGTTGCGCAAGCTTTTCGCGTGTATCTGTATCTGAATCTGTATCCGTATCTGTGAGTTTGCTCTGTTACAGGGTCTGCGACCGCGACGGGTGGCCTCCGTCTGTCTGCCATTCTATCAGCAGTGTCTGGCCCGGCGATATCGTCTATATAATACCCATTACTAATCAAAGCGTTTTGGCTTTTGTAATGGCGATTTAAAAATAGCCCTAGATATTGAGGGGATTTTTTTTGTGAAAGCTTGTAATGCTACCAAAATAGAACTTGTAGTGCAAAAGCTGTAAGTGTAAGATTTAACCATGACAACCACTTTTGGCACAGTACTGCGACAATTGGATTATTTTTTTGTGGTCTGACACAGTTGAATTGGAATTACATTGTTAATATTTTATAAATATTAAAAAGTGAAATAATTTCTTTGCGTATTAAAATGATCTGAATATATCTCTGTGATCTTAAATGTTCTTAGACAAACAAATTAAGCGAAATATAATACTTTTATTTGATCATTAAACAAGCAATTCAAAAGTGTGCCTTATCTAAGAAATCCTTCACCTACTTTCCCCATTTTACAGGGTACTTCATGTGTCAATCAATCCCTTAAATGGTTTTTTTTTTATCGAACTGCTGTCCGCCTACATTTGCTGGCCCGCTCGCACTTACTACCGCCCGATCGCGCATGTGTGCTTGTATCACTTAAGTCGTCTGCTATCTAGTCTAGACGCAGTCGCCCGTATATACGTGATGTAGGCATATATGTATGCCTATCCGTCCGTAGTCGTAGACATTGCGCGGGGTCTTTCTACAGGGCGAATTCGGCGAGAGAGTCGAGAAGTCGAGAACGCCGCGCACCTTGTAGATACGGATACAAATACGTGCGAGTATCTACGAAATACAACAACTGGGCGACAGTTGCACGGGCTTTGCTCTTTTTTTTACATTTTGTTGCTCTTTCATTGTTATTTGGTCGGTGCTTTGGGCCGCATTCGATTTGTTTCATTTATTTATAGTAATTAAAAGCGTTCGTGAGTGGGAATAAGTTATTCAAATTAAACATCAAAAAAACCGAAAATTAAGATCGAATTTATAAGTTGTAAGTAAGTGAATGGGAAATGGAATGCTGTAGAAAACTTTGGAGGACATTCAATTGAAGGGGCTTTTTGTATAAAAATCAGTTATAAATATGACTGGAGTTGCAAAAGTAATGCAACATTTTAGATAAAACATAAAAATATATTTGAATGGTTTAAAATAAATTCAGGTTCAATAAAAATATTTTTAATTAGGATACATTATCCTCTTATTACAAAGAACTTTAAATTAACTTTTCAGCTTAAATAAAAGACTACTTACTTTCAAGTTAGTAAAGTGGTATTTATATAATGAGAAAATGATATAGCTTTATATATTACCAATTACTTACTGCTTATACATACATATAACCGATAGACGCACATTCAAAGCCCACGACTTATATTTATTTTCCGCTTTGCAATCGTTTTAGGTCGCTTGTTGCTAATCGCCATTAGTTTATCCGTGTGCCTGGCCTGTGGCAGTGTGTTGGTGGCCGCGATTGCCCTGCGCCGCTCAGCCAACGCAACAGCAACACTAGCAGCAGCAGCAGCAGCAACAGCAGCAACATCGACAGGAGCAACATCAACCGCAGCAACAACGCGCAGGATACGGCACAAACGTCGCTCGTCGCAACGACGGCGCAGCAACAACAGCGCGGTGCTGTCATCTGGGATTGGGATTGGCATCGGGATCGGGCTTGGACTGGAAACCAACTCGGCTCTGGCCCTGCCACTGGCAACACCATCAACATCGGGCTCCACAGCAGCGGATCACACGGCTATAGCAGCGGCAGCAACAACAGCAACAGTATCGACAGCAGCAGCAGCAACAGAAACAACAACACTTTTGCCAAACGAGCCGGAACATTCTGTACCCGTAAGTACTTACCCTTCGCATTAGAAAAAGTAAAGGAAAAGAAAAACAAGCGCAAGAAAATACGGGAAAGAAAAAGAAAAGAAAAAGTTTTGCAACTACCGATGGGTGGGAAATTGGGTGGCATGTCTGTCTCTAAAATGCACTCGTCGAAATTGTATAGGTAAATTAGAATGGATACGATTTTGTAGAATATTTTCTATGTAACATTTAACTAAATAGCCAAAATAATTAATAACTCGCTAACTCTTATATTCAAAGTAAATTTTCTTAAAGCATCTTAATTATATTTTTAAACATTTCAAAGTTTATCAAAACTTACAAAAGGTATGACTCAATATCTTCACAAAGGAATTTTCTTATATAAAAATATCATTGCCTACTTTCAGGTTTTTTAGCGACATTACAAAGATTTTTGTCTTAAATGTTTCGCTAAAAATAATTTGGTAATTTAAATGTACATTACAGTTATTACAAATAAGAAGCAAACAGGCAAAGGCAAAAATATGTTTATTACCAATACGTGCTGGGATTTCACTATGTTGCTTAGTTTACTAATTACCTCTTTAGCCCACTTAAAATAAATATGAGCTTTTCTCTCAGTGCGGCCATAAAAGCAAGGGGACACGTGTCGTAAGTTTCCTCTTTTCCATCTTTTTTCTGCACTGCCTTTTGCCTTTTGCGTTTTCCCTTCGCTCTTGCCAATATCCTATGCAGTCCCTTTTCGGCGAAATGGAGAGACAGTAGCAGACAGAAAGAGTGGGGAATGTGGGCGGAAAAGTGAGAGAGAGCCTGCTCATCGCTCACTCTGCCAATGCAGTAAAAGTCCTTGAAAAGTGGGAGTGAATGGGCGGGAAAGCTGGGTGGCAGCAGCATGGCAGACAAACCTAAATTGCTTTCGTCGCCGCCCACGCAAAAAGTCTTATGTAACTGCGCCTACACGGAATTATTCCCTTTACAGCTGCTACCACATCTCCAGCCCCTATTTTTTCGTGTGTATTCCGGAGTGTTATGCAATGTTTGTTAAATGCACAGCACGTCCTTTTTTTTGGAGGGGTCTCCATTTGGTGCCTGTATATGTACGTCTTTATTATAATGGACAAGACATATTCAATTTCTTTATCAGCGCTTTGCTTTGTCTATTTGCCCGACTTTAAATGCTTTCCATTTGTCTACATATTTTATTTATCTCCGCATTTGGTTATTGAATTTGCGCTAGACGCCGGCTTTAACCTTGAGGCCATGGGATTTAATTCAACGACAGAAAAAGACACTCTTCAAAATAAAAAACGCCGCCCCCACACGTGTGGATTTTGTGGATTTTACGTCGTGGGCTCATTGGGCCAAAGTTGTTAAGGCGGCTTTTCAGATTGTGGTTTTAAGATTTCCCAGAACGAGGGGCTGGTGATGGGGGAGTGCCGGTCCGTGTGACGCCCATTACAAAAGATTAAAGTCGGCAACTTTGACAAATTGTTACTCGCTTTGCTGACATCTTCCAGTGCGCATTTGCTCATTTTTCTCCACATCTAGAATCTTGTTTCATATTTTTTCTCGTGTTTAATTTGCCCACGCCAAATCAACATTATGAATAAAACACATCAGGTACGGTGGGGACTCAATAAATACAGACGTGATTGACGACAAATTATTATAATCATTCAAATCAAGCAAATTGCAAACAAATACTGGCATAATCAACTTATTGAAGCGAAATTATTTAAAGAATCGTTAAGAATATATTGATGAACATTCGTGTTCCTTTAAACCAATTCATTTTTGTACGTATTCTTCTCTAAAAGTAGGCAATAAAATATTTCTTTTGCATGTAAAATTTTTTTTCTTAATGAATGAAAGAGTTTTAGTATTAGTTTAAAATATAAAAGTTAGAAATTAAACTATTTGGGATTACCCCAGAAATATATATATCAAACTGATCATTCCTTTTTTGGGATTCCTGCGACGTACAAAGTAGTTCTAAAGTAATAATGATAAAAATCTAAAATTAGACAATTATTGCAAAGAGATAATGATAAGACGGAGAAGATTTATGGGGTGTCTTGAACAATAAAACCCTAAATAGAAGGAGAAGCGGGTTTTTACTGTAGCGCGAACATAATAAATGAATGTTTTCCCAACATTGTTCAGCCACTCTGAACCATGGGCAAAAAGCCATTTAGAAGCCCAAGATGCGGATGGTGGCATGGAAATGGAAGTGGATATGGATATGGATATGGAAGCGGTGGAGACAAGTGCGTGGGCGGGATGGTTGGGCGGCTGTGACGGCGGGAAATGCGAAACACAATTGCCGCTAATAACCCAAGGCGTTTAGCAGAAGCAGAGGGAAAAGGCAGCGACGTCGGCAGCGGCGTTGTGTTTTAATCGAATTTTATTTGCCGCCGTTAGCCAATGAATAATTCAAATTGATTATTAAAATGTGCGCATGTGTTGGAGTGTGTGAATTTCTGCACACTTATACATACCATGTAGGCGTCGACATTAGTAGCATTAGGATGTGGATGTGGATGTGTGAGAGCGGAGCGGGCTTTCATTAAAACCGTTATCTATGCCAGACGCACGCACCAGACGCAGACGTGCATAAATTAATTACAATTACACACAGCGCGTGAGAGCGAAACACGCACGCACACACATACAGCTGTTCCTGTTTCGGAACTTTTTGGCGGCCTCCTAATATTATTACTAATACTTTATCAAAATATCCCAATTTAAAATCTTATATATTTTTGGAGATTGATTTTATTTTACAACTGGAAAAATCTCTCCGAAAACCAAATTTATTCACTTATTGATTTGAGAACTTTCAAATCAATCTTTTATAATTAGCTTTATTCTTCCAAATTTAAAAAAAAAAAAATTTTTAAATATCAATTCATGTCGTGGAGCAAACCAAGTATCAGAAAGGTAATTTTAAGCTTCGGGTAGTTGCAAAATTTTGGGTTGGCCTAAACAAACACAGAGAAAGTCGGAAACTTTCAAGGATTCGAACAAGGCCAAAAGCAAACAGAAGCGGGCAGAGAACAACAACAAGGGTTTACCCTCAATATTATGTCACTTTACTTTATTCCCAAAAAAAAAGAACCAAAAAGATAAACAACAACAAGCGACAGATGCAGAGCAGTCGGGAAAAGCATGTTAACTTATGGCTGGGCTTAGGCCAACAAAAACAATAACAATAACAAAAACAAAGACAGACATTTCTCTTACGTCAGAGTCTGGCCCACACACACAAATGCACAAACGGAAAATGAGGTTATTGCCAATCCCGTCTGCAATGCTCGAGTAAACATTTTAACCTAATTTTTTTTGCCATGGGAGCGGGGTTTGGGGGGTTTGTGATGTGTTTGCGAGCGGAGACGCCCCAGACAATGTGATGCGATATTTTCTGATGCCTCAGATTACCCAAAAAGAAGGAAAAGATTGCAAAAAGAGTACAACAGTCTAACGTCAATAATGCAAACTTTGCATCTGCCATATCACAAATATTATTCAAAGCTCCCTACAGTTCAGGTATCATTGTGAAATTCAGTTTTTTGGTTATTTTGTGCATTATTACTAAACACCTTAAGGAAACTTTTAAAAATGGTTATAAGCTTTAGTTTCTAGCTAAACTAACATTTATAAAATATATAAATTCAGCATTTTTTTCAATTTTTTTAAGAGTTTTAAAATGGTCATAATTTATCATTATCATTTTTAAGTTCATTCGCACCGAGTTTATAGATTGCCTTTTTGCACCAGAATGGTGTTGAAGATTACTTGTTGGTATACCAACTTTATGGGCCTTAAAATGGTAATAATCTTGGTACCCAGAAAAAAATATTTGTCTATTAAAACTTAAAAACTTAGCGCAAGCAAATAAATGAATTAATTAATTATGAACTTATGAAAGGGTTTAAGGGTTGATAACCTTTTCTTCCTTATTACAAAGTATAATTGAAAATAAAATATAAGCATTAACTTGAAGTAGTAAACACAAATACTCAATAATATTTGTACTACAAATAATCAATGTTGTAAATCCAAGAGATATACAATTAGAAGCCACGAATTAAAATGATGTAAAACAATGAAATTCAAGTTAAATAAATTGGCATGTACAATCAAATTAAAAGAAACATGCTCTTGCAGAGCTCTGACCACAAAGTTTCACAAGTTTTTAATTTACAAAATTGCATTTGCATATTTGTATAATTTACAAAGTCTGCGGCCGCCGACGTCGCCAAAAATATTCGTGCTCTATTATTTGTTGTTCGCGCAGAGATTTGTCATTTCTTTCATGCTCGCTTGCACACATCAATCGCCAGGTGGTGCGGTGGGGCATGGGGGTTAAAGACACAAAAAAAGAGATAGAAAAAACCGAGAAAAAGGTGGCCAACGGAATGTGGAACATGTTGAGTAATGCGAATCGCTTTAGTAGAGAATAGTCATGGTGTAAAAATCGTGTATAAGGGAGATTTCAAATTATTACTGAACACTTAAAATAAAAAGATATTTATTTATGAAATGAAAAACATTTAAAAAGAACCGCACAAAAGAACATGATGCTCTTTAAACCCAATTTGAATTTCAGTTTAACTTTCAATACGAGGGTCGCCAAAAAAGCGATCGGAAACAGAGCTGGGCACATTATTCTTATCGATATATCGCTATAAATAAATGGTTGAAAAAGAGAGGTGCCAACACTCGGTTTTACAAATTATTTAAAAAAAGAAGCTGTAGGAAACAATTTAACAAAGACTAGAAAGATAAAATAATATAAATTCAGAACATTGCCCTATATTTCGTAACATTTTTTGTTATAGACATATACTAACATAAACTATTTAGTATTGAAAGCCATACTTATAAGGATACCAGAAATTTCAAAATGCAGTAGTTATTTTAAAGAAAATTTATAAAAACTTATCTATATGATAACTTCTCAAAGGATTGATCTTTAATGATCGTAATTGAATTCAACAAGTGACGTCACAATAATTATCTGCTGCGCCACCTTCTCTCATTTTTCCTCTCTCTGGCTTCCTAATTCGCTCCTTGTCTCTTAAGAACTTTTTGGCATTTTTTATTGAACTGAATTTACCGCTATGACGAAGAATAAAAAAGCACTCAAAACGGGAAATCAAACAACCAACGCTCGTAAGAAACCTGTAAAACTAAGTCTGGCCGATTTCCACAATAATCTGGATCAAAAATTAAATCCGAAGAAGAATAGCGAACAGATGGACTCGGCAAATTGGGAATGTTTTCACAAAAATGGTGTATTTGTTGGCGGAACTCGCGGTCGCGGCGTTTGTTGTGACAAGCTTCCCATTATTGCCAAAAATGTTGGAGATCCTACGGAACAGAATGTTACCAATAAATCAGCAAAGAATGTGGCTGAGCCAAAGAAAATACGGGGAAATCTGGATGATCAGAAGATTCCTAAGCAAAATGGGAATGCTAATGGTCGTCTCATAAACCAAAGAAATCAACGGGAAACTGGAAAACCCAACGAAGCTAGGATATCAGTATCGAGGACACCAAATCCCTATAATGCTTCTCATAGTCGGCCCAAGACCCTAGTGCGATCCACTCCACGGATTCCCACGCCTCCAAGATATGTGCCCCAAGAACTGAAGGAAGTGGATCGCATGACTTCAGCTGATTTCCGGCATGATTACGGTGCTCATCTGGATAATATGCGAACCCGGCAGAAGGGACAACAGCACATGCTTTTCTTTCAATCGGCTATACATCAGAATCGACACCTCTTCAAGGGGCATACGATTTTGGTGCTTTGCTGTGGAACCGCAACTTTGGCCCTCATGGCAGCCAAAATGGGAGCCAAAAGAGTTTACGCCGTGGATTACTCCAAGGTCACTTGTTATGCGGAGCTGGTGGTGCGCGAAAATCGCTATGAATCCATCATCAAGGTCTTCCACGGACGCATGAAGGATCTGAAACTACCGGGGAAAGTTGATGGTATCATATGCAACTGGATGGGTCACTGTTTACTCTACGAATCGGAGATAGTGGAGGTTCTTGAGGCACGTGATCGCTGGCTGAAGAAGGGCGGATTCATCCTACCCGATCTGGGATCGCTTTATCTCGTGGCTTCCGAGGAGCACATGCTGAAGAACGATCGATGCAATTGGTGGAGGAGTGTCTACGGATTCAACATGAATGCCATGCGTCGATATGCCCTGGCTGAACCACGCTATGCCAAAACGACCGGCGAGAAACTGTTGACCCTGGCTCATCGCATTTTAAGCATTGATTTAAAAAAAGCTAAAATAGAAGACCTTTTTATAGATCGAAATATAAGATTGAAGGTCAATAGAGAAGGCTATCTCGAGTGCTTTCTCCTCTTTTTCGATGTGGAATTCAGCAGTTCCCATATACCCATCAAGATGAGCTGCAATCCGTGCATTAGGTTGCCTTACAAATCGCTTTGGTTGCAAACCGTACTTTTTGTCGAACAGCCGTTTATAATGCGCAGTAACCTTCACTACACGGGTAACCTGAAATTCAAACCACTGAAACCAAATAACTTTAAGGAAATGGAAATACGTATTGAGTTCTACGAGGGTCTCGAATATGATGACTTATGTACTCGTCGGGTGGCCAAGAGATGGCTAATGTTGGAGCACTTTCAGACATTCAGTGAGGTGGAGAGCTGTCAGGATGAGCAGGGGGAGAATGGTGGCCACGATTTTTAGGTCTTGTCTAAGATTATTAATTGCACCCTTTTAATTAACTGTATACTAATGGTCTTTTCTCCTTTTTTGCAGATGCTATCGGTACAGACGGCCGGCTGCGCGGGAATGGAGCGGCTCGGCGTTCCGACCCGCACATCTTTGAGCACACCACCCGATGATAGGTAAGTCGAGGTCCCTGTTTTAAGGGCTTAAATGTAGTTGAAAACCTTGGATAGTTAAAAAGAAAAAATCAAATTCGTTGTGTTCCTAAAACAGCTTTTAACCTCCTAATCTTAAATACAAAATAAATACTAATTTGTAAACACTTCCATTTTAGGGATCAATTTAGATGTAGAATGCGCGTGGATGCGCTCCAGGCACGTGAGCTTCTGGCTGTACGTGGCGAGACTGTGATTCGTGGCGCCGGCAACAATCAGCACCAGCAACTTCAGCAGCAACACCATCTCCATCACAGCAGCATCAGCAGTAGTAGCAGCAACAAGCAACAACATTCCCACCACCAGCAACAACGCATGACAACTCCAAGCACGCACAGCTCCGGCGGAGGAGGAGGAGGAGGCGGTGACCACCACCAGCTGAGCAGCAGCAGCAGCAACAACAACAATAGTATTAGCAGTAATGTGGCGAGAGGCGGCATAGAAGCCACCACCCTCAAGTATGGGAACACGGGCAGCGGGAGCGGGAGCGGTTGCTACAAAGGCGACTGCGGCAACTCCTCATCCGGATCCTCGTGCAGTTCGCTGCAGAGCCACAGCAACGACCACCACCAACATTACCAGTACCAGCTGCAGCAGCAGCAGACGCCCCGCTGTCCCCATCACGTACCACTGCCGGACAGCGAGTACGGACAAGATCGACACCTGCAGATAAGGAGCAGCTATCAGGTGGGTCTCCGTAAAACCAATATTTAATTTCTTATACTAATGATTGCGCTTTAACCCCAAACAGCAATCGGAAATCACTAGATCGTACACTAAGCCGCCGCCCAACAAGACGGTGCGGGATGTGCCCGAGCAGATCTCGGCGGGCGGCTGCGGCATCTCCAGCTCCAGCTACCGTCTCACCACGCTCCAGGCGGCCTCCTCTACGTACACGCCCGCGGGCGTGTCAGTGTCCGCCTCCTCATCGTCCAGCAAGTCCAAGCCGAATGTCATAACCAAGTTCTTCTCACGGATCAGTTCGCCCAAATCGCCACCGAGCTGTACGATGTCCTCGGTCGCCTCTCCATCCCCTCCATCCTCCGTGTCCATGTCGTCGTCTGCCTCCTCGCTGGCCTCCTCCGCCTGTGTGTCCACCTCGTCGTCGGCTTCTTCCCTGGCGGCTGCGCCCCTGCCCACGCTGCCGATATCCAATGCTTCGCTGCTGAAGAGCACGGCCTGTGGCTACGGCACAAATCCCAGCGGGACGCATATCTACGCGGGATTGGGGCCCAGTACGCAACTGCTGACCAGTCTGGGAACCGGAGCGAGCGGCAATTGCAGCCCCGAACGGATACCCACACCGCCGCTGTCCGTCTCCGTGCCAATTGGAGCTGGCCTGCAGCCGCTGAGGAGCAGCAGCAGCGGGAGTAGCAGCAGCACCGCCAGCCTACCCGCCGTCGAGACAAGCACAACAACAGCCACCACTCAGTCTTCCTTTGCCGCCGGAGCGACGGGGGATTTCCCGCTGACCACGATGAGCCGCAATAATTCCAACTCTAGCATGATGAGCTGCCACTGCAGCTGCAATAGCCGGAATTGCAGCCACTGTGCGGCCAACTCATAACTGAGCTCGTGTTAAGTTTAACTACATTAAAATATAGGCGGTGGTGCAGAAACCACTGGAGATTTTAGAACATTAGTTAAGTTTTAAGTTTTTACTAGCCCTGCTGTAACGATAAATACTAAATGATTTGATCTTCCCAAAAACCAACGTCATTTAAAGTAAGCGGAGAGTGGGCCAAAGATAGTTAGAAAAGTTTCGTTAGATACAACAGTCATATTTAAAAATACATCTGTTTCCTTTTATTAAAAATATTTTGGAAATTTCACTAAAGATAATTATAAAACGATTTTAAAACGTTTTAATCCTCAAGTCAAATATAATATAAACCATTTTTTAACCGGGTACGCATTAGGACAACTTGAGCTGTAAAACCCACTATTTATTCTTGTTCCACTATCCCTAACTTTTTGATGAGGTATAAATTGTAGAGAGCAAAATATACACTTCTAAGGGATTTTCAACTGTTGTTATCGAATCTCCAGATATTTTTGCAGCACCTCCAATATATATATATATCTACAATATATACACATATATTTTTTTTATGTTAGCCTATGTTTATCTATTATGTTAAAGTTTAACAGATTTATTTAATGTAGGTCTGTCGCCAACTTTTGCGCTGGTACGAAAAGACTGTTTATTAGTCAGAATTTAATTTGTAAATTTGAGTAACAAGAGAGAAGGAAAGTTAGAGAATGAGAAATGGAGAAGACATATAGCTGCGCTGCCGCCTTTTGAGCACTCACCACAGACCATAAAAGGTTTTCTTTTAGTTCTGTAACATCATTTCCATTCATCGCTTGCTAATCGTATTGAAACGTAAAATTTTTGTAAAATCGAAGAAAGCAACTGACTTGAAAGAGACAGACACAATACCACAAATCTTGAAGAAGGGAAAGAGGAAAGTAAATAACAAAATATAAGTGAATATATAATTGTAATTTTATGAATGAATATTGTATACACTTTAGTTTGAATAACTCTAGTTTTAAATCAAAGCCAACCAACTCTTAACTATACTCTATCCCTACACCTATCCATATCCCCTATCCCCTATTATTATTGTACGCATGGCCCATGTGCTGGAACACACGAAAAACACACACAAACAATTTTTAGTTCAATTGAAATTTGTATTTGTATATTTGCTAACGGAATTACAATGTAAAAAAAAAACAAAAAATGAAATGAAATCTATGTAAACCAAATTGTAGAAAAATTTTCGTTTTTATTTTTATTTGGCTGATGCTAAGTTTCGGGATTCAGCGGGATTTTAATTTGAAATGTAAAATTTTGAAACTTAAACGATCGTTACTTTAACCATTATCGATAACAAAATGTAATCTGGCCGCGCCGGTGGATCCTGAATGTTGATATGCAACTCTGGTCGATCTTTGACAAGAGTGGCAACGCCGAACGATCAAGGCGGATTTTTCAAAAAAAAATTGTAGTCTTCTTTTTGTGTGTTTAGTTTAGGTTAAATAAAACGTTTAATCCCACTGCAATGTAAGTTATAAGCACACGTAATTGATTTTGGTACATGTAATTATTATTCGATCTTCACAATTATAATTTTGTGAACCAATTTCTTTCAAAAATATTACCGAAATTCTTTAAAGTGTAATTTCCAAGCATCCCATAAATATTACAATTTTAATTATCAAAGAGAAGAAAAAACAAAAAATGGTTTCAAGAACTTACGATCCATTAAATCAAATTTAAACCACATTTAACCAACAATTTAGATGAGAAATCGATGCGAAAAACTAGGAAAATATGATAACAAATGCATAATAATGGAAAACACTTTACTAAGCCAACAAGTCCTACAAGCCTACATTTTAGAATTTAAATTCATAACAATATAGTTCGATGTCTATGGATCAAAGAATACTTAAAGTAATGCAACCGGAAATAGCCCGAAATATCACAAGACCGAAGAAAGAACCGGAGACAATGAATAACTAAATTAAACACGTAGAAGTTAATAAATTAATTAGTTATAAACAAATTAAGTCCAGCTAAAATATCGAAGCGACCAAATTCGTTCGATCGTTAAATCAGCTACGCATATACACATTTATACAAATAATTATATACATACATAAATATAATTTACGTAAACAGGCCTAATTTCAACTACCTCCAAAACTGTTTTTTAAATTAAACAATTAAATTCTAAACGAAGATCAAGTCTACGAATTATGTTTAGCAAAAACTAAACGAAAACTAAGTAAATTAAATGAAAAACAAAACGATTAAATTATAGTAAATCAATTGATTGAATTACAATTTTTTAAAATTCAAGCAGATCGATTAATTCAACAAGAAATCAACAATCATTGACAAGTAATTAATTTTACACTTTATATATACGATATATATTACGATATCTGTACATTTAGATCGAGAATACAAATGAAAGCGCACACGAGCTGCGTTTTGAAAATGCAAAACCGTCGACTGATATTTATAACAAAAACCTAAATAAATAAAGAAGTAAAAAAAGAAAGAAAAAATATTAATTTGTAAATACACCGAATGCAAGACAATGCGCAGAGGAGCATTATGTTAATGTAAACACACCTACTCCCAACAGTTCCCAAAGTTTTCCAACCTATCCGTCTTCAAAATCTCCCAATCCCCAAGAAATCGAATATGTATTTCGATCCCCTGCAGGAAAGTTGCACCCAACACTAGCGAAATTTTTTAAAGCGCATTAAGCAAAACGTCTAAGATACATAAATCTATATAAAAATCGATATATATCTAAATACATATATATTAAATGAATACCAATTATTGTTGTTGTCTCATATAAAAAAAAACAAAAACCAATAAAACCGAAAACAAAAATTGAGAAAATGAAAGCAAATTTAAAATATATTTCCAAAATATATAGAATATAACTTTGAAAGCCAAAAATATTAAAAATAGTTTTTTCATTAAAGAGGGAAATTTGGTAACTAAGGGAAAACTTGTTTTGGCTTTGATTGACACCTATGAACCTTATCTCAGATTATATGAATCACTCCCTTAATGCATCATGCCGTTGTTATCAAAAAAGTCAATGAACGAAAGTGATACAGAGTAAAATCCCACCATAAATTTTATCAACTGCCCAGAAATCAATGAAAATTGGCCAAACTTATATTCTGGTGAATCACAAATTGTTTTTAGATTCTGCCAAAGATAGAACACCACTCCAGGCCAACATGCTCAATCAATTTGCATTAATGAGTTGCACAAATCCACGAAAACTTATTAGACACCACCTACTTTAGTAGGTCGCCTTGGCAAACGGCAAATTCTCACGTATTTCTTATCAGCCACAAGTCAGACAGATTGTGGAATAAAACAGCAAATAAGAATTGCCCGATTTGGGGAACAGCAGGGTAAGTACAACCGATCTAAACGATATTTTGCAATATTGGTAAATGTTAAACATAAGCAAGGTGGGCCATTGGCACGCGTCCAGTGCTAGCAAGTCCGTCCAACGGTTAACAGCTCCTAAAATTATAAAATCAAGTGCAGAACTTATCACACGACAAAATTTACAGCAACCATTAAAAAGTAGTCATCTACATCGAAAAGCACTCAAGCAATCAATTCAATTATGTCACAGTTGTACGAACTTTCCGAGGTTGCCCAGCAGAATGGCAAGAATGGCAAGCCCTGCTGGCTGATCATCAAGGGAAATGTCTACGATGTGACCAAGTTCCTGGCCGAACATCCTGGTGGTAGCGATGCCCTCCTCGAGTATGGCGGCAAGGATGCCACCAAAGCCTTCAAGAAAGCGGGACACTCCTCCGATGCCGAAAAGGACATGAAGAACTATAAAATCGGAGAAATAAATTCAGCGGAACCCATTCAAATCCAGCCCACGTCCATTGCTGCAACGAAACCCGTGGAGAACACAATATCCGGAGATCCAGAACCGGCCAAGAAGAGCTCTTCCGGTTTCTGCTGCTGTTAGTCATCGATTTACATGTTATTTAATTGATTTATTACTATAGTCCTAATTAATTTAGCATAATTAACTTGTAAATAGATCTAAACTCATCTCATATATAGCTACGCATCATCGTCGTCAGCACAAAACTATCCTATAAAGATCAACTCTGATTACCGCGATCTGAATAAATTGCAAACAAATTCGATAGAGCAACTCCACCAAATTCAAAAAATTAAACTAAGTCCCACCGCCAGTTAATCCTCTTGCGCGACTTCCGCGGGTGCATCACTGCTGGGCGTCACTTGGAACGCACTGCACGCTGCATCGAAGCACTCCATCGTGAAACTGGTCACGTTCGCCGTGTGGTTGCGCAGATAGTGATAGAATCTACTCGACTTCCGCTCCTGTCCAGCCCGCTCCTTCTCACTGCGGCAGATGTTGCGCAGGGTGGGCTCAAAGTCCAGCGCTTTGGACGAGGTGGAACGTAGAATTCCATTGCCCAGGTAGTCACAAATAGTTACCCTAAAACAATAAGAGAAAATTATTAGAGATTTAAGATACTTGGAAACGATCTTAAAACTATTGTGGATATTGCTCTTTGAATAAAAAAAAGTTTCTTAAAATGTCGTTTAATTTAACTAAATTACTTAAGATATTACCTTCCTTGTTTTATATCTTATCACTTCCCAGCAAACTTTATAAACGATTGTGCGCTTTAGGACAGACGTACGATCGGTCATTTGTATGACATTGCTTATAAACTACAATAGCAAACATATCTTGTGACTGGTTTTTTTATAACTGCTAAAAGATGGAAAAACCCGATTTTCTATTTCCATTGGTTAATCTTGACAGCTAAATAAGCATAAGCATTTTAAAAATCTGTGATAACATTTAAAACTGATAGTGTTAACACATAATTAAAAGCTTTTCGAAATCTTAAACTGATAGTAAGTTAGTATAGAGTTATAAATATTAATTATCATTCCCTTTAGTTGGATTACATTTTAAGTTGAAATGAAAACACCATCTATTGAAACTGTTGTTTTACAAATATGAAAAATTAATGATCGAATATTTCCTACATATTTTTAAGTAAATTACCTTTGAACTGGTTTGTCGAATAGGTTGTAGGGACAATCCTTGGCCGCTAGTCCAGTTTGGAGAGCCTGCTCCACCAGCAGGTGCGCGATATCCTCGGACGGGTGCCACTGCAAGCGATCACTGCAATCGGTGTCCATCAAAGCAGCCACCGAAATATTGTCATAAAAGGAGGCCAGTGTGGCTAGGGGTGAACTATGGGCATCGTTCTTTTGCCCTGTGGCGCTGCTCAGCCATGCTTTCTTTGGTGAGCGAGATTTTCGCTTGGCAGTGTTTCTACTTCCTCCACTTGGTGGCTGCTGCTCCTTCAGCAGCGGAGAATTAGATATAAGCTCGGGGAGATTCAAACGCAGAAGGCAAAAGTCCACTGGGAAGGGTATTCGATGCTGGACATTCTGCGGGCTTGTAAAGAACTCAAAAAATCGCTGATGAATGCGACTGCCATCGACTGTGGCCAGGCGGCTATTTGAGGTTTTTGTGGGCGATTTGATGGTACCCTTTCTACTCCCACTTGGATCTCCACCACTTTGAATGTAAAATTGCAGTTCCATTAGCGTCTTGCGTAGATTCTGCTGATTATACAGATACTGGGATATCAATTCATCCAGCTCAATGGGGCAGTTTTCTATAAGCGAAAGAACAGCTAGGAATCGGGAAATGTTCAAAGGATTCGGGGCCTGGAAATGAATGGTGTTCTGCAGCATCAGACGCTGCAGATGCGCGCAGTTTGGATCCGTGGCCACCACAATTACCGGCCTCTTTGAACTGGCAGCCAGAGTGTAAATGGCATCCGTAAAACCAGCATCCATGTTATCAAACAGGATATCGGCATCTTCTATTAGTATGAGGGATTTGCGAACTTCGGATGGTGGTTCCACTGCAGCTGCTTTCGCTTTGAAACCACTCTTTTGCAATTTTTGGAGCAGCTGCTGTGAGGATCCACCGCCCGTTTTGCTGTCTTTTCTTATCTGATGCGACTGCGTGGCCTCTTGGAGTTCCTGGATCAACTTCTTGCCCGTACGCTTCATCCCTGCATTGATCTCCAAGACATTAAAGTTCATATCATTTGCTAAAGTAAAAACTGCATTGGTTTTCCCACTGGATGAAGGTCCCACGAGCACCATTGTGTTGCTATTTGATCCCATAGACGCCGAATCGTTGCTCATATCGAAGGTGTCGTCCATTCCCTGCGAGTTGCGATTGCTGCCACCATTGCCACTCCAGCTCGACAAAAATTCCCGAAGCTCCTGCACTGGTGTTAGATTCACTAGAACTTGCTCGAACAGCAGTGGTTTGTACTTTTCGGTAAAGAGCAGCTCGCCATTCGGAGCCGAAGGTGGTGGCTTCGCCTCCTCGTCATTCTGAGCCATATGCTGCTCCATAGAACGGCGGGTGCGCCGAGTAACCACTAAGGATTCACCCATTTGCTGCGTATCCTGCGCACTGTCAATGGCGCTAAAGTGACGATACTTCTCCCTCATTTGATTATAGCACTTAAAAGTAGGAAATCGATCAAAGTCGTTCTTCCAGAGTTTCACAAAGCCGCGCTTATTTTCCAACTGCGGTAAAGTAGCGTAGTTGAATGTGTTCAAAATTTTACTGGAGGTGAAGTCCGCAGGCACACAGCTGGTCATGCTACTCGTTTTGGAACGTCGTTTGTTGGGAACCAAGGTTGTCGTAAATTCCAATTCGTCTTCTGCCCTTAAAGGAAAGGGTAACTCAAGTGGATCATGTTTGGATACAAATTTTTCGCAACCTATATGAGCCAGTCTTGGGAAAATCTCATAGCTCTCCTCGTACAACTGCTCGTAGGTTTTTTGACGGCTCTGGTCCTGACGAATTTTATCGGGAACCCCAGATTGCAGAAAAGCCATGCGTGCTTTCAAAACCGCAGGATCCGGGCTGGGCTTTGGCAACTGTCGTACAAAGAGCGGTGCTAGTTTCTTTGGCGTGGCAGCCGGGTTACTGCTGTCCAGATCAATAGTCTCTACCGATTCTTCGGCCTTTTGAGCCTTGGGCTTTTGTTGCTTGCCAGGACTCGTTTCCAGGTCGTAATCGTAGCGCGCCTTTCCCGCACAAGAGCGTCGTGGTCTTGAGGACGGCGTGGATTCAGTTTCTATAATAGGGGTCTCCTGCTGGCTCTTTCTGCGTTGTGTTCTTCGCTTAGGCGTCTCCATTGGAGGAGTTTCTATCGCTATGGTTACCCTTTCGGCTACCTCTTTGGGCGATTCCACCTTGGCAAAGTAGCCCAGCAGACTGTCACGTTTTTTTGTGGGCGATGAAAGCTTCGAGAGGAACTCCTCTGTTTCAGCATCTTGAGGTTTGGGTTTCAAGCTGATTGCCGCATCCACGGAACTGAGCCGTCGCGAGCGCGGCCTACCTCTTGAACGCTTTACAGTTGGCTCTGTGGGCGCTGAGGATGGTGCAGTTTCTTCCTTCTGGTCAGTCTTGGTCAGCATTTTTCTCAATCTAGAAGAACACACATTTTTAAACGTTCTAAGTCCCTTTAATACTTTACTCACCTCTTGGCTCGTTGCTCCATCTGCAGTTCGATAAACTCCCCGCGAGACTCATCCGCCAGTCTTCTCTTGGCTCCTCCTTTGCGTTCGTTCCACTCCTGGAGGAGCAGTTTTCGCTTTGTCGTTGGAGTGGCTGCTTCACTAGCGACCTCTTGATCTCCAGGGGATTCGGCGCCACCATCGTTAGCCCCTATAGAGCGATTCCTGGCATTCATCATGAACTCGAAGACATTGGTGGCTGGCTTGGGTTTGGATGCTGTCACCGGAGATGCACCCAGATTTTCCGGCTTTCCCGCCTTAGCGAAGTGCTTCATGATGCTCTGGTTCTCGGCCACTGGAGTGCTGCACTTTAGCGGACTGGAACGCCGTCGGCCACCGTTCTTGAGACCATTTTCTTGAGAGGATTTCTCTCGGAGTGGTTGCGGCTTCTCCTTGTCCGGTTTGCCATCCTTGGAGGGTTTCTTCTGATCCTCCAGGAGGGCTGCCCTTCTCTTTTCCTCCCTCTTTCGCTTGTGTTTCTCCCTGTGCTTCTGCTTCACCGAATGGAGCACCTCCTCCATGTTCTGCAGGATCAGTTTGGATTTGGCGCTGGGCGGTGCTCTCAAAACGAACGGGGATGTGGGCTCTACGAGATCCTTGCCAGCATTCCTGGTGGGAGTTCCTGGTGGACTCGCTGGGGCTGTAGTTGCAATGTGCTCACTTGTAAGACAATTTACATCGGTCATTTTCTTGGATCTCTTCTTCTGGTTTTATTTTTTGTTTTAATGCATATTGCTGAGTGTGTGCGTGTGTGTGTATGGTGTAGTTTTCTTTTGTAAAATCTAAGTACTTAAGCGGTTGATATAACTACAGATTATACGGAAGCCAAACTCATAAGATCGCAACAGAAGATCGGGGGGCAAAAAGCAAAAGACAACAATACAATAATAATGAGATCTACCTTCGTAGCGATTTTACGTTTTTCGTATTTGTTACACTCCCGCACACGCACACACACTGCCGCGATCGCACTCTCGTCGCGTTGGTCACGCTCCTCTGGCTGGCGGTATTGCGGCCCCAATGGATTCCAGCTTTCCAGTATCCAATTCAGGCGTTTATAATCATTTTATCTAAGTTTTCCGGTGTAAAAATTGGTCGCAAAATGTGCTAGGCGAAAAAAGGCGCGAACAAATGGTGTTGGTAAAGGTTAGGAGGGGGTGGTATTTTCCAATACTATTTGGTCAGGCGTTGGTATTTTTTTGTGTCATCAGTTTTTAAACCTCTTTGTTTTTTCAGTTATTTCACTAATTTGAGCAAGCTTTGTAACTCATCTGAGAATTTTATTTACACTTTTCAATGAATGAGAGAAAAAAGGCAATGGCAGTACATATATTAAACACATGGCTTCCATTTATGTGACCAGAATAGATCAGCCGACATACAGTTGCAGGCAAAATAATAATATTGTAAATATAATAAATAAATTATAAACAAATTTGAAAAATGTATATCACAAACTATGTACAACAACAAAAAAATGTTTACTGTAAGTAATTTCAATAGCATATTTAAATAAAAAAAATGCACTATTTCCATAGCCGCCACTGTTGAATGGTATATTTAAAATGACTGGTATTTTACCAGTATACGTTTTAAGATAATTGATATTTCTTCTTTGGTCACGCTTCGTGAAAATGTCCACCTACTACTTTGTTATTGTGGGTCATAATGATAATCCCATATACGAGAAGGAATTCAGCACGGTGAACAAGGAACTACGGGTTTGTGGTCACAATCTACCATTGTTAGAAATAGCTAAAAACCCCCTTTCGATTCGCAGAAAGAGGACCATAGGCACCTGAGCCAGTTCATTGCACATGCCGCCCTCGATTTGGTGGACGAGCACAAATGGAAAACGGCTAATATGCAACTGAAATCCATTGACAGATTCAACCAATGGTTCGTTTCCGCCTTTATCACCGCCAGCCAAATTAGATTTATTATCGTTCATGACAACAAAAATGACGAGGGCATCAAGAACTACTTTAACGAGATGTATGACACGTACATCAAGCACTCCATGAATGCTTTCTATCGAATCAACACACCCATCAAATCCCCTATGTTCGAGAAGAAGTCCGAGATCTTTGGCCGAAAGTATTTGTTATCCTAAATTTGTTAAAATCTGTATCTAATAAGTAATATAATCTTGGTATAATTAGTTCTCCCTTTCTTTTTATGCTCAAAAGTACAATTTGTTTTTACCATAAGCTTGCGGGAAGAACAACATAACGACGTTGGTTCAAAAACTAAACCAACAGAAATTATGGATTATCGCTATTTTTTCGAAGCCATTAAGTAATTTTCCAGTTTACATTTGTTTTTTATTTATTTAGAAAAGCAGACTAAGCTTAACTCTTGATGAACTTGTTTAATTCTCTTTACTCGATGCGTCCTCGTATCAAATCTAAAACGATTTAACGCTCCGTCTCCAGACGACAGTCCCAGACTGACGTAAACTAGATGTGTTGTGGGTTGAATGGATGAACAACGCATGGAATCGATTGGAAACTAAAGCAACAAAATTATACGGAATTTGTAATGGGTGTTCATTTAAAAATCTCTTGAGGTGAGGAGGAAACCGTTGCGCAGCTTAGTGCTTCTTGTTCTTGCCAGAGCGTTCGTATTTGCTCTTAGACTGGTGCCACAGACCCAAAGGAATGGCCAGAGAAGGCAGGGTCATCACGGCGAAGGCCACCCAGTCAAAGAAGTGGGAGGAGAAGCGCTTGTTGTACTCGTTCAGGTTGACAATGCCACCCTCACCGGGCTCGGAGCTGACGGCCAGTTGGAGCTGCAAGAATATATGGTTTTTCGGTCAAATAATCATTCATTTAATTATTTAAAATCTAAGATTTTCCACAGCCATGGATGAGATTTGTAAGCCGCTAAGATTTGATAAGGCTCAGAATGAAACATTGTATAACTCACCGTCTCTGACTCCTCGACGGCCTTGTAGGACACCTCGGCGGCGGTGAAGTTGAAGTAACCGAAGGCCTTGGGCCTCACCACCAGGACGTGGGTGAAGTTGGTCTGGGGAGCGATCCTGTCGACGACGGCTGTGGGCTGTCCTCCCACCACGTCGAAGGCCTCAGGGTGGAAACCGGAGTCTACCAATTGCACCTTGGTGGCGGCTCCACTGCCCACGTTGAAGATGGTGTAGCGCACCAACAGGTCGCTCTTCTCCACCAGATACTTGTTCAGGATCTGCTTGGAGACCAGGAGACGGGCACGGGTCTCGTCCTCCGACAGGCAGGTGCTAAATACCGCGCAAAGTGCGCACAGGGCTAGCAGGTGCTTGAACATTCTGAAATTACATATTACAGTAAATCAGAATTTCACGTTTCACTTTTTTGTTGACGTGGAAGGGTCGCCGAAAAATGGGTAGCCATAGGGTAGCATTTTCTGATGTATTTCCCCTCGATATATAACTTAAAGGTGGCGCTTGTACTCATTGCACATAAACATATACTTTTTATTTCATTATTTAACTACTTACTTGTACGTTGGTTATTTTACGAGTATTTCAATGCAACTAAACAGCAATCGTAGCAGGCGGCCGCTTTCTCGTTGGTTCGTGACGTGGAATGGATCCGCTGTCAAACTTCGTGCGTCAGGGTTGCCAGAGGTGCTTTGAAGTATCGATATATCGGGTTTCGACGGTATATTGATTAATTTTGGTATTTTATTAGTATAGTTTTTAAATAATTTAATTTTGTCAGTTACATTTACTAAAATAAAATCGACAAATAAAACCAACGAAAATACATGGATTCCTGCTTTATTAATACCTTAGCAAACTTTTAAGAACAGTCCTCAATTAAAAATGAGTTTTTTAACACTACCAATCTTTTCACAATTTTTCTGTGTTTCATAGTTTATTGGGATAATCCCAATTTTGTTACTCCAGCTGCAAGTACATATTAACCTTCAAATTTGTACCAATTTAAAAACACATACATTTGATATTAAGAGATATGAAATGTGTTGTATTTAATCCCATTTAATATTCTTATTTTGTTTTTTTTTTGTTTGATAGACGCAGTTATTCCCTGCGAGTAAATATTTAAAACAACTAAATGCAATGATTAAAAATCACGATTCGACAACCCTACCGCGCTAGTTCTGTTAACCCACTGTAAGATATTAGCAGCTGTAGTTTAAAATACGACTAAACAAAAAGTAAACAAACCCATTTATTTGGTTATTATGACTTTAGTTATTGTTTAGTTGGGCACTTGTTATTCATTTTAAAGTTTTTATTAGGCTCTAGTTTAATACTTGATTCAAATTTCGTTTAAAACAGCTGTTTGCCGGTACCTGGGAATGCCCTTGAATGACATTGCACCCTACGGCAAGCTTTTCGGCATATGAGTTCGCCCAATCTTAATGATTAAATTGCGATAAATCATGATGAAAAAGGGAAATTTAAGGGGTCTAGAAAAAGATAACCGAACGTTCGGTTTCTTTAAGGTTTAAATGACACACCCCCAACTTTAGATTATGTCTGACTAGTAGCACGCATCAATGATAGCGCTTATCGGGATCGTTATGGCCGAACCGCTTTGGCTTATCAGTGGGAGGCGAATTTCGCTGTGCTGTGCCTGACACTTGATTTTCATCGTACGCAAACGCGGTTCATTCGTCCAGTTGGAATTCAGCCAGCAGCCGGAAAACTCCAGTGAGACATGTCGCTAACGGTGGAAATTGTAGCCACAAAGCCCTATGAGGGTCAAAAGCCAGGCACCAGTGGATTGCGCAAAAAGGTGGGGTCCGAAAAAATAGTGCAAACCCCCGAACATCATTTCTAACTTGTGGAACCACTTTTCCGATCTCAGGTAAAAGTTTTCACTCAACCGAACTACACGGAAAACTTTGTCCAGGCCATTTTGGAGGCCAATGGAGCTGCTCTGGTGGGATCCACTCTGGTGGTTGGTGGCGATGGACGTTTCTACTGCAAGGAGGCTGCCGAGCTGATTGTTCGGTTATCTGCCGCCAATGGAGTCTCCAAGCTGCTGGTGGGTCAGAATGGTATCCTGTCCACCCCAGCCGTTTCCAGTCTGATCCGTCACAACAAGGCATTAGGTAAGTTTCCGAACATGCAGGTTCTACTGTGCTCGTATAGATTTTAATTGATAAGAAGCATCTTTACACAATCAACGGGTGACGGGCTGTTAAGTGACAGAGGTTCCTGGGGTCGAATATCAACTTCAGATTCAATCGGTTAACAGAGGCTTCGTTATTCCAGGCAACAAAGTTTGAATCGGTTAGAAACATAAGCAATGAATGAATTTATCTGTATCTTTTTTGGTTCTAAAAGAAACTGGTGGTTTAAAATTTTGTAAAAAACAAGCAAACAAGTAAAAATGTTAGCTATTTATTTTATTTACGGATTTATGGAAATTCGTAATAAATTATTCTCTAAAAGTTATTTAGATTATAGGCTTGTTTTTTATAAAGGTTATTAATGATTTATGTATTTACTATGTCCCTTAGGTGGCATCGTTCTGACCGCTTCCCACAATCCCGGTGGCCCCGAGAATGATTTCGGTATCAAGTTCAACTGTGAGAATGGAGGTCCTGCGCCCGACGCCTTCACCAACCACATCTACAAGATCACCACCGAGATCAAGGAGTACAAGCTTGTCCGCAATCTTCAGATCGACATTTCCAAGGTGGGTGTGACTTCATTTGACATCGCCGGAAAGCCCTTCACCGTGGAAGTGATCGATTCGGTGGCGAACTATGTGCGTCACATGGAGGAGATCTTCGACTTTGCCAAGCTGAAGGACTTCGTGAGTGGCAAGGCTACTGGAAAACCTCTGAAGATGCGCATTGATGCGATGAATGGAGTTACTGGCTCATATGTGCGCGAAATCTTTCTAAATCGTCTGGGGGCCACTGAATCCTCTGTGGTCCACACGACTCCCCTGCCGGACTTTGGTGGCCTGCATCCTGACCCGAATCTGACCTACGCCAAGGATCTGGTAGACACTGTGGCCCAGGGAGACTATGACATCGGAGCCGCCTTCGATGGTGATGGTGACCGCAACATGATCATCGGCAGCAAGGCCTTTTTCGTGACCCCCAGCGATTCGCTGGCAGTGATTGCCCACTATCTGGAGGCTATCCCATACTTCCAGAAAAATGGTGTTCAAGGATTCGCCCGCAGTATGCCTACCGCTTCCGCTGTGGACTTGGTGGGCAGGAAGTTGGGCAAGGAGGTGTTCGAGGTACCCACTGGATGGAAGTACTTCGGTAATCTCATGGATGCCGGAAGGTTGTGCCTGTGCGGCGAGGAGAGCTTCGGCACCGGATCCAATCATATCCGGGAGAAGGATGGAATCTGGGCCGTTCTTGCCTGGATCTCCGTGATGCAGCACACGGGCAAAGGTATCGAGGACATCCTGAAGCAGCACTGGTCTGTGTATGGACGCAACTACTTTACCCGCTACGATTACGAGGAGTGTGCCTCAGATCCTTGCAACGAAATGGTGTCCACCATGGAGACGACTATCACTGCCCCGGAGTTTGTCGGCAAGAGTTTCTCCAGCGGCGGAAAAACCTACAAGGTCAAGGAGGCAGATAACTTCAGCTACACGGATCCCGTGGACAAGTCGGTGGCCACGAAACAGGGTCTGCGCATTGTCTTCGAGGATGGCAGTCGCATTGTCGTGCGTCTCAGTGGAACTGGCAGCTCTGGAGCCACCGTGCGGTGAGTTACGATGAGATTAATTCAAAGTATTGCTTTTTATAATCTAAAAATAATCCTTTTGCAGCTTGTACATTGATTCCTATGAGAAGGAGAACGTGCTGGGTCAGGCCAGCGTGATGCTGAAACCTTTGATCGACATTGCCCTGGAGATCTCTCAGCTGCCCAAGTTTACCGGGCGCAATGCTCCCACCGTCATTACGTAAAGAGTTCCTGCCTTAAAAGGATCACTGAGATTACCAACCCATCCAACTAAAATCTCCACTTGTACCTCAGCGAGGCATTTCCTTGTTATGTTTTCGGATTTATTAAAGTTTGTGTAGCCCAAACTGAATGTTAGTCCTCATTTTAGTGGTGTCGATAAGTACTCGTACTCGCTGAGTATCATGTTGGGAATGCGCTGCTCCAGTACTCTCAGAGGTAAACGAGCAATGCGTATGAAGGCTAGCAGAAAATGTAGGGCGGTAACCACCTCGGGGCCCAGGATTTCCTTATCCCTAAAAAAGGGTGAGGATTATTTATATATTTCCTTAAATATCATGTTAATATCACTCACAATAATTGTGCCTCCGATACCGTCACCACATACTGACTCATGTAGGATATATACAGCATCTTAACGTTTTTGTGGTATTGTTGCAGGATCGTAAGTAGACCCACAATAAAAGGCACATTGTCAATGTTATCTTTAGCTGATTTCGGCAACAGACAATCGGTATTCGTGGAATGTTGCAGACGACCCAAATGGGCCATAGTGAAGAGAAACAGAAACAGCGACATGTTGTGAGTGTTCTTGGTAACCAGGAAGACCTGCTCCAGGGGCTCAAAGTTGCCTGTATAGAGGAGGGTTTCCTGCAGCTCGCTCAGCATAGCTACGCCCTGCTCATCGCAGAGGTCCTTGCTGAGGGAGAGTTCCAACAAAAGAGCCCTGCGGTGGTAAAATATATCCAAAGACATAAAACGTTAAATTTTTAAAAAATATTACAACTTTTCTTACTTGTTTAGAGTATCAGCCGTGTTCTCCAGCAGCTTGGCATCACATTTGCTGCTGAAGCTTAGCTCTCCGGCGATCTCCCGGCGGAGCAACTGCTTCTGGCCGATGGACAGCACCCAGTCTAAAAGCGTGGGCCACACCTTAAGCCAGCGTTGTGTATACGCTTGATAATACTTCAACGGTTGCTTGGCCACATCGGGCGTTGGAAAGTCCCGTGCCTCCAGTTCGCGAGTAAGGCTGGCTAAAGCGTCCACCCACATACGATCCGAAATTAGGTTTCGTTGTAGCCTTTCCAAGTTGCGCTTCAACTCATCCGCTAACATATGCGCGTAGAGGTGCTCCAATCCAACCATTCCTGCCGGTGCCAAAGCTTCTCGTAGTATTCCAAAGAATCCAGAACCGGCTAAAACTTCCTGGTGTGGAGCTTTTTTCTCATACCAAGTGCTCTTGTAGTCCAGAAAAATCGTATTTTTTGGATCCGTGCAGCGCAGGATCTCGTGGGCCAGCCGTCCAATAAAATTGTTAGAAGGATCTCCTAAAAGCGGCGGGAAGTTGGGAATGGGAATTATCTGACTTTGGTGCTCCGATTGAAATTCCTGCACTTTTTTTTTTAGAAAGCTATTGCACTCCTTCTCCACATTGTAGTTGATGATGCGCTGGGATTCCTCCAGCAGGATACGAAGTCCTTGGACTCTCAAATAGTCCTCTATATATTCAAATGATCTGCGATATCCTTCTATTGTTTTGGCCAATGCTTGCAGTTTTTGTTGGAGGAGTTGTACAGGAGTTTTCCCTTTTTCCGGTGTAAAAATCAGCCCTAGATTGTAGGCATTGGCCAGGTGATTCACCAGCTCCTTGCGTATCCCATCCTCCAGTAGTTGCTTAGGATCTAGTTCGATTACTCCCACTAGTGTCGTTTTCATCATGAGGATTCCCTTAGTGAAAACGGCTATGGAATTGGTTAGTTGAGCAACCTTGGCCCTTTCCTCGAACTGTGCGTAATCTTTCAGACGCTCCTTTTCTACTCGAGTGGGAAACTCTTTGATCACGTTCGTCAACAGATAGATGATCCTTGCCAAAATGCTGAACATGGTCTCTGGAACGATTTGCAGAACACGTCGTAGAAAGTTGGCAAGCTCTGTGCTGTAGTAGTTGGATACAGAGGCTAGATCCTCGCTCCTGGCCTGATTGATTCGCATCAGCGGCACCTCTAGGGTGCTGGCCAGCTTAAGGAATACCGACCGAATTCCGATCACCGCCTGCGGTTGTCGCTTGATGTGGTCCTGCATCAGGGGCGTAAAATCGCGTTGCAGAAGATGCCAGGCGTAGCTGAAATCGGTGATCATCTGGATTTGGATCTCAATATCTTCTTTCAGGTTGATTAACTGCCAACAAAATAAGAAGTTATTTTTATCACTGATATAATCCAAAAATTAATCTTACATGCGCCATTCGATTCAGCATGTCCCGTGTCTCCTGCAGCTGTTGCTTAACCAGCATGTTGGAATGAAGATTGTGGTACTCCTGTACCTCGTCCAGTGCCTGCATCACCTGAATGATCAGCCTTCCGGACTTTTGTGGCCTGCTCAACTCGAGTTTCTGCAGACGTCCTGCCACTTCTCCAAACCACTGCTGCAACTGCGGATTCTGCTCGATCTTGGTCAAAGGTCTGGAGCCGGCAAAGGCTTCACTTAACTCCTTTAGCCTCTGCATGGCCTCCTCCCTACTCTTCGTCCAACGATCCTCTCTAGTCTGCTGAATCTCCGTCAGGAATTCCCTCACACTCAGCTCCATTTGGCTGCAGTTGAGCAGCAGGTGATACAGCTTATTCCTATCGAACTGAAGTTCTTGGAGCACCATTTGTTGAACTTGTCCTGGTAGAGTGGCTGTGTAAGTAAATACGAAAACTTCCGTTGAGGTGTGAAGGCAAAACCAGCGGAGCAGGACATTCGACTGCCGCATCATCAGTATGATTTTGTTCACATGTTCCAAAACAAAGTCATCACTCAGGACTCCTTCACGAACAATCTCTTGGGTCTTTTGCAGGATCTTGCCTAACTGCTCCTTTTGCTGCTGACAGAGGGGTTTTATCGCAGCCGGATTTATCACATTTTCTATTGCAGATCGAGCAGCTTTAAAATCCAACCAGGCGTCCACCAGATTAACGGTGATGCCCATGTACAAGGATATAGTCCAGTTGTCGCAAAAGAACTTGTCCACAATCTCACGCATCTGGGAGCCTTGGGAATGGAGAACTTTTGGGCTGAAATACAAGCACACATACAACATAGCCGCTTGAGTGGACAAAGCCGTGGATCGATGAGCAGGATGCGGGTACAGGGTCAGCTGGTTGTATATATCATCGCAACGGAGGCGGGCCACCACCAGATCCACAAAGTTCTCATCGAAACGGAAGCGCGAGAAATAGGCCTCCGGATACCTGGGAACTACCAGGCTCGCAGCTGCAGCAGCCGCCTGTTTGCCACCCAAGCTCAGCACTTTAGTTGCCTCCGAGGGATGCGTATAGCCTGTGGATCGAAGGAGCAGGCAAACGTCATGGATATTACTCTCATCTCCGCTGGGCGTGGCATCTCCTCCACTATAGCGATAGTAGGCTATCAGCAGGCGTTCTCTCACATCTCCCGGAAGGTGGAAGTCGAGGAGAAGGAGAATCACGCCAAACAAATACAGGGATTCGCAGAGCAGTTGCCGGCCCTCCTCCTCCTGGAGAACAGTCTCCAATGTCTGCTGGATATAGTAGCCACTGTTCAGCTCCTCGATATATTGATGCAGATCGGATGCATAGTGGTGGATGCTTTGGAAGGCCAGATAAAACCGGGTGATCAGTGGAAGCTGGGCACGCACCTCGTCATCCAATTCGGTCAGCTTCTGGAGGAGATAAAGGGAATTTTACTTCATGCTTGGACAATTGTAACCAATATCCTTACCAGGCTCTGTTCGATCTTCTTCTCGTGATCCTCGGCCACTTTAAAGTAGCTGAAATCCAGAATAATCTCGCCATATTTTGCCTTATCTGCCTTAGTCTCCAATCTACAAAACCGAATGTCTTATATTAATCATCGTTTTAAAGCATTTAATGTATATTACCTATAAATACTGGGTACGTAGTCCTTGAGGCGCAGGATCTCTGCTATTATAGAATTTCCCACCGACACAATGTTCAGCAGATTCTGGCCACAGGCATTATTTTCGTCTAGGAACTCAGTCATTTTGTAGGGCAAAAATCATTTTTCAGGCTTCTGGAATTGCAATATCTATCACTCTGGAGAGAATTTTCTCGGGAAATATATATAAAGTTAATCAGCTACGTTGTTTTATTATAGTTAAGTTACTCCATGTATGAATATTTTCATTTGTTTTCCTTTTTGCAATTAATCTTATCTTTTCTGCACTAGTATGAACGTGTTTTATTATTTTGAAAATACTTACTTAAATCGGTCATACTAAACTGATTCCATAGGGCTGTCAACCATTTCGAGTTTTTCGGCGCCAAAATTGAAATCGATAAAGCTTTATATTAACAATCTGCAAACGTACAGACTCTAAAATCAGAAAACAATTAATTTCTTTGAAGAAAAAAATGTAAGCTTTCAGGTTTTCAATTAAAAAAGAGCAAAAGTATTTAAATAAATATATTAAAAAAGTGGCCAATCCGTTAGGTGTTTCTGGTTGAATCCAAATGTAAATTTGGTTCTGTTTATTTTGTGTTAGATTTTCATTCTATGGGGGCTACACAAAATATCAGTAAGATTAATTAACATAATAAATGAATATAAAAATATCAATAAAATTAATTAATTCATCTACATAAAATTTAATGATTTAACTAGCTAATTAACTGAGATACCGTTACATATTTCATCCGTAATAAAATAATAATTTGTATAAGAAAACACTGCGCACTTACATAAATTCTGCATTTTCCCACTAAAAATTTCCCGCGCTCAGTTTAAGTTTTCTGAATTTTTTCTTTTATTTTTTTGCTTAAATGTTAAAACATAATAATAATATATATTCAGTTATATGCCTACCAAACTATGCGCTGTGTTTACGGTTGCGTTTGCCTGCTTTTTTTTTATCATAATAATTTAATGTACACACAAAGAGTTTGTTTTAGAATTGTTCCTTTTTGCTTAGTTTTACTGAATTACATCAATTGTTGTCAATTTTTTTGTTAAGTTTTAATTTTTTGGGACTTTATTTTACAAGATTTATCTGGCTAATTGTATAAAATTTGTCTATTTTGTGTGTAGGCGGGGGTTGGATTGGGGACGTTAGGGAGTTGGGAACCGTGTTTCTTAATGGATGAACGAGCGCCACTAATAAAAACATATTTGATTTCGGTGTGCTAAGATGTCAGCGCTCGCGGCCCATCAGTTCCTAGCCATCGAGAATTCGTTAATTACGTTTGCGTTTACCTAGTTATCTAATAGAAAAATCGTAGCCTAGCATGTATTTACAATTTGTTGGGTTTGTTGTGGTCTTGATTAACGATTTGTTTTCCGTTTATACATTATAGGTAAATAAAAAATTACATTGTTTTGTTTAAACAACTAGAACTAATTCAATGTATGTTTTAAATGGATATTTTGTCGCTTCTTTTTTTGATGTGTTTTGTTTTGTTTTAGCTGTTGCTGAACTTGTTTAGATCTTTTGGTTTTAAAAACCATTTATCTGCAATTCGGTTTCGATTTCTCTTGTTTTTGCTCGCGCGCACTTTCTTTTCACTTAATATCTAGGAATTATGCTTCGTTTTCGTTTAACAAACTAAGCTAAATAATTAAATATTAATAATTATGTTTATATCGTTTAGATAAGGCCGTCAATGCAGTTGATGCAAACATTATGTTACAAATTACAAATCAAACGCCCGCTGACTGCGCGTTCTCTTTCTTTTATATTCCTCTCTATTATTTTATTTTCTTCGTTTACTTCACGTTACTCTGGTTTTGTTTTGTTTTGTTTTTGGATTGGTTTGGTTTAAGTTTTACAGACAATTTATTGGAAAAAATAAACGAGGTTTAAATTATGCTTAAAATCAAGTACGATTAGAATTTAGGATTTAAGTATGTAAACGTAAATATAGAAATTAAATAGGAGCGCCTAACTAAAAAGAAACAACAACAGGGGAGACGCGACGCAGTTAAATTTGAGGCTAAATTATATTGCAAATGGATGAAATCGTAAAGCTGGAAACACAACGACAACGACAGTCCACGGAGTAGGAGGATCAGCGAGGAGAAGACGGTGCGAATGATGGGCAACAGCAGCGATCACTTGAGGTATGTCTTGAACAGCACGGAGCTGCGACAGAACTCGCGCTCCTGCTCCATGTAGAATAGCATGTCGCGCAGGTTGACGCGCTTGATGCGCGGCCGTAACGTGGTTGGCGCAGATCCCGAACTGCTCATAGCTCCACCACCACTGGAACCCTTTTTTGGAGAAATCATAACTTAATTAATAATCATCCTTGGATTGGGCTAGATTTATATTCCGACTAATATCTCAACAAAGGATTTCAATGTACATACCACTCCCGAACTGACTGCCTCGCCGTCCAGCTTCAGCTTTTTCCGAGGACCAATCGCCTGTAACGCCGTCAGATTGGCATCTCGCTGACGCAGCTCCTCCATCTCGGCGCGCTGCATCTCCTTGGCCTAGACAATAAGAGAAAGACTTAAGCAAATGGCTCGAGGGAAAGGCGATTGCGCTCCTACCCTCGCCTTCATCTTGGCCTGCTCCGGATCCTCTACCCGCGAACGTGACTTCGCCGCCCGCAGCAGCATCTCCCTCTCCAACTCCTCGTGTCGCTTTTGCTCGGCTTTGTCCAGCTCCTCCAGGAACTTGATCTGACCGCGAACATCCTTGGCCGGCTCGTAGCGTGGATCCAACTGTTTGAATTATTTTATTATATAGTTTTCCTTTAACAAAATAGGATAAAACCCACCTTGATAACATCAATGCGGTGCTCCGCTATCACAGCCAACTTCTCCACAATGTTCTTTAGTCGTTCCTGGCATGCGTGCGATATCAGAACGGCCACATCCTGCGACGGCTCATCCAGGCCGGCTTCCGACGTAATAGCCCGTATCCGGGCTTGTAGGGCGGGCAGATTGAGAAACACCTCATCTTTGCAGGAACGAATCTGCGTACCGATGTTTTCCGTGCAGCCCAGGATTCGCTGCGACTCCTCCGCCAGATTAACGCCGCCCATGGCGGCCACGTCGTTGATATCATCGTCGCCGTACATCGACGAGGACATGGAGCTCGGCTGGAAAAACGAGTTGGCCGCCGCGGCTACCGCTCCGCTTGAGCTGTTTAACTTTCCGTCCATTTCCATTGCGTCGCGTTTCTTTTTGCCCAGCGTCTTGCTGATCGCCGGCGGTGGCCTCGGCATCGTCTTGGCTCCAATCGGCGTGAGCGACGCGTTGATCCGCTCCATATGGGGTGGATGCAGAGACTGCGCCTTGATCTCTACCAGCTTCGCTTCAAAGTGATTGTTGTTGTGGTTCAGTGAGTTTTGCATCTGCTCACGAGCTCGCAGTGCTTCAGGCGGAAGGTGGACCGTGGGCAACGACGGTATCGGCAGCGATGTGGTCGAGGCGGAGTTTAGAGTGGACAAAACGGACAGCGTGGGCGTCGGCGGTGGTCCGCCAGAGATGGCGGCCAGTGAAGGCGGGTGCAGGCTGGGCGTAATCGCTTTGATCTGCGTCTGGCCCACCTTGACGGCAGTGAGTTTGTTCGCGGTGGGCGCACTGTTTGGCGGCCGGGTGGTGGCCCGGATCTGGACCGATCCCGTGCGCGGTATGTGCGCATGCTGCGGTCCACGAATTTGCACAATATTCTGTGTGGGGGAAAGACGTGTTAGAGTTAGGAATTGAATTATTTTGATAAAAAATAAATAGCTGTTAATAATTTTGTTCAATACATAATAAACGGCATTGCATTTCTAGTAACTGATAAATTGAAATGGGACAAAGCTAGATGGATTTCCGTCCAATTTCAATCGAAAAGATAGTAAGCTTTTAGAATTTGAACTCAATAAATGTTCATGTGTGTATAAAATTATTGGTATAATATATTGTCGTGGGGATATCCCGTAAACAAGTTGAAACAATTGATAAGGGTGTTATTAATCTATTCATTAAGCTTTGTAAAATTTGTTCAACGTTTTTCTTAAAATCAGAATTTAATAATTTTAAAGTGTATAAGGTTTTACTATGTAACTTGTAAACAAGTCTTTTTAAATTATTTTTTATATAAAATGTATGATTGATATGCCAAATGTCAACTTACCGCCTGTCCAGGCACCTGTAACGACGGAATCTGGGTGCGAATTCCACCCGTGTTAATAAGACGCGGTGCCGTAGGTAGCCGGATGTTGGGCGGCTGCTTGGATATCGTCGTGTGGCCAATGGTGGGTCGCGGCGTGCCCAAGGCATTCGGTGTTATCATGCGCACTTGCGTCTGTCCAATGGTCGTTGTCTGGCTGGGACCGATGGGACGGATTTGCGCTTGTATTTTCTATAATAAATCGAAAAAGATAATGTAATACGGTACATGCGTTTGTTTAAAATTTTTCTTGACTTACAGGCAGCTGTTGAGAAAGTCCGGCCAGGCCGAGCACATGCTGCGGTGGCGGTTTGATGCCTTCAATTACCAGCTCCTTGGTGTAGAGCGCTTGCCGGAGCAGAGGCAAACTCTTCTTGAGGAATCCAATCAGGCACGGCTGCGGGCTGGCGTTGAGCAAGCGCTCCAGGCGGTCACAAAACTCCTCCGGCTCCACATTCGCATTGACCAGCTCCTGGATGAGGGTGCGCACATTCTTCTCCACCGGCTTCGGTTCCCGTGTCGACAATTCGATTAAATTGGCTAGAAACTTGCGACACTTTTCTTTGGTATTGCCCTGCTGCGTCGTCGTTGCTGCCGTCGTGCTGCTCACCGCCGACGCCACTCCACCCGCGGAGCTCACGTTGTTCACTTGCTGCTGGGACTGCTGGGCCGGTATCGTTTGGATTTGGGTTATCTGCGGCAGGTGCGGCGCCTGCGAATTAAGTTGCGTCAGGTGCGGCGGCTGCGATGAGTTCGCATAGCCACTGCTGGCCACCGAATTGACAATAATGTTGCTGGTGGCGGTCGTGTTGGTCATAGACTGCAGCGGAAAACAATACATTATTTATTAAATGGACCAAATATTATCATACATAATAGTGCAAAATTAAGACTAAAAAGCGTTAGAATAATTATTAAAATATTGTATAGTAGAATAAGGATGATGATGGTTCTTTTTTTTAAGGATGGGCAGGTTCTAGGTTCCTGTTCTCCAAATATGTGTGCAGGGGAGAGGGCTATGGCTGGGGCATGGATAATGAGATGAACTGCATAAGTAGTTACAGTACAATACCATTCCTTAAAATCATTTATTCGAATATAATTTGAGCAGTTATTATGAATTTAATACAAATTTAAGGTTTGATATATTTAAATTAAATATGGTTCAAAAAGACTTTAAAAAAATTAGCCCACACCTGTATTAAGAACTCTAGTAAAAAAAACTCTTTCAAAAGAAAGATTAAATTTGATTCTTAAAAAAATCTTAAATTTTCCAATTTGTTTGGATTCCTCTAGTGAATTTGTTTAGATAGGGAATTCTCAAGGAATGAAACAACAGCCCAGCACACATCGTTGGTTGGGGCAGCCCCAATAGCCAGGCCTATAACATGATGATTGGCCTAGAACAGCAACTCGTGGACAGCGCAAAACTAAATCGAATCGAAATAAGGAGTATTCAAAATACACAGACAATTACACAACGCAGCATGCATTACATTTACATATATATATTATATATGCAATTACATATGAGAATATTCTTGATAAATCAAAATTAAATGTTCGCAGATGACGAACCAAAACGTAACTGAAGCGTAGGCGTAGTTATATATATATATATAAATAAGAAGATCAAATCCAAATGCATAACAGACAAAGGAGAACAGAGGAGAGAAGAGCAAAAAAAAGTTAGAGGAATATATCCTGCTGGCTTCTCTTTACGTTTTGCTTGATCTTTATGGTGGCTGCCACATTGGCGGCAGCTGCTGCAGCGGCAGCCGCAGCGGATGCCTGTTGCTGTTTATGTTGCTGTTGGGCCTTGAGATGTTGCTGCTGTTGGAGCTTCTGTTGCTGCTGCTGTTGCTGGTTAGTAGCGGGTTTGTTGTTGTTGTTGGTAGTGGTGGTGGTGTTGGTGGTGGTGGTGGCATTGATAATACTATTATTATTATTATTGCTGGATGGGACTGTGGATGAAGTACGGACAATCGTTTTGCGCAGTGCAATGCTAGTGCTGGCGGTAGTGCTGGTTGTTTGTTGCTGCTGTTGCGATTGCTGCTGTTGTTGCTGTTGCTGCTGATGTTGTTGTTGTTGGTATCTACTTACAGCTGCAGCCGGCACAGTTTGCAGACGGATCTGTGTGGTTGTAGGATGGTTTGTGGTGCTTGTTGTGTTGCTGTTATTGCTGGTGTTGGTTATAGTCTGTGTCACCGTCGGCGGACCCGTCGTCGTGCCCACGCGCAACAGCTGGAATCCGTTATCCGTCTTGACCAGCAATGCCGGGGTCTGACCCGTATTAAGTGTGCTTAAAGTTATCTAAAAGTAAAGAGAGAAGACAGAGAGACTCGGTTTTCATCTGCTGGACCATGGTGTGTATGGTGTACATGGTGTATGTGAATGGTGGGCTGTGCACATGCGCGTGTGTGAGGAGTGCGGTTGGGTTAGGGAGCTCTGTGAGTTAGTAGAGAAGAACCCACCACAACAACCGTAGTAATAGCTTCACTATCCTTCATACTCACCGATGGACTCTGGGGTCTCACGCCTCCCATGTGGGAGTTGATCACCACACGACTAAGCGGGTTGGTGGGCACATTCTTCTGCTGCTGCTGTGAAGGCGCCTGGTGGCGCATGCCCACCACCACGCCCGCTGGCAGCATCGAGTTCAGCAGCGGTTGACCAGCCTGTGGAATACACATCATCATCATTAGTTAATCAATCGATCGCTACACTATCTTGTATTTCAAAGTCTATTTAGGGCAGTGGAAGCATTGAGAGGAGTTGCGGGATTGTAAGTTGGCCTACAGCATGCAGCATTTTGCGTTTATCGCTCGTCGGAGGGCCCAAAATAAAGTGGGCTTATGTTGTTTAACCGATTCTTGTTGTGCTGACCAAATTTGAAGGCGTGTGATCTACTATTTGTTCTATAAGCAAGCGTATAAAGCAAAAGTTCTACAAATATAATAGTATATATCTTGTGTAAAATAGGTGGGACTTGTGCTTGCGTTTGTTGGAAAAAAGGATTTTCGGGATTTTGACTAGGGATTCAATCTTATAGAATGTTTTCGGCATTGGGGTAGATTTGAAAGCTAATAGTGTTATTTTTAAGTTATATTTTCTCAGATGGAATACAAAGGAACGAAAATGAAGTAAAATATAGTGAATTCGGCGAGGAAATGTATGGACATTGTATTGGTAGAATGAAATTAATATTTTATAGATTGAATTCGGATTTTGAAGAATTTTCACACTAAATTATACAGAATTGTTTATTTTCCTTAATAACTTAAAAAGCTGTGTTATAAAGAGATAGATTTTTGATTAAGCCTAAAACGAGTAATGGATTTTAGAAATCTAGGAACGAATGCCTGGATTTTTGGTGTGTGAGAATGATGATTGGGTTTTACCCCATTTGGACAAGGATTTGGGATTTTCAAACAGCAGAGATAGCCATAGATGTAAGCGTAATAAAAGTAAAAGGTACAACCAAAGTGTGTGCGGCCACTACTATCCGATTTGAGCGTGGAGTTGAGGAAGTTTCGGATAAGGATCAAAATTGGACGACTGATACGGCCGACTTGCGATCGCCTAGCGCCCGAATGGGTTTAGCTTTAATGTGGATACCTGATTGATGGTCTTGGTCATGGTTACGATTCCTGCTGGTGCACTTGAGACTAGACCCGCCGGCAGGGTGACAGCATGGTGGTTGGATTTAATAACTAGGGTTTGTGTTTGGGTGGCACCTACGGATTGCTGCTGCTGCGCCTGCTGCTGCTGGACATGATGAACCTGCTGCAGACCCTGATGCTGACCACCGATCCCCGCCTGTATGGTCTTGATGGTGGTGGTGTTGGGCAGCTGTGCCGTGGATATGACGGCTCCAGGATTGCCGGCTATGTTGATGGTGCCATTGGGCAGCGGCTGGCTGGTGAAGGTGATGCGATTGCCGGCTGCTGTCTGGCTGGTGTTCATCGTGCTGTGTGGTGTTTATGTTTGGCGACTGTGTGTGTTCTTGACTTCTGTGTGTGATCCTGTTCCGATCAACTAGTGTCACACATCCTGTGCTGGCGATTCACACGTAACTCAGACTGTTGCATGCTGTGCGCTCCAGAAGCGAACTGCAAGGCAAGAGGAGGCGCTTATAGTATTTATACGAGGAGCGGAAAACGGAGGGAACAGGTAGGCGGAGGAACTGGATTGCAACTGCTACCTGTCTCCCGTCTACCTGGTGACCATAAACCAGATGCAGCCGAACACCTGGACGCGGGGAACACAGGTAATCTCGCGCATTCACCTTGGCCAAAAAAGCGGGTGCTCCGCTGATTTAGTGCTGCGCTGGCTCACTCGCACTCTCACTCTCGCCTTTCTCCTGGCGCATCCGTCGTCGTCGTCGCGTGTGTTGTGTGTTATCTTGCTAATTCGCTGCCTTTTGTTTGCCTTTAAAGGCTTTTCTTTTTCCACTTTTTCGATCGGCGGTTTTTCCTGCGCACACACACACACGCGCGCGCTCGCACGGACTGATTGTTGAGCACTGGAAGAATGCTTTATTTTGATTATTTTGATGTACAAAAAATTTGGCAGCGACGGTGCCAGAACGCCGCCATTTTCACGAATGCGCGTGCAAAGCGAAAATCGAGGGAGGCGGGCGTTGCCAGATAGCGGGCGAAAAACTCGTAACCGACGATCTGGCAATCCTCGATGTTTATGCGGGTGCGTGTTCGCAATCTTCGTTTATACGTCACTTTCAGTATTATATATTTATTTAAACACAAAAGTAGAACACTAAATTGTAACTATAAGCTCAGAAAAAATTATCTTTCTTCTGCATAAGTCGGCTACTTGAATATTAAAAAAAATAACAAAAAACCCCAGTTGCAACTTTTACATAGTTCCAGTGGCAATATGGAGCATCGTGCCAGTTGTAGTATTAGTAATTTCCACTTTAGTGGCCAGCGGGTGGTGGCATATACCCACGTCTGTGTGCGTACGTGTGTGTGTATCAGTTTTGTACAGCCTGCAACTGTCGGGAGCAATTTTTAAGGCTCTGCGGCCGATGCACTCACTTCAATTCATTTTGCGTTCAAACTCGGTGCACTTGGGCGCATTTTAAACGATTTCCCGTTGCGTTTCTCTGGCGTTTTAGCCGAAAACCGATTAAATATTGTTGACGACCGCCGAGGTACTAGAGCTGGGACAAAAATCGATGTTTACTCGATAGATTTTGGGCAGCATCGATTATTTCCCTGCAAGCATCGATTGTTTTTTACTGAATCCATATAAATACCGATAGCTATCGACGTCTCACTATACGAACAACATCACATCCCTAATACACAAACGTAAACAAATACAAATTATTTTTAACACGACCGAAATTAGAAAAATATAGGTGTTTAACACTAAGTTACGACAAGCCCACTCATTTTAGTGTTACCCAAAGATTGTTCAGGGAAACCACTCATATTTATTCGGCCAAAGGCTTGTACAGTGGGGACAAAGGAATCAATCATAAAATTTGATTCAATCCTTGTTCAAACATATTTAAAAATTAAAAAAAAACCCTATGTCATTTCGTTATGAGACTTTATTTTAAATGATAGGAGATTATGACGCTGCTTCTCTTAACTGGGTATTATGAAAATATTTTCGGATATCGCCCATCGGCTTTCTAGCAAGTTGAATGATTGATAATTTAAAATAAACACATACTCTCTTCATAATCAACACATTTTACCTTTTAAATCTAATATTTTTTATCATAAAAAAATATTAAACTTCCAATGTCTAGCAGCACTGACAGGTTAATGTATTTTCTAATTCGAAAGGCGCAATTACAAATGATACTTATCGATAGTTGTTAGCTTATTAAAAAAGTTCGACACTAGGTTATTCAAAATATATAATTTTTCCTTAAAAAAAACACCAACTAATGTTTTTTGATAATTTTGTAAAATGAAACAGATATTTTAAATATTTTTCTGAGTGGTATATTTTAACTGTCAAACTATCGATTTTTTTGACAGCCTAGTTTTTCGATATCTAGATAGTACCACCAATGCGGCAGCACTCTGTCCATCTCTACCGGCGCATATAGAAGAGAACGAAATTTTAATTTCACCGAATTGAGGTAATTAAAAATACAATAACTGTGCTGCAAGCATGTGCTGGTTTATCTAAAAGTACCATTCGAAAAGGGTTTCCCATGTGTGTTCGCTTCCATGTTGGATAGGCACGCGAAAAGTGCGTCTAAATTTGCAGGGTAAAAATCGATAGAGAAAAGCGAAAGAAAAAATGGAGGGGGCGCTTCTTTTCGACATGACGTGACTAAGACCACTTTGCCTATTACAGCTATAAACAGGCTATTACGGGGAAAGCACATATAAATTCCCGAATAAGTCCGCATAAATATTGACAGTAGTTGGATAGGAAAGTAAAGTTAAGAGCTAACGTAAGTAGCGCACACAACGTGGGGCTCCTCAAATGCAAATTGTGAACCACAAAAAACAGATTGACAACAAATTCGATTTCCGTATAATTGCAGCACACCGACGACAATGGCCAATAACAACTACGCCGGGTTCAACTACGGCGGCACCCAGTACAATACGGGTCAGGTCTCGTACCCGGCAGTAACCAATGCCACCTACGCGAACGCTGCCGCCTATCAGAACGCCGCTGTGGCCGCCGGACAGGGTGGTTATGGTGGAGCAGCTGGGGCAGGCGGTGGCTACGGCGACTACCGAAATGCCATGCAATCGTACGATGCCACCAAGACATTCTATCAGCAATCGTCGGCCAGCTACAACGCCTCCGGTTCGACAGCCTCGGTCAGCAAGACACACTATTCGGCGCCACCCGTCAAGAATCAGGTGAAAGGCAAGATGGACAAGTCTAATGGTGGACCAAAGCCGCCGAGCTCGGCTGCTCCGTCGGGCAACAATTACAGCGGCTATGATACGGCCCTCTACAATGCAGCTAGCATGTACGTGGCGCAGCAGCATCAGGGCAATCCCAACCAGAAGCCAAATGGCGGTGCCAATAACTGGTATCAGCGGAAGATGGGGCCAACCATTCCGGGGGCTCCGGCTTTGAGGGGTATGCGTCCGAAAGCGCCACCACGCCCCCAGCAGTTGCACTACTGCGAGGTGTGTAAGATCTCGTGCGCCGGACCGCAGACCTATCGGGAACATCTGGAGGGGCAGAAGCACAAGAAGCGCGAAGCCTCGCTGAAAATGTCCGCGAGTGCCACTAGTACCACCCAGAACAGGGGCAACAACTACCACTGCGAGCTGTGCGATGTGACCTGCACTGGCACGGATGCATATGCCGCCCATGTGCGCGGCGCCAAGCATCAGAAGGTGGTGAAGCTGCACCAGAAGTTGGGCAAGCCTATTCCCTCGGAGGAGCCCAAGAAGATGGGCAAGATCAATTTTGTCCCCGCCGCTGCTGGGGCTGGTGGATCAGCAGGAGCTGCTAGCGCCGCCAAGACTGATGGCGGTTCAAACGATAGCGATGCAGCCGGAGATCTCGATGATAACCTAGACGATTCACTGGGAGAAAACACGGACAACATTAAGCCGGTGGGCGGCGAGTATATCGAAGAGGTAAAGGACGAGGAGGGCAAGATACTGAGCTTCAATTGCAAGCTTTGCGACTGTAAGTTCAACGACCCCAATGCCAAAGAGATGCACATGAAGGGCCGCCGCCATCGGTTGCAGTACAAGCGCAAGGTGCAGCCCGATCTGGTGGTGGACTTCAAGCCCACTCCTCGTCAGCGCCGCCTGGCCGAGGCCCGTGCCAACCGGGCTATGATGTCCTCGCACCGTGGTGGTGACGACCACGATGGCAACTACTGGGAGGAGCAGCGGAACCGCCAATACAACGAAGAGTATGACTACAACAGCTGGATGTCGCGCAGTTTCGGAGGTGAGTTCATACACAATAATCCTTGGGGTGGCTTAATGCACCAGTTTAAACCACCCCTTTGTGACAAAAATAGCATCATTGCCAAGTGAAATCATAAATATTTTATAAACCCTTTCTCACCACAACGAGATGTCATCAATTGCGTAATAACATTTCAGGACGTTAATCGCAAATTATTAATTTCGATTCAGTTGAGATTTAATCATAAGCGAAACGTTTTTAAAACAAATTAGTCATATCTAGTTTAAATTCAATTGCAAATTTTAAAGGTTTTATAAACCCCCATTAATAACTTAATTAAAATTACTTAATAAAACTATATGACTCCAAGTAGTTTTATTAAGCAATTATTCTAAGCACATTTTAAGCACATTAATAACTTAATTAAAATTACTTAATAAAACTATATGACTCCAAGTAGTTTTATTAAGCAATTATTCTAAGCACATTTTTCAAAAATATCATTTTAGGTGCTCAGCGCTTTGGTCGCATGGGCAATGGACCGCCGCCACACTTCGGAATGATGCCCGGCGGAAATGTACGCCGACCGGAGAGCAGCGACGATCGCCATGCCATTGCGCGTCACGCCGAGATCTATCCCAAGGAGGAGGAGCTGCAGACGATCCAGCGCATTGTCTCACACACCGAGCGTGCCCTCAAACTGGTCTCTGATTCCTTGGCCGAGCAGCCCAGCGATGCCGGAGCGGCTAATAAGAAGGACAAGACCGACAAGCCTTCCGAGAAGGATGGGCGTGACAACCAGATCTTTTCGTTCCACAAGGACGCCGACAATGGTGGCAATGTGGTGCGCATTCTGAAGGGAGTGATGCGCGTGGGCTACCTAGCCAAGGGGCTACTGCTCCACGGTGACAACGCCGTCGAGTTAGTCGTTCTCTGCGCTGAGAAGCCGACGGCTGGTCTGTTGCAGCGTGTGGCCAACGTGCTGCCCGACAAACTCAAGGAGGTGGCAGGTAAGTGAGATGAGGCAGCTGCCATGGTAGTCCTTGCATAGCACTATTCTTAAATGACATTTCGGTTGTCCTATTGAGAGGAACAGATGAAAACTTTTTCCAGAGAAATGGCTTGAGTGAAAAATGCGGCTTAAAAGCATCACTGAATCAAAACAAAAAAAATAAATAAACACGTTCTAAGCTTGGCCAATTTCACTCTGACCAGCGCAGGTGAATTTGGCCAAATGGAAGCGGCTTAAACTAGTCAAATAAAACTAACAAAAAACGATTTTCGGAGCGCTAAAGATGCAAGATGAACGCAACTCACGATCCGTTCACATTCGCTATTTATTACGTTCACGTTCGACGGGCAATTTGTGTGGAAAAAGTCAGCAAAATAAATCAAATTTAATTAAATAAAATTATTGTACATATAAACTAGGACAACTAGAGTTGAGCCCTGTTGTTGCGGTGGATATAGATTGCCACGCCCGCCAAACCGCGCCCAACGCCCCAGTCAACATAGCAACTAATTGCGAATAAAAACGTATTTGCCGTTTTCAGCTTCTCTTTCTGCAGGATAAGTTTCGTGCCTCGAGCCTTAGCCTAGAAGCTCTGTGAGTCTAGAGTCTAAAGTGTGTGTCGTTCAGTTAGCCGTCTGTAGCCGTAGCTCAGCCCTCCCAGGTTGCTCCTCCTCCCGCTCGGCTGTTGCTGCTCTCTGCTCTGCTCCACTCCGCTCCACAAGCACAACCAACCAGCAACCACCAGCAGCGGATCGTCACGGTAACAAGCGCGGACTCGGAGCCACAAGTCAGCCAGCCTCCTGCAGTCTAATGTGGTGTCCTTGATGAACAATCAAACCAAACTCTTAACCAACTGAAATTCGAACCAAAGGAATATATTTATACAAAGTTTGCGCGTTCGATTCCGATTCTGATTCCGGATTAAACTTTGTGTAAATAAAGTCCTTTGATGGCCTGGCCAAGAAGTTGAACAACACAACAACACGCCTAGAAGCAATGCGATTGATCCACACACGAGACGCGATTGCCAATGCAAATGCAAGTGCTTGAGCCAAAATTGCAGCGCCGATGTGGCGCCTCATCTCTCACTCGAAAACAAGCAAATATATTTATACTCTATAATCTCGTATACATATATATGTCCAAGCGGCCGAATTGTGTGTATCAAGCTTGATTGTCAAATAGCAAATATATATAAATGCAAAAACAAAATTGCGAGCGAAATTTGAGTTGTGCACGGTGAATGGAGAATACTGAACGAGACGTCTGGTCAAAGTTAACCGCAGCCATAAATTTCGTTCAATATTTTAATGCAAACTAACCAACAAAACAAACAATTCAAGTCGAAATTCAGTAAAATACAGAAGTGCGCGCTCTAAGTGGAATTGCAACGGGTGGATGACGCCGAGTCCGAGTCTCGAGCTTGCAATTCCGTTTACGAGACCCGAAACGGAGATACCGATCCCAGCACGCAAGTCGAACGAATCTCCTGTTTGCTGGGAGACGAGCGAATACGAGGATCGTGGGAAGAAACAAACATTATTCGTGCTTTTCATACCGTGCATCAAGTCCCATTTGAACAATTGTTGCTAATCACTATTTTACAATGTATTACGTGAATTTTGCGGGCCCACACTGGAATTTTATTTCACCCACAATGTTTGTCTCTTTTTCCAAGTCGAATCTAGTATTTCAATTTTTTTGAGCTCCCTTAAAGGCGCCATTGTGACATTTTCTACTTTTGCTTTCTCGATTTCAGGCGACATTCAGGTCAATTATCGCGTTGAGGTCAACGCCGAGGATGCCGCATTAATCGTGCTCGACGAGGCTGTTTCGGTTAAGATTACACTCACTTCCCCTTTGCTGCGCGATACCAATCCAGGAGAGGTTTCCACCAGCGAAGATAACGAAAGCGATGTCGAATTCTTGGCTCGTGAGCCTTGTCTGCGTGTAAGTAGCCCAATGAAAAAACCTTTCTAACACTGAGTCTGTAGATTTTCTAACTAAAAATAAATATTCTCTGTAGGCTTTGGCTGATTTGCGCCACGCGAAGTGGTTCCAGGCTCGGGCCACTGGCCTGCAGTCGTGCGTTATGGTTATTCGCATCCTCCGGGATCTGTGTCAGCGCGTAGCCTCCTGGCAGGCGCTGCCTCAGTGGTCCTTGGAACTGCTCGTGGAGAAGGTGATCTCGTCGGCTGGCTTTCCAATCTCACCCGGCGACTGTATGCGCCGCATTATGGAGGCTCTTTCGTCTGGCTTCTTGATCAACGGACCCGGCTTGCTGGATCCCTGCGAGAAGGACCCGACCGACGCTCTGCTCGATTTGACCAAACAGGAACGCGAGGATCTCACTGTGTCGGCACAGCTGTTCCTGCGCTACATTGCCTTCCGCCAGATCTACAAGGTGCTTGGCATGGAGCCGCTGCCGGCCATGAAGTTTCCCATGCGTCCGTGGCGAGTCAACCGCAAGCGGCGCAGGTCATCGGGCAAGGCAGGAGGCACCCCCGGCGGGGAGACCGAGTCCAATGATATCGACGAGACAGGCTCTGACGAGAAGGTGGCCAAGAAGGAGGGCGCCTAGATGGCCGAAATAGTTTATATACACCTAGTTGGCTACTAATATTACAATTTCTCTCAAGATAAACAGGCGTCCAAGCGTCATTTAACTATAACCAACTCTTATCTCTCCACGAGTATTTAAACCAATTTGGGGTAAAAGGCAGGAGAGTTGCATGTGCAACATTTTTCCCGATTGGCGATTAGAGAACCCCCCTATACAGAAAACTTTAACTTACTATATTTAGCGGATCATGCAACTTGTATTTTTTTTAGCATTAGTGCAACGGAAGCAAATGTAATCAGTTAAGATGTTAACATCTTGGTTCTCACAAATCACACCAATACAATATATACATACATCCATACAAGAATGAAACGGATTTTAATAAAACGTAATGAACAACTATAATCATCAAAATTGGTTATTTTTTGAGGACCAATGTTATTTCTAATATATGTATTTTTATGGGACTTAAAATATAAATTCTGAGCAATGCTTATACGAAGTTGTTCCACTTCGAGCAGCTTTTCTTGTCTGGTGGCATACTTTCTGCAGGACGTTTTAAGGGTCTCGATACTTTGCTCCTAGAATTATTAAACATTTTCTCGGTGAGTTCTTGCTTTGCAGCTTCGATTTTCAGTGGTCCTGTAGAAGATTTGTTTGTACTCTCATCCACATAGTTGGCCCACTTATTTGTTGTCTTCTGAGGCGAAGTGTTTTCCTGTTTTGTGGGGCTGTTTTCCTTCTGCTCCAACTGTTGCTGGGCTGAAATAAATAAATTCTCCTCCAGTTCTTCCTCCATCATTCCACGCTCCAAGTTTAGTTGTTGAACCTTTGCCCGGCATTCTGGTCCTGATCCCCGGAAAAACTCCTTGATCATGTCCTGCTTTTGGCGGCAAATTTTGCATTCCCATTTCTTCGCCTTTTTTACCAAGTCCACCTAAATAAACAAGTATATATGAGGACTGGATTTTAATTGAGTAATTTGTTTACTTACTTGATACATTTTGCATTGCATGCATTGTAAAACACGAATTTGTTGGGACATTTTTGAATCGGCAGTAAACCAAATAAACAAAATAGACTTACAAACCAGGGATGGATAATCCAAAAATATGGAACCAGAACTATTTTTAATATATCAAATAAAATTAATAAATTACAACTATATTATATATTCAAAACATACATATAAATCAAGTTTAAAACTAACATTTTAATAAATGTGTTAAAAAACACATGTACCAAATTACCAGGGACTACTGGTTTCGGTTTAAAAGGAACCAGTCGGAAATAAGGCGCTCTTCATCCCTCGTGCAAAACATAAACAAACTTATAGCGTTTACTCATTGCGACTGGCAGTTTTTAAAAATGCGTTTGGTAAGTCATCTTGCCAATAAAATGAAACGGAAGTGACTCTCGACTTTGCAGTACTGCCTCAGCGGGGACCTGGCCAAGCCATGTTACATCATTACCTTCAAGGGCCTTCGGATAATGCTGGATTGCGGGCTCACGGAGCAGACGGTGCTGAACTTCCTGCCACTGCCCTTCGTTCAGTCCTTAAAATGGTCCAATCTGCCCAACTTTGTGCCCAGCCGGGATCACGATCCCCAGATGGATGGCGAGCTGAAGGACTGCTGCGGAAGGGTGTTTGTGGACTCCACGCCGGAGTTTAATCTGCCGATGGACAAAATGCTGGACTTTAGCGAGGTGGATGTAATACTTATCTCGAATTATCTAAATATGCTGGCCTTGCCGTACATCACGGAGAACACGGGGTTCAAGGGCAAAGTCTATGCCACGGAGCCAACACTGCAGATCGGCCGGTTTTTCCTGGAGGAGCTGGTGGACTATATTGAAGTGTCGCCCAAGGCTTGCACGGCGCGGCTGTGGAAGGAGAAGCTTCATTTGCTGCCCAGTCCCTTGAGCGAAGCCTTCCGGGCCAAGAAGTGGCGCACTATCTTCAGTCTTAAGGACGTCCAGGGCAGTCTGTCCAAGGTGACCATCATGGGCTACGACGAGAAACTGGACATTCTGGGAGCCTTTATCGCCACTCCTGTGAGCTCCGGCTATTGTTTGGGGTCCAGCAACTGGGTGCTGAGCACGGCGCACGAAAAGATATGCTACGTGAGCGGGTCCTCCACGCTGACCACGCATCCGCGGCCTATTAATCAGTCGGCGTTGAAGCATGCCGATGTGCTCATCATGACCGGATTAACGCAGGCTCCGACGGTCAATCCTGACACCAAGCTGGGCGAACTTTGCATGAATGTGGCATTGACAATCCGGAACAATGGATCCGCTTTGATTCCCTGTTATCCATCGGGGGTTGTGTATGACCTCTTCGAGTGTCTCACCCAGAATCTGGAAAACGCAGGACTCAACAATGTGCCCATGTTTTTCATTTCCCCAGTGGCAGACAGCTCCTTGGCCTATTCCAACATCCTGGCCGAGTGGCTCAGTTCGGCGAAGCAAAATAAAGTATATCTTCCAGACGATCCTTTCCCTCATGCCTTTTACCTTCGCAACAACAAGTTGAAGCATTATAACCATGTGTTTTCCGAGGGCTTTAGCAAGGACTTTCGGCAGGTAGGTTTAACATATTAAGAAATAAGATTCAGTGTTGTTAATTAAACTCTTTTGCAGCCCTGTGTGGTCTTCTGTGGGCATCCAAGCCTGCGCTTTGGCGATGCCGTGCACTTCATCGAGATGTGGGGCAACAATCCCAATAACTCCATCATATTCACAGAGCCGGACTTTCCTTATTTGCAAGTATTAGCGCCTTTTCAGCCACTGGCTATGAAGGCATTTTACTGCCCCATCGATACCTCTTTGAATTATCAGCAGGCTAATAAGCTCATTAAGGAGTTGAAGCCAAACGTGCTGGTCATTCCAGAGGCATATACAAAGCCACATCCCTCAGCCCCTAATCTGTTCATAGAACAGCCGGATAAGAAAATAATAACGTTCAAGTGTGGCGAGATTATACGATTGCCGTTGAAACGGAAGCTGGACCGTATTTACATCACCTCGGAGCTGGCACAAAAGATATCGCCGCGGGAAGTGGCTGCAGGCGTTACTTTCTCCACGCTGACGGGAGTTCTGCAAGTGAAGGACAAGGTGCACTGCATCCAGCCATGTGCGGACAGCATTAAAGAAGAGACCAGCTCGAGTACCAGCGCTCCGACGAAGGAAGACGTGCTGAAGAACGTCAAGTACGAGTACGGTAGCATCGATGTGGAGGCTGTGATGAAGCGGCTGACTCAGGATGGCTTCTCAAACATCAAGTTGGACCGCACTGGTGGCGCTCTGACTCTGAACCTTGTCAACGAGGACACGGTTATCAAATTCGAGGACAACGAGACGCACATTATCTGCGGTGGAAAGCCAACCACTCGTCTCAAACTACGGGACACCATCATGAAGTGCTTACAGAGTTTTTAAAAACATAAATATATTCCTTACACCTAGAAAACAACAAAACTTAATGCTTTACATTCATTATCGCAGAACAACGTTGACAGGTCTCCAGCTCGCAATCCTCGTCCAGACTAAATCGACGACAACGTGGACACAACGATGTCTGTAGTGTGGTTATGGCTATATCCAGCTCGTTATCATCGGACTGTATAAGTGTAACAGACCCCACTTGCAGTAACTCACATAACTCTGAATTTCTTAAAGTTTCTCCAAGAGTGGGGTGAAGTTCTAGCAGTAGCTCCAACTGGCTGCCTTTACGTCCTTTAATGGTCACAGCCAAATGCCAAGTATTTACCTCTCCAGCCTGCTGGTTGATGAGACGTTTCACATCGAGCGCCGCGTTAACCAGCTCAGTGGCTTTTGTGTCCTGCCATTCTGGTTTAGCACGAACACTCTGCTCATGGAAAGCTGCACCCGTGGCATCGTAATAGCTCCAGCTCTCCTCCACTAGGAAGGGAACAATGGGCCATAAGCTTTTGCAGAGTTGCTGATAGCAGTGGGTAAGCGTCTGACGAATGGCAAGCAATTCTTGATCGTCACCGCAGTAAAGACGATCCTTAATGAGATGCACATAGATGGCGGACACCTGATTGGCAAGGAAGTTTTGAACACAGGCCACTACGCGATTGTACTCATAGCCTTTGTAAAGATTCTCAACCTACAAAAGAATGAAAATATTATTTATAATAAGAGGATTTAATTAATCTCCTACCTCAGACTCAAATTCAACCAACTGGCTTAGCAAATAGCGGTTTAAAAAGCTCTTATCGGAAGTTTTTAACAGCTGTTCATTTGATTGTTTCTCTCCAATTACACCGTTTAGATATCTAAGGGTTCCACGGATCTTGCTCAGATTCTCAGCTGCCTGCTGCAGCAATTTGTCGCTGACCGTAATTGACATGTGCTGGGTTCCATGGGAGGCCACCCACCACCGCAGGGCATCTGTTCCATATTTTTTGGTTATCTGCTTGGGTGAGATGACATTTCCCAATGATTTGGACATCTTGTAGCCCTTTTCATCCACTGTAAATCCATGTACAAAGACGGCCCTTTAGGAGATGCACATTAAAAGAGTGTTTCCTTAGTTTTCTTAAAACTTTACTCACTTGTAGGGTGCACAACCTCGAGCAGCAATGCTCATTAGCAGGGAAGATTGAAACCAGCCGGTGAATTGGTCATAACCCTCCAAATACAAATCGGCTATTTTATCCTTCTTCAGCACTGCAGACCATGTGCTGCCAGAGTCGAACCAGATGTCCAAAATATCACTTCCCTTGACGAGATCTTTAGTTTCGTATCCCAGCTCGCTGAGTATATTAGGGGGTACCATTTCCTCCACCGACTTAGTCCACCAAAAATCCATGGATCCCTCCTGGCGCAACAGATTGCAGAGGTGTTCTATTAAAGCGGAATTAATTACCACTTTTCCAGTCTGCCGACTATAGAGAACGGGAATGGGAACACCCCACGCCCGCTGCCTGGAGATGCACCAGTAGGGTCGCTTCTGGAGCTGGGTAAGCAATGCCTTCTTGCTAGCCTCCGCATTGCTGCTGGGATAGATCTCCACGCTCTCCAGTGCCTCAGAGGCAGGCGCCTTTAGCTTCTCTGTATTGATGAACCACTGATCGCTAGCCCTAATTATTACAGGCTGCTTTGTGCGCCAGTCTATGGGATAGGAATGTTCCAGCTTGGCGGAGTGCACTACATCCTTTGCGATGTGCTCTAAGACAAGAGGGTTTCCCTGCTCCAGCACCGATTGTCCGCGTAGAAAATTGGGAGCTTCCTTCGTATAATTGCCGTCCTCGTTTACTAAGCATTTCACGGGTATTTTTTTGGTTAGACTAACCAGGAAATCCTCTGGTCCATGGGCAGGAGCAGTGTGCACCAAGCCCGTACCCTTGCTATCCTGTACATGACTAGCGTCGAAGAAAGGCAGATTAGACTGTTCTTTGTCTATTGGATGTTTATAAGTGAAGTTGCTCAAGGAGTTGCCACTCACATTCTGGACTATCTCACATTTGAGCTGTGTATTGGCTTCAAAGACTGCCAAGAGAGCTGAGGCAATGAGATATAGCTCATCCGGATGATTGTGATCCGATAACCTGACCAAAACGTATTCCAAAGAGGCATTGTAGCAAATGGCTTGATTACTCGGCAGTGTCCAGGGAGTTGTAGTCCACACCAGGGCATATATCTGCTTATCCTTGGCTTCTACATTCAACCCATTGGGATTTAGAGCAAATCTCAAATATACCGACGGACTTATGTGGTTCGGATCATATTCCAGCTCCGCCTCCGCCAGGGCTGTCCTAAAGGAACATTCTATTACATTGCTTATGCGTTAATAGTCTTCCCAACTTACCTGGAAGAAGGTGACCAGTAAACTGGCTTCAAATCACGATATACAAGTCCTCTCTCGTAAAGATTGTGGAACATTTGCAATTGATTGACAATAAACTCCGGCTGAATAGTCATATATATATCATCCTTCTGCCAGTTGGCCAATATGCCCCAGCTCCTGAACTCCTCCTTCTGCGATTTAATGGCCTCCAAGGCAAAAGCGCGAGCTGCAGACGATTGTAAGGGATTATAAATGAATCTCTATTCCAAGGAAGCACTCACATTTCTGCCGGATCTCCAGAGCATTCTGTCCCGGAGCGGTGCTAGTGGCCTTCAGTTCAATGGGCAAGCCATGGCAATCCCAGCCGGGAATGTAGTTTACCTGCTGACCATGTGCCACCCGCTGGCGCAGAGTGATGTCCTTTAGGATCTTATTGACGGCGTGGCCCATGTGGAGCTGTCCATTGGCGTAGGGAGGTCCATCGTGAAGCACAAAGGTGGGTGGTCCCTTCTCCGCAAGTCGCTGCTCCTGGTGTTGATACGAAACAGCAATCTTATTCTGCAAGATGTAAAACATAGGTAACTTATGATTTGGTAACTTCACATATTCAACTTACCTCCAAAACCAGACGCTCCTGTTCCTCGCGTTTGGCTGCTGTCAGACGATTGGGAAACTTGGTCTTCGGCAGATTGATAGTGTCTGTGTATTTTTTTGCATCTTTTTTAGCCGCTTTCAGTGAATATAAGCGATTTCCGATGCGAAAATTTAGAATCCGTAGCATTTTGTAGTCGAAGAAGAAGACATAAACGTAACAGCCGGCAAAGTGGAAAACATATGTTCATGTGGAACGTAAGCACTGTTTACACTGCACTATCATGTGGACTGTAAGTTCAAAAATTATTAGAAAATTTGAATTAAATGAAATACATTTTTAACGGTCTCAAGTCTTCTGACTTCGAGGGAAAATCTGTTGGTTCTCTCTGAATTTATAAAAATAACTACAAATTAATCTGACATCTGTATAACATAGCATGTGAAATTTATTAAGGAATCAATTTGTACCAAATTCTTCAGTTACGGATGTAGTTTCCCCAAGGAAATTAGTTTTAACCCTCAAATCGCATTGAAAAGTAAAAAAAATTGGGACCACATTTTTTTTGTTCAATTAAATTTTAATATGATTTGTTTATGAGTAAATTATTATTTGTATTTGTAAAATTACAAATCCTAACATTCTTAAAAATAATTAGTAAACTAAATCTTAGAAGTTTACTAATAAATCCCATTTTCGGTAAAACGGCGTCTTCAAATTCACTTATTTTTCTTTTCCGGATCTTTTGGCTTGTCATCCTTAGCCTCCTTTTTAGCCTCTCCTTTCGGAGGTTCCTCCTTCTTGCCCTTTTCTGGCTTGGCCTCCTTCTTGCCCTCTTCTGGCTTGGCCTCCTTCTTGTCCTTATCGTCCTTCTTGTCCTTATCGTCCTTCTTGGCCTCACCCTCCTTGGCCTTCGGCGGCGGTTCATCACCAGACATGCTGGCGGCCAGTTGGGTGGCCTTGGCCAGCACCTCTTCTGCATCGCCGACCATGTAAAAGGCGATCTCCGGGATGTCATCGTACTCTCCATTTAGAAGCCGCTTAAAGCCATCAACGCACTTCTCTACGGGTACCAGCTTCCCCGGATGTCCAGTGAAGATTTCGGCCACTTGGAATGGCTGCGAGAGAAAGCGCTGCATCTTGCGAGCCCTGGCCACGGTCAGCTTATCATCCTCGGACAGCTCATCCATTCCCAGGATGGCGATGATGTCCTGCAGCGACTTATAGGCCTGCAGGGTCTTCTGAACAGCTCGGGCCACGTTGTAGTGCTCTTCGCCCACAACATCGGGATCCAGGATTCGGGACGAAGAGTCCAATGGGTCCACAGCGGGATAAATACCCAATTCGGCAATGGGACGGGACAGCACGGTGGTGGCATCCAAATGCGAAAAGGTAGCCGCCGGAGCAGGATCACTGAGATCATCGGCGGGCACGTAGACAGCCTGAACGGAAGTGATGGAACCATTGCGGGTGCTGGTGATCCGCTCCTGCATGGTGCCCATGTCAGTTCCCAAAGTCGGCTGATAGCCCACCGCCGAGGGAATGCGTCCAAGTAAGGCCGACACCTCCGATCCCGCCTGGGTGAATCGGAAAATGTTATCTATAAAGAGCAGCACATCCTGCCCGTCAACGTCGCGGAAATACTCAGCGATGGTCAATCCGGTAAGGACCACGCGGGAACGAGCGCCTGGTGGCTCGTTCATCTGGCCAAAGACCAGCACCACCTTCGAGCTATCATCCTCCAAGGATATAACCTTTGACTCAATCATTTCGTGGTACAGATCATTTCCCTCACGGGTGCGCTCTCCTGCACCCACAAACACGGAGTAACCGCCATGGGATTTGGCTATGTTGTTGATCAGCTCCATGATGAGCACCGTCTTGCCCACTCCGGCGCCACCAAACAGACCAATCTTGCCGCCCTTGACATAAGGAGCAAGCAGATCAATCACCTTGATACCTGTGACCAGGATCTCAGGCTTCACGCTCAGATCAGTGAGCTCCGGAGCTTCGTTGTGGATAAAGGAGTAGTATTCCGACTTGATTTCACCGCGATCGTCGATAGGATCGCCCACCACGTTCAGGATGCGTCCCAGGACAGACTTGCCCACCGCCACACGGATGGGGTAACCAGTGTCGACAACCCTCTGACCACGTCGGAGACCCTCCGTGGAGTCCATGGCCACACAACGTACGATGTTGTTGCCCAGATGGTGGAAAACCTAAGCACAGAAAAAATGTAAGTTATATTTTATCTGAATTATGTGCATTGTAATTAATATACTCCCAAAATTAAATGCCATTTCTCATTTCAATCTTAAAATAATTCTTAAATTCATTAAATACGCGATTATTAATGAATAATATGAAAAACATTTTTAAAAATGATATTCCTATTTTACAAAGGTACAATCAGAATAATCAGTTCAATTGAAAAATTATTCATTATATGTAAAATGTACATATGTATGTATATACAAGTATAATCATAAATTAAATTAAGCTTTAAAAACCATTTTTGGTAATTTTTTTTATAAATGAGAGTTAATTATAATTTTACAAGTCTGGTGACTTACCTCCAGCACCAGGTTATCAATGGGTGAGTCCAGCACCTTGAGGGCATTAAGCACCTCCGGCACTTCCTCCTCGAAGTACACATCGATGACGGGACCAATGACGGCGTGGATAATACCCTTGCGACCCTTACTCTCCAGTTCTTTCCCCTTTCCTTTGTCGCCCGACTCGTCGTCCTCACATTCATCCTTCTGCTTGACCAGCTCGGTGTCCGTCTTGCATTCGTCCTTCGGCTCGGGCTCGCATTCATCGCTCGACTTGTCTTTGTCCTTATCATCCCACAGGGCCAAGGATGCGTGCAAGGAGCGGGCGTGGTTGGGAAACTGCCCAAAATTACCCAAGAATCTTCCACCCGGACCACCATTTGCCTGACTAATCTTTAGGCCAAACCTTGCACACGCTGCCATGGTTTTCGTATTTCAGAAAAAGCTGAGGCAATTCAATTGGTCTAGACGACTTACCTGTAGCCATTTTAGCCCATGCCACCAACATTTTTCTTAAGTTTTTTTTTTCTTTAGCTCCTTAAACGTCTTCGCTGCAAATTAATTTTGCTGGTAATGGCAGCTTTATTTGACAGATGTCATAGCCTACTACCGTGACTTTCAAATTATCCTAGGGATTTTCTATGGGTTGTCACCTATTGTACTGCAATTGTATTCCCTTTCCAACACTTGTCTTTAGATTGCCACTTTAAATATAAAAAAAAAACAATAAAATATTTATTTATGTTTTCTGATGTAACCCCAAATTTTCGAAAAATGGCTTTGCAGAAAAGTGTGAAAAAACTGCACTTCTAGGCTCATAACTTTTCTTACAGACATCCGATTTCAAAGTGGCATACTTTTAGATGATTGTGGTTATATTCTCTAAAAATCTGTGTTTTCAGCTTGGTTTGTATTTTGGAGTCGATTTTCGTCATTTTAATGATGCTTTTCGAAAAATGGCTTTGCAGAAAAGTGGCCCAAAACCTGCACTTTTAAGCCCATAACTTTTCTTACAGACATCCGATCTCAAAGTGGCATACTTCTAAATGATTGTGGTTTTATTCTCTAAAAATCTGAGTTTTCAGTTTGTTTTGTATTTTGTGGTCGATTTTCCGTCATTTTAATGATGTTAGTCCTTTTCAAATTTTCGAAAAATGGCTTTGCAGAAAAGTCTCCTAAAACATGCACTTCTAAGCCCATAACTTTTCTTACAGACATCCGATTTCAAAGTGGCATACTTCTAAATGATTGTGGTTGAATTCTCTAAAAATCTGCGTTTTCAGTTTGTTTTGTATTTTGGGGTCGATTTTCCGTCATTTTAATGATGTTACCCCTTTCCAAATTTTCAAAAAATGGCTTTGCAGAAAAGTGGCCCAAAACCTGCACTTCTAAGCCCTTAACTTTTCTTACAGCCATCCGATCTCAAAGTGGCATACTTCTAAATGATTGTGGTTTTATTCTCTAAAAATCTGAGTTTTCAGTTTGCTTTGTACTTTGGGGTCAATTTTCCGTCATTTTAATGATTTTACCCCTTTCCAAATTTTTGAAAAATGGTTTTTCAGAAAAGTGTCAAAAAACTGCACTTCTAGGCTTATAGCTTTTCTTAAAGACATCCGATTTCAAGGTAGCATACTTTAAAATGACTGAGGTTTAATTCTCTAAAAATCTGTGTTTTTAACTTGGTTTGTCATTTTTATGATGTAAACGCATTCTTCAGACAGTTTCCCTTTTAGCCATTTTTAAGGGTTGGCTATGTTGGTTACCAAGGCTACCCATAACCAAGTCCTAAAACCAAAACAGGAGTGTTTGCAAGCTCACAGAGAATGGACGTTTTATCGCATTACAGCTCTCCCGTGGTTGAATTTTTGGCTACCCAGCCGCTGGAGAAACAATACGCCCTGGTGGACAACTGCACGGGCACTGATCCACCGCCTCCAAGCAAAGATGCCACCACGGGAACGCAGGAGAAGGTGCATGCAGCCACACAAACAGAGCAAAAAGTGGTTAGCAGCAAGGATGTGGAATACGATGAGAGGGCTTTGGCCAAGTGGTTGCGTCAAATATGTCCAATGGTTGAGCGGGAGCTGATGAATCCCACTCCGCTGATGGAAGACCTCGCCATGAGCCAGTGCCGCTTGGAGGAGGAGTTGCAGGTTTACACCTACCAAAAGTTGGCCATGGGAGGAGCGGAGAACTCGCAGGGACTGGCCATCTGGCTGTGTGTTCACACCAATAATGCTCCTGTTCTCGTGGCCACCACGGTGGCTCCCCATGATGACTGGTGTGAGCATGTGGATCAGCAGCTTAAGCTCTTTGTCCCACAAAGGATGTCCAATGGAAACTTTGTGATTTTTTCTGAAGAAAAAACGTTGCCATTGAAATCCTGCCTGCGAAGTCTATGCACAAATCCTTTTAACAAGAACATGTTTGCGGGTTCTACAATGGATGGTGAGCTCTTCATCTGGCTATACGAACAGGCGAGGGGTTCCGATTCCAGCGTGGAGATCAAGCAGCTTCACAGTGTGTCCTCAACCCAGGGAGCAGCTGTGGCTCTCGACTGGCCGAGGGAACAGCTACTGATGGCCTGTTATGCCAATGGCAGCGTTCGCCAGTGGGATTTGAGCAGGCAGATGACACTGGATTGGGAGTGAGTGAGCCTGGTACATTTGAAATAGAACAACAATACTGATTTATTTCACTAGGTATTCCCTTCCCGCCACGGTTACTTCAGAGCCCACGGCTATGGTGGCACTGGGACTCGATGATTTTGTACTCGGCACCAATGATGGTAGCGTTTTCCGCTGCTGGAGCACCGGTCGCCAAGCTGCAGCCACTAAGCAGATCCAATTGTTGGCCCTACGACGACATCGTTTCATGGTGTCCACGCTGCTCCGAACGGAGATGGGAGGCAACCAATTCGTCCTCAGTTGCGATCTCAGTGGACAGGCCTTCTACCACGATATGCGAATTGTGGATGAGGTTAGTAGATGGCAAAAGGTTATCCTATCACGTTTGTACATTTACTCTAATACCAAACAGGATATGGCTCAGTTAATAGTGCAGATCCCATTGCCCTTTAAGAACGTCATCGCCTGCAGTCGGGATGGCAATATCATCTACTGCCCAGCCAATGATGGAGCACTAGAGGTACACAGGGTGAGCGATGGAGCCCATGCCCACGTCAAGGGAGGATTGCGTGGCAAAGGAAGTCTCATTCGAAGCAGCGACAATGGGTAAGTTAAATATACATGAAATAAGAAAATTCAAATATTGCTTAAAAACTACCCTTACAGCCGCTGGTTAATAGCTGGCATCTATGGCGATGAGTTCCAGATTTTCTACGTCGTGTATTAAAGAGTCACATTTAATTTCGTTCTCAGTTTTGAAATAATCGCTTATATTTGCATGACTGCTTATGTTAATATGTACGGTTTCATCTTCTCTTAGGGTTGCTATTTACACGAGTTTATTTTAAAATTTCTCAGATCTCTAACAAATACCACATGTAAATATAGACTATATATTGTATAAACAAGAGTTTCTTTGTGAAGAATTTCGAACAAAATGCATAAAAACTTAAAGCCATTTCGACAATATTGCGTAAAAATAAGACTGATTTTCTCCGGGGGATCTCGTTAAAACGGCGCAATTCTCAAGCGATTCACAAAATAAAATGTACTTTATATCAACTTCTAATCATTCCATAGTTTACACTCTTCATTAGGCTCGAGGTGGACATATAAAAGTAACATGTGGTGTGTAGAAAAAGTGTTATAATGACATAATTACAAAATGGCAATAAATGAATACACATCTTTTATAACCATTTGCCTAGAGTAAAATAAATTATGCAATTAACATTAACGAGATATACGATATATAAATATATAATAGAACTGCACACAATTTTGCTAAATCTCTCACGTTCGAACGTCCGATCCTAACTGTCCTAATCACGCGTTTCCACTCTTATCCACTTCAGTCCATTCTGCATCCACACGTTCAACTTTTCACTTAAGCTTAGATTGCAATCTGCATTTTGCACATATCAAATATTGTTGTTTGCGATAGTTCACATAATAATAACTAGAAGCAGCGCTCGCCCAGCTTCTGATTGGCTGATGAACTCAGTTGAAGAGCACTGTATTGGGGTCTTCGTTATCCATCTGCTTCACATGACGCAGCACATCTTTCTTGGTAATTACTCCGAGTAGGCGACTGTAATGGAACATAGTTTATAGTACTTACTCCATGTTTATCGACTTATTGTTAAAAACTCACCCGTTATGTGTTACTAATGTTTGTCGCAGACCCAGCTTGCGGAACATGTCCACTACCGTTTCCATTGGCGTTTGATCCGTCACTGTTATCGGCGCCATGTCTAGGATCTTCTTTAGTTTAAGCGGCTGGGGTCCCAGATTTTGAATGGGCTGGGTCGACGTGAATAATACTATGGAGCTGCTGCTGATGCCCTCGATCAGGCGTTTGCCATTGCCTAAAAAATATGGTATTTAAGGATCGAAAATAAGGATCGAGCTAAGTACAACTCACCTATAGCCAAGTTAAGATCTCTGCGCAGCACAAAGCCCACCAAATATTGATTCTCTCGGGACACCACTACAGGATAGCCATTGTGTTCGGTTTCTTTAAGCAGGTTCTCCACATCGTCCACCGTCATGGAGTCTTGTGTGATGACATTTAAAGTTTCATTGCGCCTGAAAGAGTTTTTATTAGTTAATTTAGAAAATAAAACCATATTTATGTACTTACTTTGGCTGCATCACATCTGCGGCCAGTGTTGTGTGCGCAAACTCTTCTTTGCTGTCTAGGAACGGATAACCATTCAGCGCTATGTGCGCATCGTAGATGCCTTGCCTGCCCAGAGCATCGCCCACCCACTTGGAGGCCATGGCAGCTGCCATCAGTGGCACAATATATCGTACTCCGCCTGTCAGCTCGAACATGATCACCACCAGGGAAACGGTCATGCGAGTGACACCACCCAATACAGCTGCTGCTCCCACCACCGCATACAGTCCTGGAGTAATGAGATTGCTGTCCGCACATTCGCCCGTAAAGAACCAGATGTTGGGATAGCTGTAGGCAAATTGCTCCACGCCAATGCCCACGATGCGACCCATGATGGCGCCCAGCAGCAGGGACGGAATAAAAAGGCCAGCCGGCACTTTCATGCCAAACGTAAAGATGGTCAGGGCCAGTTTTAGAATAAAGGTAAGCATCAGCAGCCAAATGGAACTGTAGACACCCGGACCTGGCTCTGTGACTTCAATGATACTGTTGCCCATCGTTATGTTCATGCGCTTGTACTCGCTAAAAGAAAATAGTTAAAAATAGTTAGAATTTTTATAAAAATAGCAATGGTTATTTTGAAAACTCACCACAATGGGTTGGTTACATCGCCGGGAGAGCACTTGCTGACCAACAGGAATATTAACTCGTTCATGTTCATGCGGGTAAAGGGATTGGGGTAGCAAATGATGCCAGTGACCAGGGTGACAAAGAGCACCTCCATGACGGGATACTGGCCCAGCTTGCTGAACTTCCTGTAGCGGCACCACCACAAATTGGCCTTGATGAAGAATGTTCCAATTACACCCTAATGGTAAAATCATGTCAATAAAATATTTTGATTTATAATTACATTTGACTTACCCCCATTATTCCCAGGAATACAAAAGGAATGAGTTCGAAGAATATCCAGGGCTTATTGTACTCAACGAAAAAGAGCACGGAATGCTCGTTACCAAAAGGAGTCAGCGAGCGAAGGACGAATGCGGCAATCAGTGCACAAAAGAAGGAGCGCCACAATGTCTTTAGCGGAAAGTAGTAGGAAACTTCCTCCAGGGAGAACAAAACTCCACCAATCGGTGCGCCAAAAGCCACAGAAACACCTGCCGCTGCTGCTGCCGATAGAATCTCACGCTTCTTGGCCTCATTCCGACCATATTTGGGGAATACGTGCGAGAATATATTGCCAATGCAGCTGGCAATATGAACCATTGGTCCTTCCTTGCCCAGAGTCAGGCCAGCGGACACGGACAGCATCAGGCCCACCGATTTGATCAGCAGCGTCCATTTGCCCAGGTAGCCGCGTATAATAAAGCCCGACAAGATGGTCTTGATCTCCGGAATACCCGAACCGCAGGCATACGGTGCAAACATTCGCACCAGAGATGCGCTGAGCGACGCGAATAACAAGGCCCACAGCACATACCAGATGTAGGCGACGATATATGGTCCGGTGCCATTACGATCCAGGCCAAAGATCTCTGGCCAGGTTTTCCACTGTAATAAAAAGCTGTATAATTGGTTTACTTATATAAATTATTATTGCACTCACCGTCGAACAGTTCCCTTCTTCGAAAACCGACTGCTTCGCCGGATAGCAACATTGCTCGCGATTAAACCAAAAGGCAGGTGGACAAATGCCATGCTTCAGATCCGACATCCAACTGGCTCCAATGTCTACCATGCCCGCCACACAGCCCGCGGCAATACCGACAAGCAAAACGCATAGCCAGCCAGATCCGGCATCAATGGACCCCTGAAAGAAGAAGATTGATTAGTCAAAGTTTTCTTTTAAAACATATTCGATTTTTTACCTTTATAAGATCCCACAAGGAGTCCTGCCGTTTCTTGACTATGTAGCGATGTCGCATTCGGTCACGAGCAATGTCCCGCTGCCAGTCGATGGTGTGGAAATCTTCGTACTGCCCAATGCCAGGAATATCATCTTGTACATCCGAGGAACCGTAGAAGGATAGTGCTCCTAAGGCAATAAACATGAGAATAGTAAGCATTTATGTTCTGACACTGAAAGCTCTGAGTCATATTGTCTAGATTGAGTGGCATTAAACTTTTAATTTAAATGGTTTTGATGTCAAAGTCCACTGAGGAACAGAGCTTCCCAGTTATAACCATATGCCCTGAAACTCTGAGTATTTTAATCGTGTTGCATTCCTATTTTGATACTACACACATGAATGTGTGTCTATTCTTTTCTTGAATGGCATTTGAGTGATTGTTTATTATTGGTAATAATAGTATTTTTCGACACGCAGATTATTTTATAAACATACATAGCTTATTCGTAATCATCGTAAACAGAATTTTTTTCGAGCTTGAGCTTCTATAAAGTTTAATATTTCTATTGATATTGATCGTTTTAGCGTGGCGTTAACATCATAATTTCCATGCGATTGAAATGATCATCGCATATGCGAATTGGTATTTACCCAACAAACACAATGAATTTAATGTTCATTCCGATTAATAACTTTTAATGGAAGTGCCAGCTGGCTCTTTGGACTATTCTGTGATTATTTTTTTCTAAATTAGCATCACGTGTGCAAACTATAGGCTTGTGTTGGTGCTTATTTGCCATATATCAATAATTTAACTTGAATCCAAGCAGTGCCGCCACAATTATGCATATGTGTCTGTATGCTAATGATCGTACGTATTAATTGAATTGCCTAGAGAGCGAGTACAGCAGTGTGCCACGCCACCGACGAGGTAAGGTGACGTCGCCTCACTCATATGATCATGATCTTGATTAACACCACAGACAGTGGATGCTTTACGCAATGGATATCTCTGAACTCACCGTCCATGGGATCGCCGAAGGCACTGTGAGTTGGCACATGCTGGTGGTGCATTGTCCGCTGATTGTGATGATTGCCGCCGCCGATTGAGTGTCCGAAATCTCGTTCGGTGTCCGATTCGGTTGCCGTTTCCCGGTGATAGCCGCTACTGCTTCCTCTTCCGCCGCCGCCGATCACGTCGCCCGGACTGGAGCGCGGTGTGATGTCGATCATGTCCTCGTCGTCGGTGCCCGTCGCCGTCAGCGAGGTAGTCAGTTTGGAGTGCTGGGCCAGCGGGTGGTCACGAAAAGCTCCGTCGATGTCGCCGTCGCCGCCCGTTCCGTTCGTATGTCCGTTGGACTGGAAAGAGCGAAAATGACAAAAAGCTATAAGATACGGTTTGACTATTTGGAGAGGTTGGAAAGCGCTTTGTTTACGCATTAAGTCTGATAAGATTAAGATCTCGGACAAATCGAGCTCGGTAATAATTATTCATACATATGTGTTTAATTCTATATCGTAGAACTACATTTGGCAACATTTCCGCCCCCTTATGCCAGATGTTGCTGGGTAGTTTCGAATAGAGAAACAAGCCAATCACAAAAAAAGCCCTTTATCTTGTAGTTTAAAAATAAATTTGAAACTATGCAAGATAATTGTAATTAGAATGAAAAGCAGCGGATATCCTGAAGAATTTGATTCATGAAACCAAACAGTTCGTTTAAAAACCTTAACTTTTAATATACCAAAAAGATTTTGTAATTTAGATCGTATATGTTTTTAAATCGCATATAAAAACATATATATATTTTTTTGAAGTTTCATAAATGATAACTTTTATTATTATATGTCTGAATATTTAATATTTTTTTCTTTAATAGAAAACCTGGCCGCTCCTATGAAGGAAGCGCTATACTTAGATGGGTATCTTTATTTAGGAAGCACTTCCAACAATTTAAACGTAAATTAAACAAGAATATTAATTTTTATACTGTGCACATTTAAATACAGATGTACCAGAACGTATTTTCCACCATATTTATCTAAAATTAACTCGTATTTCATGTTTCCCAACCGACATTTATTGTGGTGCGTAAGTAGGTAGGTGATTGGGGGAAATCCAATCCCCTTGGGCTTATCACGAACGGCGTACCTTTTTCATCACCGTTTGGTAGGCGGTTATGTAGCTGTTGCCCTCCGCGGCAGCCTCCCTGCTGCCCTTCAACGGAAACTTTTCCATGGCTCAATCCAGCACTACGTGAGTAATTCTCTAGCTATCCAAAATTTCTTGTTTTGTACTGTCTTTTCCGTCGCAGTCGAGTAGAGCAGCACGTCACTAAATACAAACACACACAAACTGTTGTTCGTGGGGCGAATCGAATCACTTTCTTTCCATTTCACTCGGTTCGCGGGAGTAGTTGATCGATCTCAGTGGCATTGAGATGGCTCGAACAGGTATTTGAACGATTATATAGTACACATAACATTGGTAAAGTGCTTACTTTGTGTGCGAATATTTTATTTGCAAAAATCAGAAATTCAGTATGACCAGAGCGGGAAGGAAACGAAATATTGATGTATCGAAAAAGGGACGATTGTGAATATATTCGATAGCAAGCCAGCTGTACTAATCGACCGTTAAAATAAATTATGAATTTTCAGGCATATTCCTATTTATATACATTAAATTTTACAAATTAATTTTGATTAGATATTTCAATATAAACATACAAAATATAATAGTCCCCCATTCACTTTCTGTCAATTTCAAATCAAATAAAATATTTGCTGAGCATTCGTTTTGCTATAGAAAGTAAAAATAAAGTTCAAATCAATTCATACTATTACATATACTTTTATTGATGAGAGGTGTGGAAAATTGATTTAATTATATTAGCAAATCACAATTTTAGTTGATTATATTGTTTCGGTGTTTTTTTAAGCCCTTGGATATACAAATCATTTAAATCAAGCAGTTAAAGCTTTAATTTAAGAACATTTTAAGTGCAATTGCTAATTTTTCTGTGTGCAGTTTTGGTGTTTTTCCAATATCAGAGAGATCGTGGTATATTTAGAGGAATCCCGCAGGGTCACTCTGGTCGCCGAGTTTGTTTACGCCGTACAGCGCACGGATTGCAGTTGGGCCAACAACAAGGCGCGAGCATAAACATCGATATTAACATGGCCGGCTTCGTGGCGGTGCACACAGGTTCGTATTCGGCCAAGGCGGTTCCGACCCGACAGCCAGATGATTGATGACCGCCATCCGTTTTCAGGGGCTGGGAACTGCATCGACGAGACCAAGTACCAGCGGGTGATCAAGGAGGCGTGCCTGCGGGCCACGGACATTCTGCGCAACGGAGGATCCGCCGTGGACGCCTGCGAGGCGGCCATTGTACGACTGGAGAATTGCGGCTACACGAACGCCGGCTACGGCTCCAATCTCTGCTTGGACGGGTCAGTGCAGTGTGATGCGGCCATAATGGATGGCTCCACTCTAAACTTCGGAGCATGCACCAACGTCAGCCGGGTAAAAAACCCCATCCAGTTGGCCAGACGCATCTGCGATGCCCAGTCCACTCCACAGCTCTTGGAACGCATTCCACCGATGATCCTCGCCGGCACTGGAGCGGAGCGCTATGCCGACGAAGTGGGCTGCTCTATGGTGGATCCCGCCGTCCTGATCTCATCGAAGGCCAAGTTCCAGTTCAATCACTACAAGAGCAAGTACGATCTGGTGGTGAACAGCAGATTGGGCAAAGCGGCCTCCGAGGAACCTGTAGCCGTCCCGGAACCCGGAAACGAAGTGGAACTGGCCGCCGCCCTGGACACAGTGGGTGCGGTGTGTGTCGATGGGGCGGGAAATACGGCGGCTGGATGCAGCTCCGGCGGTATACTTCTTAAAGTTCCAGGTAGAGTGGGCCAGGCAGCCACCTATGGAGCTGGCTGCTGGGCTACCGATACAGACGAACTGGCTATCGCCACCTGCACAACCGGCAACGGTGAGTACCTGATGAAAACGCTGCTGGCCAGAGAGATCTGCCACGGGGCCTTCAGCAGCGACTGTGCGGTGACCAGTCTCCATCGGACATTCAAGCAGAAGTTTCTCGACTCACCGCTGCTGCCCCGACAGCAGGATCTCTACGCCGGCGCACTGACCCTGCTCTATTATCCGGGCCAGAGCAGCGGCGAGGTGATGTGGAGCCACACGACGCAGTCGTTCTGTGTCGGCTATATGGCAACCAACCAGAGGGTGCCAAAGGTTCGTACGCCCATCCATCATTTTCCGATTTTGAATCTATATCTAGTTTGGTGTGTGTTTATCGTTTTGCAGTTTGTGCATTCGCCGCTGCCCACGTACAGCGTCCCCGGCCGGTCGTGCGTCGTCAATGGCCATAATTTCCATTTGCGCATTTAAATGTGGGCTGGCTGGCCAACTAGCGCCAGCGGCATCCCCCTGCTGCTCCTGGTCCTGCTGCTCTGCATCTGCAATTCATTTGATTTAATGTTTAATTGCCGCGACAATCGCTGCCAATGGCAAATGGCAGAAAGCGGCTGAAAGCGCCGGAGGAGGAGAGCCGGGACAGAATTATGTACATGCTGCTTTCTCTCGACGAAATATTAAGATAATTAAGAAAAAACTTTTATTGTAAATTCTCGTAGATTGTAATGTGTGCAGTACTAGTAGCAATGAAATAGGATTTCGAATATTGTTCTCCTCGTCGAACCGGGTGCGCTAGATAAATCAGCCAGCGGTTCGGAATATCATATTCGAGGGGGCATATGTTTGTATCCGTTTGTATATTTAGACGCGCTGACTTGTGTGCGCATCTGTGTGTTTATGTCCAAGTGTTTACGGCCATCAATGTACAGAACTTAACCCATTAATTTCAGCGAAACAGAAGCCACAGCATGCACACACAATATCAAGGTCTCTAGTATCATCAGTTGTCCTCAACATGAATATGTGATCATTGTGAAAATGCTTTTACTTTTAGCGTAAACCGATTTGTACATACAAACACAGATATGACGCGAACTTTTTTTAAATACAACATTCATACGTATTCATTTCTCCGTTTATGGGGTTTCGGCTAATAATCCCATGGTATTTCATGGCATATAAATTCCTAAACATCTCGAGGCTTTTTCAAACATACATACACCCCCAAACAAATGAGTTCCATTAGCTGACTGCCTAAGTTCGTGTCCTTGAATTTAGTAATATTTAAAATCGTAAGGTCACAACGTATAATCAGCAATAACTAATTCGTAAATGTACCGTAATTATTATTTCAGTTTTATTTAATGATTATTAAAGATTGTTTACAAATCTAATACTTTAAAAACTTTGAGAAAACCTGTTCTGTATTTATTGGAGATTTATCCGGAGGATTCTGTAGCAGTTGTAGTGGTAGAATCAGTCTCGGATTCAGCAGTCGTAGTAGATGCATCCGTGGAAGAATCACTACTGGTAGAATCAGTTGCGGACGGATCAGACGTAGTAGTGGTGGAATCAGACGTAGTTGAGGTTGTTGTGGTAGATGCATCAGTGGAATCACTACTGGTGGAATCAGTTGCGGTCGTAGTAGTAGTAGAATCAGTCTCGGATGGAGCAGACGTAGTAGATGTTGTTGTGGTAGATGCATCCGTGGTAGAATCACTACTGGTAGAATCAGAAGTAGTAGTGGTAGAATCAGTTACGGATGGAGCAGGCGTAGTAGAAGCGTCCGTAGAAGAAACAGTCGTAGAATCACTTGAGGAAGAAACAGTCGAAGAATCACTTGTAGAAGACGTTGTTGTGGTGGTTGTGGTTGTTGTTACCGAGCAGCTGGCAGGCTTGGTCTCCACACATTTGCTGGTGGTCGTGTCAAAGAACGGCTTCGAGGAGCCACAAGTCATGAAGAGGGCCACCCAGTCGGTACCAGATTTCTGGCAATATAGGTAACTGTTGCACGTGGAGTCGTCCGTGTTCCTTACGAAAAAGTAAGAGGCACTGGAACTGGCCTCGCCAACACTGCAAGCCTGCTGTTTTTCCTCAGCACTGGGCGTTGTAGCCGGAGCAGCTGTCGTGGTGATGGGCTCGTACACAGAATTGCTGCAAGTGGCGGAAATGTCCACCTGTAAAGAAATCAAATGTTACTCAAGATCGATTTCCATATCCCGAAAATACTCACAAATTCGGCGGCGCAGGCAGGCACACAGAGGGTATCATAAATAGAAAGTGCCTGGATAACACAAATCTCATCGGTACCACAGCTGTACACATTGGAAGTGAGTAGATCTCCGCTTGATGAGCAACGGGCATAGGAAGAGTTGCTCACACAGGCGTATTTGGCGTTAGTAGAACACACTTCGCACATGGCGCCGTTTGAGCCAGAGGTTCCACACACGTCCAGGATGGTTGAGGTCAACTGAGAGCTGCTCACACAGACCTCGTCGGAATTGGAACAAACCGTGCCATTGGGACACTGCACCACACTTCCAACTGGAGCATTTTCTAAGGACACAGGCAGGCATATTTATCTTTCAATATCTCAGAACCTAGGGTATCAAAAAGGATTACCCAAATATATTCAGGACTTACTCATGCAATTCTGATATGAGGTCTGATTGTGGCAGTACACATCGTTATCCGACAAACACGTTTGACAACTTTGGGCCGACGCGAAAGATACTCCCAATGCCACAATGGCCACAATTGCGATTATCCTCTGCATGTTTTTTCGAAACTCTTCGCGGTAATGTTGCTCAACCTGAACTAAGAACTGATATGATCCCAACCACGGATCGACTGCCTTATATAGCGGGCGAGCTTGCTCTGCTTCAACCTTCAACTGTTTATGGGACCCTTTCTTGATAATATTTTTGTCAAATTTGGTTCCGTCTGTGCCTGCCAAAAGTCTACCATCATAAAGAAATATAGAAGCGTTCTAAAAGAGGCGGTATTGCCTATCAGCAAATGACAACAACATGCTTATTTTATATACTTCTTACCGAGAATTAAGGTTAATAAACAGTACTATTATACGGCTTTTTTGAAGGTTCACTGATTATTTGTGGTTTAATAATAAATGTAATTATACAATTTTCCTATAATGTATTAGATGGTTAGTGAGCTAAATTTACGTTGATATACAAAATTCCAGCAACGAATTAAAATACTCTCTTTAAGTTGGGCTTATCTGCTAATAACAATAAATACAATGCTTTTTAAAATCTTATTTTCGGATTGTTAATCCCAGAAGCATTTAGCTATAAAGTTTTAACTTATTTTATGTGGTACTTGCTTTGCAAGATGTAGTTTGAACCATAAATTTGCTATTATTTATAAAATAAAAAAAAATTTCATTCGTATACTCACTTTAAAAATACCAATCAAAAACCACAAACCTTTATAAATATTTTTGTAAGATAAGATAAGATGGTTTTGTAAGTTATAATTACAACAATTTGTAGTTACATTATATTTTATTAAAGGAATAAAATATATTTTTAAGTTTTTAAAAAGTCGCCATTGTCATGCAATCGGCTTTATTTAAATAACAATGAATGTTTATAGTCTTCTAACTAGTCGGTTCAGGTGCAACTAGATGGTTTAGTTGCCACACATAAGGATTTAGCAGAGTCAAAGAACGGCTTGGTTGCAGGGCACGGCACATATACGGTGTCCCATTTAGCTGTTTTTTCATTTTTTTCGCAGTAGAGATAACTTCCGCAGGTATCCAAGGGGTATTTGGTCAGGAAGTACTTGGTAGTGGCTGGTATTTGTAAAGAAGTTTCTGCTGCGGAGCACGCACTTGCTTTTTCATCCGGACTGGGTGTAGTAGTAGTCGGAGCTGCGGTTGTCGTCGTCGTGTAGTCGACGTTGCTGCAAGTGGCTTTCAGGTTCAACTGCCAATAAATTATGATTAATTCAGATTTAGTTAACTATCTATAAGTACCCACAAAATCACGGGCGCATGAGGGCACACAGATGTTTTCATATTTGCTAATTGCTTCAGAAATGCACACTTCATCAGTGTCGCAGTTATAGATATTGGAGTCAATTAAAGTAGTGCCAGAACATCTAACGAATTGATTTTGGCTGACACAAGTGAACTTGTTAGATGTACACTGTCCACATCCGATTCCTCCAGAGGTGCCACACACATCCTGTATATCTTCATTTATCTTCGAACTTTCCACACACACGTCATTAGAATTAGAGCAAACCGTATCAGCACGACAGTTTATAACATTTCCAATAGGAACGTTGTCTGGGTGAAATCTAAAGTGTCAGCATTGAAGACTAAAGATAGATGTCCTTGACTTACTTATACAATTTCTATATGAAGTTTGGTTGATGCAGTAGACATCGGTGGTTAGGCACTCCTTACAACTCAGAGAAATCACAACTCCTAGGCCACATAAAACAATGGCCAAAATCGATATTATCCCTTGCATCTTCCTTGGGAAATTAAACTGGATACTCTCTGGTAGAACTGCAAGATAGTTTAATGACTTCGGCAATGCACTTGCAGTCTTATATAGCTGACAATACAAAAGCTCAAAGAAAATCTACTTTTAATTATGCCTGTATGGCTATTGTGATAATGCTGTTTGTCAGATTTTGACACAGGCGTCAATTTACATCAATAAAGTAATATTGAAGCTTTTCGCCAGTTGAGGTTTATCGAAAAAGAAGGGATAAAAAATATATATTTTTAAATTTTTCTTCTTCAAAATTGAATTATTTTTTAAAATTATTGACAATGCAGATTTATTAAAGAATTACCATAACATGGAAAATTAACACATTCCAAGCGAATTTCTAATCCCAACTTTAAGGTAGATCTTATCATGGGTAAAATAAATAACAGTGCTGAATGCTGTCAATAAAAAAATAAACCAAGCCACCTTGAATGAGAGATATCAGCGTCAAAATAATTGACAGTTTGTTATCTACACAAAAATAAACATTTCCGAGAAACTACAGTAGAATACCCATTTATCCTTGAAAAGTCCAATGAACAACAAATTAGTTTGCTTGCGATCACATTTATTAAGTTTCGTATTTGAATCAAATTTTCTTAAATATTTTCTCACACAATTTTACATATTACACAATTCACGTTTTTATGTTTGTTTATGCTTGATTATCGTTTCCATTTACGAGTAACACAAAATCTCTTAGGCGAATTTAATAAATAACAGAAATATGCGTATGATCATTTGTTTCGTTATAAGCGAAAGTAAAATATAGTACGATGTAAATGTATATAATACGTTTCGAAGTGAAGGAGAAAACTAAAAGTGTCTGCTTAAATTAAGGTACTCAAATAATAGAATAATTAGTGCATCTGGTGTAAAGCACATCTTGATCTATAGATTAGCGCCATGGAGCTTTAGCAACGAAGTCTCCTTAGTTTATGGGTGCACATACTATAGCTTTTGATGGCCCCACCGATGCCTATATATCTGCAGCACTAAACACAATTACAATTGGATGATAATGATTACACTTAGTAAGTTGACGCGTGGGCTGGTTTCGACACATCTCCGGACTCTCTCAACTGGCGGTCGGTCTGGTTCCTTGATGATATTACACATTGAAATGTTGAACTTATGATTCTGTTGCTTTAAATATATATTATGTAATGTGTATATATAATTTATATATGAAAAAATATATATATATTATGTATCATGTAGTTAAACTAATCTGTAATGTAACTAGGGCTCATTTGATGAATATGTTCTCAGTTTGTATGTAAAGGTTTTTGTTTTTCATTACATTTCTTGCGATCTTCTGATCGTTATACACTTCGCGTATGTTTATGTAAATATAGTTAAGCTTGATTTGTGTAAGTTTATTTATAATTTGCTCTATTTCGTATATAAAATTTGACCAAATACATTAGATTTTTTTTTAGATAAAAACGAACGAAACAATTCTCAACGATATTTGAAACATGGTTTCACCTAATTCTTAAAGGCCTAACACAAATAATAAACAAATTTTGAAATTTTCACGCGAATATCCCGCTTTCGCTTACATCGCATTTTGCTTTAACATTCTCTTCTTTTTTTCAGCCTTTTTCGAGCTGGTAAATAAAGTAAAATTGTTGCTTCTCGATGATATAGGTTCTCAGACATACATACACTGAAAGTAAAACATAATTTCATTTACTTAATTTGCTAATTACTCTAATCAACGCGGCATTCTCCTCCTTCAGGCGATGATTATCCGACTTGTAGGCATCAAGTTGCTGTTAAACGGATGAAATGAAATAAAATTAGTTTATAAATTATGCAGAAATCGAAATCAATATACGATTATGGCAGGGGAAGCACAGTTCTTGGGGTTAGGTGTGCATGGGGCATGCTTCGTTAATCTATTGGGGATGCGGTAGCCGCAGCCACAGCAGCAACAACAACAGAAACAACAACAAACAATTAGTAATTACCTAAAAATGGAACTCATCTGGACGGACGCCCTAATCTTGAGGATAAAACCAGTTAACATGCAACTTAACCACAAAACTACACTCGAAACATAGGCGCTTAGATAATTGTCTCTGCGGAATCTGATTCGTATGTTCTTTATGACGCGTGTCGTGTGCTGTGATAAGCGAGCTATAGACGATCTGTCATATAATGTCGAATATAATGATGGATCTCATGAAGTTGGATGCCTGATAGAAGTGTTCCGTAGACATACACCCACCCAATGTGGCGTATTCAAACAATAAACAGCAATAAGTTGAATAGAACGACAATGAGCAAAAGTTTTTGTTTATTTCATATATATATATAACTCAAGATCGGTCGATGGTGTTGTGGTCAAGAACACACAAAAGGATAAAGAAAGTTGCAGATAAAACTGGTAACAATATTAACAACAAGAGGTATAAATCCATAGTACAGTTTAATAGACATTATTTAAATAGTAGGGTATTAAGTAAGTATTGTTTATATGTACATTCAGAGTGTTTCAAAAAGTTGTCCACGGTCAATTAATATAGATAGGGTTTAAAAATGTTTAAAAAAGCACAATTTGGCAAACAGTTCTTAAATAAATATAAAATAGATTTTAACAATTTTATTTAAGCATTTACATTATATTCTAACTTATCAAAGTATGTGAAATAATTATAGCCCTCTTTAAGGAGCCATAGAAGATTAAAAAGAAAATAAGATCTAAGGAAATATTTGTTTCTCTTTTTTATTTAGCTTATTACAAACTTTTAAAGAAATTGAAACATCATTTTGAAACACTCCATGTTACAGTTATAGCTAAAATATATTTTATTATATTCTTTTTATGTGGTATGTGTATAACAACAAAACAACAGCCAGCTCATAATATTTGGGGCGCAGGTTCTTAGAATGGCTCAATTCAGTGTCAGTGGTGGGGCATTTACCGTTAAGCTTCCAGCATCACCAACTGGACCACTTCGTACTCCCCGATGTTCGACTTCTGGAGGAGACCCTATATATAGCCTCCATATCCTTGGGCCGCAATTCGCTGATGCTGTTAGTTCTTTTTTTATATTGTTTTGGTGGTGGGGACTTGATGATTGATCTCGTTGGTTTCGATGAGCTTTACTTTGATTCGAGTGTGGGCTAACTTTTGATTTATAAGTACTTATTAACCGTACAGTGGTCTGCAGTGTCCATATGATATAGTTCGATATATTAATTACATTATAAATTCGCAAACATTTTCTCCTAACTCATATTTAGGTTACCAAAAACGATCAAGCCGTGAGATTAATATTTAACTATTTAAAAATTAACTACTTTTGAAGTTTGCTGTTCTATAAAAGGGTTTCATAGTTGATAGTAACTCCCATGGAGTATATAGTAATGTTTAGGGTTTATATTACCAAGTGACCAGTCCTAAGCCAATGAGCTCAATGTGAACTTAATTTAGCTACGATACATTTAGTTATTGTGTTTTCGGTTATGCTATATATATCCATATAATATTGGTAACGACATCGAGGTGTGTTAAATATTGTTTAAAAAAAAACATGAGCAGGAAAAACATCGATGATTATTGATTATCGAAGATTACCTGAAGGACCATCGATGTTTTTCCAGCTTAAATAGAAACGGTATAACGATATTCGCGACATTGTGCTCGTGAGCAAGGGGGGCGTGAGAATTTTCTTTTGGGTGTATATGGGCTGGTGTGCTGGGCAATCTAAATGCTTTTGATCTGCGCCTATTTGGTCTTGGCCAGCTGACTCTGAGCCGAGGTGGTCAGCTTGGAGACGACCCGCGTGAGGGCCCGATTCTCGGCTCGCAGACGATCGTTCTCAGTCTTTAGCTTCTGCAATAGCTAAAATCACACATATATATAAAAAAAATAAGGAAAACAGCGGCGACGCAAGAAAAATAAGTGGAGAAAAACGCATGTTTTTATTTGAGCGATTGCGATTGCCGTGTATTGATTTTATCGACAGTTCGATTGTTTGTTCGATCGATGAGGCGCGTGGGAAGAGAGAGAGAAAAGAAATCAAATTTGAGTGAGCGTATTGAATGAGAGCGCTTTTGTTTTTAATTTTTAACAATTAGGTGAGTGCGATTGGTAGACGTATAACGGTAAACGTATAACGTATAAACGCATGGGAACAGTGACCAAAAATCATAAAAGGTGGCGAAATGACAGAGCGAGTGATGATTTTGAGATGATGACAGAGAAACATAATGGTCAGAAGATGAGAACATGTCTGATGTCTGGTTGTTGCTGTTGTGTGATATGAGAAAACGATATAAAACAAATATACATGATCTGATCACAAGGCGGAGGTGGGGCGAAAATAAATAGGCAACGGAAATCAAAGCGATCGCTTCAATGTACAGCGGTTTGGCACAAAAAATTATATATATACTATACACAGGTCTTGGCAAATCAATTTCAAATTAAATCAAGTGCCATGGCATTCACACACAGACAGCTAGTCAGCTAGGTGTTCTATATGGTGTATAAAGCGCATCTGGCCAAAAGGGTAAAGGCAATAATAAAAGTTCGTTTAAAATATAAGGGTGAGGAAGACGTTCGCTCCAACTCAGTGCAAAGGGGGTTTTATGAATTTGAGTTATAAGAACAGAACAGTTCAAGTCGAATTAATCAAAACGGGTTAATAAATCAAAAATTTCAGACATGCAGCATAGGTTGTTTTCGAGGTGTTGGTATCAAAACTTTTAGAGAAATCATAAGAGGATAAAACCAAAATAGCAATCAATTTCGAGTCCTGTTCTCAGAACACAAAAACAGCAAAACAGCGGCGGCAACGTTTAACGCTTATGGTTAGCAAAGGGACACTTTTGTAATTACCTTGAGCTCTTCTTCCAACTCGGAAAGCTTGCGTTCCATAGCTCTTCTTTCGCGTTTCTCAAGTTCAGATAGTGAATTTTTCGTTGTCTGCGAATGTGAAATGAAACAAGATGTTTTTTTTTTTTTTTTCTGTTTTTTCAATCGGGTCTTGGTTTTTTCTTGTTCAGTTTTGTTGTGTTGTTTTTGGGGTATTTTTGTTGTTCAAACAGATCGAAAAGATATATAAATATATACGAGAGCGGGGTGTAAAGAGCGAAAGAGAGCGCGAGCAGTAAGCTTCACATGAGGGGGAAAAAGAGGCAGCGAGGTGGGTGGTTTAAATGTGATAAAGAGATACATTTTTGTGGCATCCTTTAACTAAGTTTATGGTGTTGCGTGTTGTTTTGTTGTTGGTTACTGCTGGCAGTTTGATTTCTGTTTATATTTGTTTTACTGCTTTTTGGATTATAGTGGGCTGATGTGGGCGTGGCTTGTTAGGGGCGTGTTTCTGTACTTACGGCATTGGCGAATCTCTCGAGCGTTGCACGTGTCTGCACGGCTTCATCGTCCTTTTGCTTGAGCATCTGCTTCAGCTTATCATTCTCCAATCTAAGTGGGATTAAAGATTATTATGGGTTTATAGTTTTGAATCCTTTGAAAAGGCTCTACTCACTTGGCCGCTTCCCAGAGCGCCTTGTAGTCAATGCCATCGCCATTCTCCGCCTTGTCGTTACTGCTGGAGCTCTTCGACTCACTTGTGGTGGCCGTACTCGTGGTACTGCCCAACCGGGAGCGAGATGTTCGCTCACTGCCACTCTATAAGGTAAACAAATAAATAAAACGATTTTAGTAATAAATAACTATAGCAAGACTTAAGATCTATCAGTAATAAACACTTAGTTCCAGTTCTTATTATCTCTATGATTTGATCTTGCAATCCATGTTAGATCGGTATCATTTATATAGAAAGCTATTAATATGCAAGATTGTATTGCAACTGCTATGCAATCTTAACTTTCGTTGAGTTGAAAAAAGTTCTGAGATATTCTAGTGATAAATTAATAAAAATACCTTTAAAATATAAATAAAAAGTTATATGTGCTTATTTTTCTACCAACAACAACAGCAAGATAATCTCCAAACATATATTCACTTAACCAAAACACCGGCTTACTTCATATCCCTCACTCTTCTCCGAGGAGGCACTAATGGATCGCTGAGCGGCACTCTTTGATCGCGTGCGATTACGAGATTTGCGCTCCTGTTCCCGCAGAGAGTTACTCCTCGTGGCTGCAATGGCCGCCACAGTGGCTCCGGCACTGGTGACTCCATTGCTGGTCGAAGACCCACCGCCATAGGCTGCATTCAGGCTACTATTGGATGCCGACAGGGATTTGGTCTTCAGCAAACGGGAACTCTTGAACGAATTGGACGAACTCAAGCCCGGCGACTTGAAGCTGAGCGAGGCGGTGGTCACCCCCTTATCATAGCTGCTCGAATAGGGACTGACATAGCGATCGCTGGTGGAGTACGAAGATCCCGCCGAGGAATAGGAGCTGGGGTTGTACCTTGAACTATCGTAGCCACCATTGCTGCCTGTTCCATTGGAGGCGGAGGACGAGGACGTCGAGGACGAGACGGTGGACAGAGAGGAGGAGAGAGCAGACGCTTTAGACTGGCCATAATTGTGGCTTATATGCTTGCCCACCACCAGGTGGCTGTAATGGTGACCTCCACCGGCCATCGAAGCTGACGAAGCGGATGATGCGGTGGTGGGCTGCAGCTGCAGATAGTAGCGATTGCCCTGGTGCGTTTGCGTTTTAGTTGCTGGCGTGGCATTGGCCGCAGAAGCTATGGATGGGGCGTGGCATGTGGAGGCGGATGAGGTTACAGCCGTCGATGTCGATGATGGCCCACTGCTTGCGGTTGGCTGATGGGAATGCTGCTGATTCGAATAGTGGTTGTTGGTGCTGGTGAACTGCTGATGATGATGATGATGGTGGTGATACTTGGACGCCCCGTAATCGTAGCGACTGCCCGCATTACCATAGGAACTCCGACCAACACCAGTTGCTCCTCCGCCGCCGTACAAACTCTCCCGCGAATTATAGACACTGGCATAGGGACTCTGGTAACTGGAGGTGCCGCTGCTGCTGGGGAAGTAGCCCGTGCTCAAGGGACGACCAGTGCTGCTGGAACTGTTGTAGCTACTCCCATTGTAGTTATACCCCCCGGATGACCCGCCCGAGGGTGCCATCCGGGAACTGGAGGACAGCGATCGCCGGCGACTAGGCAGCGGCGCTTGGGTGCGTGATCTAGAGCGAAAGGACATCTCGCTGATGGACGCTATAAGGAAATGGCCCCCATTAGATTGTCTAGCATCTCGCCTGGCACTTCATAATTCAATCATCAATGCCAATGTGCAATTACGCTTAAATAGTCCAACCAAAAGGCACATGACTTCAATGCCCTTTCCTAGCAGAGGGGATTTTCCAACTGGCCACAGGTTTGCAAAAAAAAAAAAAAAAAAAAAAAAAAATCCCTTCATATGATAGTTTAATATAAACAAACAATCGATCTATTAACCATTAAAATACTCAATATAAAAGTGTTTATGGCAATGAATTTTATTAACGTCGAAATTTTAAAAGAAGATAATTTTAAAAGGTAATTTTATCTGATCCAAATTCAAGAGTAACTTAAGTTGTTTAAATAAGCTCTTAGTTGAAACTTAAATTATAGTTATCAAACTTATCTATTCTGAATGTTTTATTTACTACACTTAAAAAGAAAAACCTTTTAGGAACACTGACAGCTGCCATTCGAAATTCTCTTTGATTTCGGTTGCAACATGCTATTTAAAGACATGTATCAATCGAACAAGACCCCTGGGGATGATCCGCAAACTTCGATTCTGATCGATTTGTGTTCCATTTTTGGACGCGCACACAAAAGGCAATTACAATTATAATCAAAGCGAATACACAAAATGTTCATGAATTCGGCATAAACAAAAATAAAGGAAAACAAACAACTTTTGTGTGTGTTTACATGTGTATATATCACGGGTATATACACGAGGGATATTTCGATATGGAGAACGCAATATTGACATGTGGTTCGGGAATTGGTTTTGGCCGTGCACCGGGAAAACCGAAAATGACGTCAAGGCATAAATTTTGACAATTTTCTTGTCGGATTTCGACGCGTACCTCCACTAGCTGGCAGTGGATCTCGCCGGGATGCTCATGATGGGATTGAAAACACATACAAAACGTGATAAATGGGGCCGACTATCCCGCAGCCGGCCTGTGTATTTATTTGTTTCTCTAAGTTGATGCCTCTCATCCTCCACCCACGCGATACAAAACAACAAACATGAAACCGACCGTCAGACCAGAAAACGTTTTTCTTTTCAAGCAATTTTCCAATGCATATAATTTATGACGAACCGCTTCTGTTTCCTAGTAGATCTATTCTATGTATCTTTCTATATATAAGACCCTATCTATAGGACAATCGCACATGAATGAAGCGGCGTTTTAAACGTTTTTCCTCATTTATGACTTCTGTATTGTGGCAATTCAAACATTTAGCTTGGCTAATATCGCATAAAAAAGCATGAAAACGAAATGTTTTAAAAATACGATTTTCTGTTGTGTCATGCCGAAGATAAATGAACTAGCCGGGTCGCAGGGGCCTCATAAAATGGATTAACAAATGGAAATAAATTGGAGGAAGGATAAATTATGTGGTAACCACTTTTTAATGAACTAAAAAATGTCTTTATAATCAAATTAATCATTGGTAACAAGTTATAATGGTATTTAAGTACTCATTTAATAGTTTTATAAAAACTGAAATTAAATTTATTACAACACTCTTAAAAACTCGTATGAAACAATTGGTAATCTATATTTTTCAACTCTGTTAAACTTTGACATTTTAAGTCACGAAACAAAAAACAAATCAATTAAATTAAGCACGTTCACGAAATCAAATTAAAAACTTATCAAAATAGTTGACCATATTTGAAGAAGCCACCTTAGAGAGAATCAACTTGAAATGTCCAAAAAATTATGCGCAGTTAACCAAAAAAGGCAACGCGGAGCGATTTGATCAAGTGAAAAAACTGGCGAACTTGTTGTGGCTGGCAGTCAAATCATCAACTTCGGTTTGGAAAATCCCCTCCGGCCACAATGATCCCAGGGGTAAACTGAGCTAAGCGTATTGCAATTTATTTTTCCCCCAACAATTCTTTGACACGACGTTCGACAGGTCTTGTTGTGGTTTTTGGTCTCTCGTTGCACTTGACGTATTGAATTCTTGAGTTTAATTGGGATTTACATTAAGATTTAGACTTGTTTGATTGGATTAGCTTGGTTTGGATGATCTGAACTGAATCGAACTGAGATGATCCGCTGTGCTGGGCGCACAAAACTCAACTGTGTCGCTCGCAGGCGATTTGAAATGTTTTATTTGAAAGCGAATGATCGGAAATAAACTGAAAAGAGCAGCGAAAGAGCTGGCCACATAGAACTAAGAGCAAAGTGAAGAGAGGAAAAGCCGGGAAAAAATAAAACAAATCATGGGAATATATTTTGAACTCAATTAAACAAGAAACAAGAAATAATAAGAGCAGGGAAAGGAGCCAAATTTTCACTTGAAATTGCGCACAAAATATTCGCTGTTCGAGTTTTTCACCTGGTGGGCCCCGCGTCTAAATTTAGTAAATCGCACACGTATTTGGCCCAATGTCCGAGACGCAAGATTGTTAACTATGCTGGGGTCAGAAAATCAGGGGAACGCAAGAAAAGAGAGCACTACAAACTGGGCCAAAAGGCGAAGCACAGTCATTGACACATGACTGCACCGAAACAAGAAAAAGCGCGAGCATAGAAAAACCTATTTCTGTTTTGGTTTAAATTTAGCGTAAAGTGCGCGACAGGAGAATCCAATTTGGGGAGTTGCTGCCTTGCTGTCTTTGCTCCCCCTCCATAACTGGGCCAAAAACATTCCCCTCCCCACAGAGTTTACACTTTCGTTGAATGCATTTTCCGGCTATAAATACCGAATGACGATCCGTTTGCCGCAGGGAGAATGAGGAAGCAAATGCCTGCAAACTGTTATAAATTTAGCCACACATATTTTCGCTTTTCTGCAAAGTTCAACGTACGTGTGCCAGCTTTTCTTATTATTATTCGGTTCTTTATATATTGCCTTTGGTTTGGGTCGTGCCTCTGTAATTACCCAATTTGTTACAGAATGCAAACTGTCTACAAAGACGATTGTGAAAGTGATTTTCTCAGATGCATTTGCAAAAAAAAATAAATAAATATAAAATGCACACTTGACATCGTCAATCATAGATCGTCTGATGGTCTGCCATCGTTTTGGATTGATCGCCGGAGGAACCACATGTCGAAAAGTGCATATTATTTAATAGTTCACGGAAAGTATAAATACAAGCAGTTAAAGTTTGAAATTCTTGGAAAATATAGTTTTTAAAATGGAATTTTCTCATATTTTCTAAGGTATAAAACATATTTAGACATCCTATTACATCATTCACTTCATGGAAATGTATATTTCAGCACAATTTCAGACAAGGAAATGACCAATTAAATTCACTTTTAACGATTGTCTATGATGAGCAATAAATAACAATGAGGACGTATAAATTGCTTTGTTGAATATTTTAAACAAAGTGGTTATTGCTTAATATCTGTATTCATGTATTAACAAATTTTAAAATTAATTATTTAAACCAGCCTTTAAAAATCCAGCATTATATCTATTAATTAATTGTTGTCTATTCCCAATTTCTTGTTAAAATTCAGGCCATTCAAATCTTTGGTATTAATCAATGCTAAACCGAACATTAGATTTATGGTATAGCTTTAATTGTCCAATGAGCAAAACAATTAATAACTTTTTGTAGAAACAAGCAATTTGCACGTAAATGACAAGATGCACTCAGAAATGTTGTCAGTTTTTAATAATAGGCGACACCGGCGCTGACACTTGCTCAGATAAATTGTTAACAGGTTCGGGGCAGACTCGCGATTTCTTTGGACGCAAATTGGATGCGCACTAATAGTTCTGACCTCGGCCATGAAAGGATTTGCAGTTGCCTTGCACTTACACTTAAATTCCCACACGAAAATTCCGAACCCACAATGCCACGTGCGCACTTTCAAAGTGGCAAATCATAATTTCGTTTTTGGGTCGACCGCTAATTGGACCAGACATACGATGGGGAAAATTGTAGGCCAGATAAATGGGTGGGGGGCATCTCTTACCTACTTTGAAGGACGCGGAGCGGTCTAAAACTGTGACAAGGTGTGACGAAGGCAAAGGCAAGAAAAAAAGAAGAAAGAAAATGTAGTCAGGTGCAGCACGGAAATAAGCAGCTGACACAAGAATTCTAATTACTTGCCAAGGTGTGAAATATTTAATGGTATTGTTGTTGCTGCTGTTGTTGTTGTTGGTAGCTAACATATGCTAAGCACTAATTATCAGTAAACTCACCTCCTTTTCCTTCTCCTCGTTGTCGTTGTTGGACTCGCTTTGTCGCTCGGGATCCAGTTCCTGCAGCAGAACAAAAGAAATTTTCAATTTAGCATTTTCCTAATCTCCCGACTAATTAGCAATTTGGCTAAGAATAGTTGGCATACGGCTCTCGGGCCATGGACCATTTATTCTGACAAACTGCCTGGCAATTAGGCACACAAATGATGTATCCCCGAGCTATACTTACATCCATATCGATGTGCACCACGCCTGTTGATCTGCGCTTCGGCTTGCGTCGCCTCTGTATGACGGTCTGTGTGCGATTATCGTTCTCCTTGTCGTTATCTGTCGGATACAAAGTTCAAAATATACAAATAAATTAAAGGGAAAACTTTGAATTACTCCTGCATTGGAACGTCTGCTTTGGACTTTTAGACCATTTCCTTACTGTTACCTTGAAGAACTACTCAAATATCAAGTTTCATTTAATCTTTAACACAGACTTGTTTTTACACAACAGTGTAAGAAATCAATTAAATAAGAACATGATAAGAAATCATTAAAATAATATAAAATAATAAGCATAGCCAAGGACATTTAATTATATTTGGACAAATACATAATTTTGAGAAATTTGAAAGAACTTATCAAGCCTAATTTCCAAACCAATTTAAAATTAATCCACAAACTGCAAATCTTAAATGCATTTTTACTAAACATTATTCAAGCCTGTACAGGGATAACTAATTTAAATTTGTAAACAATATTTTTATCGCGGAGGCCAAATAAATTCAAATGAGTGTTTTTAAAATAAATTAAGATATTTCTAACGGCCTTAAGTCCTTGTAAAGTGCCTAAACTCTGCATTTCCCCGACTTGTCCTTACCCTTATCGTCATGGTTTGACGTGGCATTAGTTGCCGTAGCCGCGGCATGATTGGCACTGGTTGCAGACACTGAATTTGAGGTTGAGTTAATAGTCGTGGCCGCTACTGCATTCGCCCCCGCAGATGTTGCATTCGTTTCGTATTTGCGCGCTGATGGCGTTACATAGGCGCTGTTGTTTGTGCCCTCACTGGGCGCGGAAACAGGACGACCCACAGAGTTGAGCGACTGATTGGAAGCATTTACTGAAACGGAAATAAACATTAAAATATGAACCAAAGGTAAGCAGAATATCATAGATAACTTACGTGCATTGGGACCGCTGCTGATGCGCCGCTGGACACCAGTTGTGGTGGACAGATTAACTGCGGCCATCACTGCCGGAGCACTGGGTATAATGGTGCTGTTGTTTGGCGGATATGTGCCACCGCTGGTTATGTCCTCCAGCTTGAACTGCATGAAAATAAATTATATTACTGTGTGTTCAATTCAATTTCCAAAACACTTTGTTAAATATAAATTTATGTTTTGAAATGTTTCTCTATAATTGTCGTTTTGATTTGGTTTGTGTGCAATGTATTTGTTCTTACAAGAAGCTATGCCGTGTCTTGTATCATTCGAATGCAGCGGGAGTTAGTTTATACTAAACATTTAGTAGTAATTAACAAGAATCAGACACCATTTGCATTTAGGATCCATCAGTTAGAGCCCGCAACCCATTACCTAAGCTAAGCAATTTCTGTATTTCCTTGAACCATTTGAGTATAGTATTTAATTGAAAGAAAATGTTGATGTTTATAGAATAACATGCAAATAGTTGGTTAAACATTTATTTGAATTCAGTTCTTGTTAAATAGAAGTTCTGAACATTAAGTAGTAAAAGGCAACTGCTTAAACAAACAATTATAAATGCAAGCAAAATCAGCCAGATTAGTAAGACATCTTTCGCATTCTTTATGTAAATATTATTTATACATCAATGTTCATCAGCAGAAAGAAAGAAAAATTATGTTTGACTATATACACATGAAATATATGGAAATAAAGAATAAATGACTTCGTAAAATAATACATAAATTAAAGATAAGATAATGATTTATTTAATGATGCAGTTTCTTAGTTTCTTATGATACATATCAAGCATAATTTCTACGAGCAAATTAAAACATGAAATATTTCAAATGCCTAACTACAACTAAAATCTTAAAATAAATATTTCAGGCCGTAAACACTATAATAAAATACATATTTGTATTACCCTTGCAAAGCGATATGATTTCTTTTATGGCTCTTCATAGATGATTATTTTTTCATATATTTTAATTTTTGGTTAAAAAAATATAGGGTATGCGTTAATCTGGCAGCAACACTAAAATATTTTGTTTTCAAAGAAAGACTAAACTAAAGTTCAAAAAGCAATATAAAAACGATGTGGTTATTTATGATATCGACCAAAGCAAGGACAATTTCGACTTTGCTAAGCCGTAGTTCTCCATTAATTATACACACACTAATCAAAATAAGTCCATGCTACACTTAAAGATTAACAAAAATGTTTATGGCGCACACGGATTGGGCAACCAAATAGAAAAATGGTCTTGTCATATATTGTGGATTAGGCTATCGGATTCGCTTAGAGGGCTGAGTTGGGTAGTGTGGGCATACCTTGGAGCCGGCATCGAATTTCAGGCGCCAAGATGGACGCCGTTCTGCTGCCGAAGTTGAAGAAGTAGAAGCAGCACCACTCGCACCACCTGCACTACCACCCCCTCCTCCTCCTCCTCCTCCCGCGCTGCTGTCCGTTGTGCGTCGGGCGTATAGACTTAGCAGCGAGTCGCGGGCATTGAAATCCGGATGCGAGGACACGGGCGAGGCGGTATCGGACTTGGTTTCCGACTCCTGACTGCTGCACAGACCCCGCTTGTCCCGCAAGCGCACTGGACTCTCGAGGGCAGCGGGTGTGGTGGCCGCCGAGGATGATTTGATAGCTTCTGTGCTGGCAGCAGGAGCTGGGATCAGTGGAAGATCCGTGGGTCTAACATGCGGTGGCTCTTCGACCTTCTCTTCGCTGGAACTTTTGGCAACTGGGTCAGTCTTTTGTGGAGTTTTAATGCTCTCCACCTTCTCTGGGCTGTCGGGAAGTTTATCCCGCCGGGGCATTATCGTATAGCTGGCACTGACCACCGACTGATCATGATCCCCCTCCGGATCACTGTTGGCATCGCCCTCGCCCGAAATGGATCTTCGCACCGGAGTGGATAGTGTAAAACTAGCAGTGGTGTCGTTCAGACTTTGACCAAGTGGAGGATTGGCGGTGGTCACCACCTCCTCGATCTCCGTCTCATCGGTGGCCGTCGTTGTGGTGGGTATTATGGCTGGCGGTGGTGTGGTGGGCGGTGGCGGCGGTTGCGACTCGTCCCGCTGTTCATTGCTGCCGAGGATCAATGATGTTGGGGCTGTGGCCGATGATGCTGAGCTTGTATCGTTCTGTTAATAATATTAGTTCGGAACAAATAAAAACCAGTTGTCCTGACGCGATGGACGCGAGTGTGTTTCAAACAAAAATCAAAAAGGGCTCTCGCTATATACATATATATATATATAAATATCGATTGCATACTATAACGATACTTAGGGTGACCCGATTTGATTGCGCATGCAAATGGGACATGCAAAATGATAATCATCAACATATTCCATAGACATACAGTTTATTGCTATATAAATATATAGAGCCTAGTGAGTAGTACGAAAACTGAACAAAGAGATAACTTAAAAACTGTAACATAGATACGAGTCGGAATGGTAATTACGCTATGGTTCACTGATATGCAGCTGCTTGGAACTGATACGCCGATGATTGGAAATCATAAATATAAAGCTACGCTATAACGAGTACTCAACATTGATGAGGCGGGGGCGGGGCGGGTCAAAGGGGCGTGGGCGTGGCAGGGCGGAGCGGAGCTGGGCGAAGGCGCAAAACGCACAAACTGAACTCAACTTAATTGGTTAAGTGTGATATTGCGATCGATCACGAACGAATAATCAAACGGATGGCAACGTACGCTAAATGAGCACTGATTGATCGATTGGACTCTGATTGAAATGATGACAGCTTAGGGCTGCTTTTTATGGGATGAGACAACAGAATGCAGCAGATTCAAATTTGATGTGCTGAGATCAAGGTCTCTTTATATCAATCAAGGTGACTAAAGGCGTTGAAAGCCCGTTGAAGCACTTGATTTATTTATATTTAACAATAATAATTACAATAATTAATAGTTGAATGGCATAATAGCATACAAAATTTAATTTTTCTTTAGATTATTGATTGCCACCCTTAAATTTCAAGGTGTAAACAATGAGTTAAAATGCATAGCATACTTTTTAGGGCACATTTTGGACCTGTTGCATTCTGCATACTACATGTTATTTTCTAAACTACAATCACTATTACAGTTAAAAACTCACTCACACAAACAATTAATAAAATGATTCGTTAATTCTTCTTTCTATGAAAATGCTTGTGTGAGAGAACATAATGAAACACATAAACAGAAAAGGATATCCAAGAAATGGGGACACCATAACCATAAGCATTTATTTTTTCGGTTTTGATTTGGTGTGTATTGCTCAACGTTTGAGTGGGTGTGAACTGCATGTGGACATCGTGTATGGATCCTGTAATCCCATCTAAGATTACGGGTATGATCTACTAATGATTCTATGAAGAGAGCTTTCTCAAGTGTGGATGTTTTGGTTTGATTTTTGTTGTGACTTCGTGGATGATTCGGTTAGAGTATCCATTTGGACACTGGACTACTTACGCCGCTGTTGCTGATGGTGTTCGTAGTGGTGGTGCTGATATTGTTATTATTGTTGTTGTTGGCCATTCCCATGTTCTTCTTCTTGACCAACTCCTCGGCACTCTTGATCTCGTCCAGGGTAACGCCCTGGGTTGACCGGCGAGTCTCCCTCACGCGCTTGGCATGTGCCTTTCGCTGCGTTTCACTCTCCTCATCGCGTACCGGAGGCACAAAGGATCTACAAGTTGGGATAGAAATATACAGTTTAAGAAAAGGATTAAACACACAAAAAGATACAAAAATAAAATGCTGGAGGAACGTATTTCCTTCGAAAGTAAGTAGCAACAAATCGAGCTGTAGTCACTAAAATAACTCAAGCATGACTCTCCTTAGTTTATCGACAGTCTAGTCATATGTGTTTTATAATTTTAGGAAGAAAGTAATACGTTAGTTATTAAAGATTGAATGTTTTTCTTAAAAAAAAAAAACTTTCAAGATGTTATTTTTTATACGGGGTTAACCTTAAATCACATATAAATCTTCTTGAACCTTCAAAAACATTACAATTGAATCGTAATTTGATATGAACATTTTAACAAGAAATTAATTTTAAATAAAGACTGGTTTCTCCTTCAATACTTTCTTATGTTAATTTTGCGTACATCATGCTATACAAAACAAGGCTTTAAGGGATCAGAAATCGGGTTAGCAGCTGGCTAGCGGGGTTAGCTCAACGTCAACGAGAACAACACTTTATTATCTCTCATTACTTGAAGAAGTTTTTGATCATATTGCTGGTGGATTGTTTGGGCGGTGGCTTGGAGCTCTCCGCATCGCTGACACTGGCCGTGGAGGAGCTGCCGTTATTGCTCTTTTCTGCTATTTTCGCTGTAACTTGGCTAATCGATCGACAACGGAGTTTTTAAAAAGAAAATTCTATAAAAGATATACCACAAAATAAACTCACCTGCGAATTGGTGGGGTCTGTACAGTTGTCGATGGTGAACTGAGCGCCGTGTTTGCCGTGGCTGCAGTACTGGTGGGCGTGGCAATCGTAACGGTCGGTTTCCTGGGGGCAATTAAAATAAAAAGGTTTTACAAAAAGGGTTCATAACTCAAAGGGGAAAACAGCCAATAGAAAGTAGACGACATTGGTGCGTGGCCTAGGAAAATATGTTAAATAGTTTGGTGCAATGAGTTTGGGTTCTGAAGGTGTAGACGAGAAGAAGCTAAGCAAAAGCACAGTTAGGTTAATAGTTACAACAAATTAGGTTCGTGTTAACAGCTATGAGTAGGCGTGGATCCTTGAACTAGATCAGATTTACGGTATTTACTAGCTCTTATAAATTGATCAATAATAATATAATAAATATAAACCTGGTTCCTTAAAATATAATTGTCAAAATACTTTTTAAATTACATTACACAATTTTGTTGATATTTTTGGTGTTTAAACTCGTAGTTTTTGATATTTTGGATTTATCAGTTTTTGACTATCTTAAACGTTAATTGATTTGTGTAAGTTTTAGGTATGTTTTTAACTCTATTATTATAAAATAATGATTTAATCTATAAATTAATAGTAAAATTTAGTGAAAATACAAGCTAAACTCTCCTTTTCTAAACGTTAGCAACTTTTACTTAATATAACTAACAAATCTGATCTAGTTTTTTATGGGACGTGTTGTATGCAAAACAAACCTGTAATACATTGAGTTATCTTTGAGTGAGGCCGATCTTTGTACGCTATATAATTGATTTGTTGCCGATGCTGCTGCTGGTTGTTGTAGTTGTTGTTGTGGTGTGCTTGTGTTGTTGGTGTTCGAGTGGTTGAATGTACTGGTTGTTGTTGTTGTTGTTGTGGAGGTGCTTGTTGTCATTGTTTTTGTTGTGCCAGCAGCATATCCCAATAGCAGATCGCTTTTATTATTGTTATTGTTGTTATTATGATTGTTATTGCTACTTAGATTATTATTGTTATTGGAATTATTGGCAGCAGCGGCATTAGCATTCGCATTCGCCGGCAGTATGGGACAGGAATTGGCCTTTATGCGTGCCCGCAGCTCATTGTACTTTTGATAGAATCTGTCATTCGGATTTTCGGGCGATTTTCGAGTGATTTTTCGAGCGTTTTTACAGGCGTTTTTTCGAACGTTCGTGCGGGCGTACAGGTGGGCGGGCGGAGCGAGCAGGTGGGCGAGCGGGCAGGTTAGATTTTCGGGATAAGCGTTTTGATGAGTTTGTTGTTTTTGGTTGGTTGTGGTGCGTTGGTGATACAATTTGATTTTTATTTATTTTGAAGGGTGGGAAAAAAATAAAGCAAAACAAAAACTTTAAAATCAATACAATACTTTGTTTTCCCCTATTTATTGCTTTCTGCAGTCAACGCTTCACTTTGCCAAATGCGAATTGTGTTATGGAAAAAGCTCATTACTGGAAAGCTTGTGATTCATGGAGATTCAGGAAGCTTTCCCAGATCATGATACCACCAGTGGTAAATTTAAACAATTACCCATACAATTTGTTTTTATGTAGGTTATCAATATATGTATTCCGACAAAGGCTGAATGACTGGTTAAACATTGGAGCGTGAGTGTGTGTGATAATGATAAGCAAATGCAATCGGCAAAAGTGAAAAGCAAACTGCAAAATCAACCAATAAATTAAGACCTTTCGGTGCATTTTGGCCCATTAATGTTTGTATGTATACATGTATTATCATTATATATGTGGGTTATTCAGTGATGCGAATGTGTTTTTGTGTGTGAGCAGCACGCAATGTTTTATTTTATTTGGATTCAACTCACTTTTGATCATTCTCAAAGCTTTGCGTGCGTCGCAAAATGACGTCGTTGGCGGTTTCCGAGCTATTGCTGCTAAGCTCTCTATCAGGAACTTCTGCAAGTTAATTATCAAAATGATTATTACTATCAGATTTGATTATGGGTATTTGGTGCAGTGCGTTTTAGAGCTTTCAGATACCTAGGACTTTTGTAATCGCCAATATTTAACTCGATAGTTATTAAAATAAAGTTAACATTATATTTGCAGTTATATTCATTTAATTAAATTTGATTGCAATTGATCATCTTAAATGAGCTCTATTTATTTGATTTTTAATAAATAAAGGGTTATACTATTATGCAAATTAAATAAAAGTCTTCTTTATTTTGTAGAAAGATTTAACTATTAACTTATCTAGTAGAAACATATTTTTTCTAATATTTATCTTGAGCTTGTAAAACGCACTCCATGAACTTCAATTCGACTTACGATTATTAGTGGGACTGTCGTTGGGTGTGCGTGGCAGCTTGCGTCGCCAGGGCGCCTCCTCCTCGACTGGATGATCGGCTGCATGGATCTGCTGATTGGGCTTGACGTTCTCAGCTGGAAGAGCAATGGATAAACCAATTTTAATAAAAAAATCAAGACCCAAACACAAGTAGGAGAAGATTAGTGGCTCATGGACGGGCTTATCACAGACAGGGATCGACGAGGAACTACTCCTCAATCAGGACGCAAAACAAATGCCGACTACCTTCACTCTCGGAAAGACTGGTCGAGTGTGAGCTTTCCGTGGAATCGCTCAGCTCTTCTGTATCGCTCTGGCCACTGGCCACCACTCCTCCACCGCCATCATCATCATCGGCGGGGCTTGGAATCGAAGACTCAGCTTCGGCAGCCTCACTTGAGCCACTGGCAGCTGCAGTGTGCGTGATTTACAAGCAAAGACATTACACAAATACAGAGAGAGAGAGAAAGAAACACGATACAGATACAGAGAGAAAAAAGGGGTTCTACTGATGGATGATCATGATCATGAAGGCAAATTAAACAAGACAACGTAATCTTGAGTGACTAAAATACGAGAGGCAGTGGCAAATGTTTTACGATTAAATGCTCCAACAACACAAGATTAGCGCGCATGAGAACCTAAACAGGATAACAAACAGGACGAACACAAGAGTGTGTGTGTGCGAGAAATCAAAGAAAGCTTTTCGTTTATATTATGCAGCCGTGGTAAGGTAGGAGATAACTTAATATCGCAGTATACGCACCATCCTTTGTGGCATCAGTTCTCACTTCAACGCGCACCAGTTTGGTTGGCGTCTTGTCCACATGATTTTCAATCGTATCTGAGATTCTGCTAAAACGATAAACATTTCGTATTTTACACATTTTTACTTTTAATGTATCTTCTAGCAGGTTAAACTACGAATTATATGACACACAGTTTAACAGTTTGAAGAGCAGATTTAATTATAAAATTTGTTCTAATTTTTCCTCACCTGATTTGACTAGATGGTCGCCGCTTGTTGCGCTTGTTGGCCCGCAGTTCTTCCAGGAATTTGACTATTTTGCGATCGGCCACATCAATGCAGGACTGACCGGCGTAGTTGCGTATGTCCATGTCAGCCAGTGACTCCACGAGCATCTCGGCCGTTTCCCGCTGACCCCAATGCGATGCCGCGTGCAGTGGCGTCCAGCCATCGTTATCCTGACGATCCACATTGCCACGTCCGGCTAAAAGCAGTCCCAACACTTTCGTGTAACCCTTTGCGGCGGCTACGTGCAGTGCCGTGGCTCCTGTTTTCGGATGCGGTCTGTCCACCTCGGCGGCATCGCTCCTCAGCCACTTTTTGGCATCGTTCAGCATCGCCTGCTCTTCAGCCTTTCGAGCCTCATCCACATTTATGTTCAGCTCCTGCACCATCTTCTCCATGTAGTCAATCATGGCCATGTGCTGCACATCGATGGCCAGGTCCAAGGCCAGATCGCCATCGCTGTTCACAGCGGCCACATCAGCGCCATTTTCCACAAGATACCGAGCTATGCTCACAAACCTAGAAAATAAAAGTATATTAGAATGGAATAATTTGGATGTGGGGTGTATTACTCACCCGCAGGAGGCAGTGGCATGGAGGGGCGTCCACCCCTCGTTATCCTGTCGGTTTATGTCGGCACCTCGCTCCACCAAAAACTCCACCATATCCAGGTTGTCGTCTATACACGCCTGTAAAATATTAATAAAAGAAATACATTAGTCAATAAACAAGGAAACACGTTAAAACAATTGATATCCCAGTTTTATTTATAATTATTTAGAAAAACCCATTAACCTAATTTTCAATATTTTAAAAGTCTTGCTTCTTTTATAGCATTAAGAGTTCTGTTAAAAATTCCTTCCAGTTTTATTTTGAAATTAAGTATTCCTTTTTAAAACGACTGATGCAGTTAAACAATCTTTATTAGTTGAAACAAATAATTACAAAAACTATTAAAGTCTTGTCAATTTATCATAATGGAAAGAACAATAAAGTTTAAATTGAAGATTATAAATTTGTCAAACAAAGATGATAATTATGAAGTAAAAATAGTTAAATTGGAATGTGTGGGGCTAAACGAAATGTCAATGAGCTCAAGACAAGTTTATTGTAATATGTTGTTGGGTCTTCCCTATTGTAATTCAACTTCGAAAGGTCAAAACAACAATCATCGATCCTTGAAACGGTTCTTTTTTTGCCAAATGAAATGTATTTATTTACATTTTTATGAGCAGACAAACCATTCGATTTCCCGAACGGAATCGTAAATGCAGTGCATTAAAAGTTGAATCAACTTTCGTAGAAGAGTTGCGATGCGGTGTACTTTCGTTTTGTTTTTATAAGAGCTAGTAAAATGTTTTAAAATTTTTGTGTTTATCTTGCTAAAACGTTAAAGTAAACAGCCAGTAAAGACACAAGCCAAAGCAGAGAGTCTTCAGCATGGTTGGGTTGTTTATGCGGATTTCCGCTGAACCCGCCTAGACATCTTCGTTTGGTTTGATGGCACATGCACGGCACTGAACGATGATATCATCGCCCGCGACTACGGCGCTTCTTTGGTGCCGCAGCTATCTGTAAGCCAGCGAAGAACTCAACCCAACCCAACCCAACCCACCCGGCCCCAACCCCACAACAATGTCGGACTGAGTCGAATCGAGACAACAACGCCTCGTAGTTGCAAATGCCGATAAGCATTCTTTGGCGCAAAAGCAACAGCACAGCCGAAAGAAAAGAAAGTAAAAAAAAAAGAGGTTCACAACAAAAGGCGCTAACTCTATCAATCCACAGAACAAAAAATCTACCGAAATCACATTCCCCTATGGAATCTTATCAGTGATAAGATAGATATTCAAAGGCTATGTAGCTTGGCCAGTTGTCAAAATCACTCTATTAACATATTTTGCTTATCTGTAACACACAATAAAAGCATCAAACTTTTAAATTACAGATAATTATCAAAGGTGATATATATATTATGTATATTTATTGTTTACTGAAACTAAAGAATATTTTAAGAAAAGATCATAGAAGTTATAATGGTTATAATAAATTGTGGGGATTAAATAAGTGAACCACTTATCAATTAAATATTTTAATTTGTATGTTTAGGTGGACTTCTTAGCTACTGCTTTTTTTTCCGTGTATTACCCTTACCCTCCCCTTTCCCACCTTGATAACAGAGCACGTTTGAGGAGTGGGGGCATTATAAAAATCAAATGACCGATTCTTGTCTGTGTCTCTATATCTTTCTCTTCTTTTTCTTTCCTTGGCATATGTTAATTTAAATTTTTACTGGCCGGGCTTCAAAGTGACTTTTTTGCCGTTGCTTTTAAATCCAAAAGCAATTTCCATTTCGCAGTAAAACGCATAAAAAAAAAAAAGGAGGCTAGAAAGAGAGAGACGGCGGGTGGGCCAAACAATTTGTAAATCTGGAACGCAGCCAATTAATTAATTATGAACAATTTTGATAAACTGACCGACCGGCAGGAAAAGGGGGTTTGCGGAGCGGCAACGCCCACGCGTGACCATCCAAAATCGACTCGACGACAATGTCCAATGACTTTGTGGTATGCAAACATTTTTGACAAGAGATATTCCATCAGTGAATTCCCCCGATTCCCTAGACTTTGGGCCTTAATGTCAGAGCAACGGATTCTACGCTATTTCCATTTGCATTGCCAAACGAAAAGCAGTGAAAAAAGCGAAATGAAAAAAAAAACTGCATGCTAAGTTTAGCCTTTTGTTTTGGCACGCCATTGAGCGGCATTTTCAGCCGTTGCACGCCAAATGTTATTCACCTCGCCGCATTACGTATACGCCGCGTAGGCCAACAGCGACTTGTTGAGACGGCTTTCAGACTCTGGGCCGCCAGCTTAACGTGGCTCATTACGCGGTAGTTTGCCAGGCGCCGAGCTCCATTTGGCCCCCGCTTTGTTAACCATCAATGCACATAATTCTGGCTTATAACTCAATAGCCTGAACAATTCCTTTGATGAAGAGGCAGGCTCGAGAGTTCCGTTCAAAACACTGTTTGAAAGTACAGGCTAGGGGCTTTCAGTTTTGGTTTAACCCAATTTAATATTCAAGTCATAAACTTTAGAAGAATAAACCATTTTTCATTTACAAGCCCTTCCAATATGAATTACAATTATTTAAATTTCAAGACATTTTAACTGGTTTTTTAATGATATACAAAGAATAGAATTTTAGATTTATATACAATACTTTTGAATTTATTTTTAAATGTTTAATTCCATTCATGTTATCATCCCCAATTTATTTCCCCTTGATCATAGCAGATTAAGCAATTTATTGTATTTTAAAATACGTTTTAAAAAAACATTCGTTGCCACTCATTGACCTGCCCTCCCTTGTTTGCATATTTTCGTTTAAGCAACCAAATGTGTATTATAATCGAAATGCCAAAATAGACGACCGAACCGCTTGAGTTCAATAAATTACAAATTTGAAATAGCGCCACAAGATAAAAGTGCGAAGAATCTACATAAACCATATGATATATAGACATACATATAGACCAGTATTTATATCTAGTCGTGCCTATATCCAACCGATTTTGAGGCATTTGCTCTGTGTGAAATGTTCTAGCATATTGCAAAGTCTTTAAACAATTTTCTTCGTATCTTTTCCTTTTATTTTTTTTTAAAGAAAAGTTCTCATGTATCTCAATAGCTTTTCGCCACTAAAAATGCCTGGCATATTTTTGCCAAATTGTATAACGATTTATACAGCGCCGTATGAGTAGGCGCTTGTGGTCAGCCGAATTGTTTCCGACATTTAATATTTCTTTTTTGACTGGGCCAGGTGGAGCCAAGACATCTGGCTGGACTGGAGAGTGTGAAAAATAATGAACACAAGCGATTGCAACATGAAAAATAAACAAACGAGAAGAAAACCCAAACGGAAACAAGAATCTAGCCAATTTCCTTATGATTTCAAAGATTATGGCGTGCACTGAGAATTTCTCTCGTACTGTTTTTTATAATTTAGTACATAGCCATTGATTAAATCAATATTAAAATATTTATTTCTTTAAAAAGAACAAGTTTAAAACCACTTTTTAAAGAAGTGAATTACCTCACCTTTGAACGTTACAAAATATTAGCTTTTACTACTTGAAAGTAAAATCTTATCATTTTAATGTTTATTTGCTTTAGATTTCAAGTGTGAATAAGCTGATATGAAAATCGTTGTCCCTACACGCAAAATTTCACCCTACAAAGTTGTATTTTGTAATATATATTTATCTAAAGTAAATAACTAATTGTCAATACCAATTAGTCAAAAGAAATTCAAAGAAATACAATCTAACCATGTGGTATGTGTAATAAATATATTATAACAATTTATATTAAGAATCACGAGAATTTTTTAAAATATATATACAAGCTATAACATAAAATACATATATCATTTAATAAATTGTTCGGTCGAACTATTTCTGAGGTCATGTCGTCATGGGTTGGCAAAAAGTATAGTATTTTCCGAGAGTTCCCGCTGGTTTCATTTCGTTTATCCATAAAACAGAAGAGTTTAAATCGTGTGTGTGCGGCACGGCGCGTGTAAGCTAAATGTATAATAAATATAATCGGGAGGCGGCAGAATTGGCAACCAGAAACAAAGAAAAAGAAAAGATTGGATAGGCCTAAGATAGAGAAACTTGGTTGTAAAGCGAAACATATTTAATGGCATACATTTTGTGGCTGGCTATGGCTAGAAATGGTATTATGCAACGCACACATCAGATACTGGCAGATACAGATGCGGACAACGGACTGCAGACATCACATCAAATTGTATCTGGCATAGAGCGAATTTTCATTTTGATCATTCGCATTCGTTTGTTATTTTGGGTGTAAAACACGAAACGAGAAATAAATCAAATCAAGTGTAGCGACCGCATCCATTTATATACAACCTAACAGATACATCCAGAGATCATTCCGTATACACGCGCTGCTGATTCTTGAGGATATTCGATTTGTATCTGTGAGTCTGTAGCTGTGCGTTTCAACAGCTGTCCGTCCCGTCAGTCCGTCGAGAACCGGGCCAAGGTTAGAAAACACGTCAATAAAGCGCGTTAGCCGACAGCAACAAATCTACTAGCGAATGTCTCTCACAGTGCGTGCGTGTGTGTGTGCGTGTGTATTTTTATTTGGGAAAACTCACGCAGCTTTTCCCAACTCCCCGATCGATCAGGACTCGTCATCGATCCGCGGCTCACGATCGTCATGTCAACGGATCGGCGATTGTTACGATTATTATGCACTCAACACTGACTATAGCTCAATTTGAGAGAAGTCTTGACAGAATAATTTCTTAATTTATGCGGCGCCGTCTTGCCTCCCCTGCCCCTTATAAAAATCGAAATATATCAATTGCTAATTGGCAAAATGTATGTATATAAATCAATTCTTAATTTGTGCACATCATTGAAAGAGTCTGATTAATGAAGAAACATAGATTGGCACTCAGGGGGCAAGAAAACCAGATTTGATAGTTAAGAGCCTAATACAAATGGGTAAATTAAGCAAAACAGATGGAAATTTTTATCACAAAACAAACCCAACGACCGTTAAATAAATATAATTAATAAACTTTTTATAACCAATCAGAATAATTAAGTTTTATCAAATTAATACTTTTCACTGTGGGTAAGGTCGTTCCATTTGTCTCATCTTAATAGTTTCACCTCAAAGTTACAAAATGATTCATTTGATTATAATTAGTACGTATTTCGTAGAGCATATGGAATGAAATATACATATTGAGGTACTGCCCACGTATTTCCAAAAATTTCTATTTATAACGCTCATAACTAATTCAAGTGAAAAATGTGTGGACCATGAAATACAATTCTATAAAAGATACATATTTCGAAAAAACCTCACATTATCCTTGAACTGTATTTAAATGTAAATATCTGAGTCTGAACGCTTGTAAACACCCGTAATTTATTGCCATTTCTTTGATAATTTCCCACTTGTCCCCCAGCGGGTTTGAACGTCAATGCACGCCGCCAGCAAAATCAAAGTCAGCCAGCGGCATGGATACACGGTCACTTGCAACCACCTCCTCTATCCACCGTTTTCTATCTTCCTCTCCATCAGTCAACATCATATAAAGTCCAAGGTAGCGGGGCTACAGTGGGCCCAATTAACTGTTTTTCAATAAATTTATTCAAATCGTAGCAAATTGAATTGAAATTGAAATAAAATATAAACACTTGAATAAAAACACTAGTTATCAAATCTAAGTTCCACATTTTTGTGCTTAAGGGAGGTTATTTCTTATCTAAGCTCTAGTGCATTTTAGTTCCTTTTAAATTATGCGATTATAAATTTTATGACCAAAGGAAGGTCGATATTCCTTATCTAAACTCTGGTTCTTTTTAGTTCTTTAAAAATGTATGCGTTTAAAAATTAAATTAACTTAAAAATAAAAGGTCTTTTCAGTTTCTTTATTGAATACCAAAATACTGCTTTATTACCGAGCTTTTTAAGAGTTGTACACTTTGATAATCTTAAAAAAATCAAATTAAAGTCAAATCATTTATTTTTATATTAATAAATAAAATATGGTAACGATTTATGCTAGTTTCGGAACCACTGTAGCCTATCCCGTCTGCAGAAATCGTGTCGCATGCCATTGAAAATGTGGTGCAGGTGTGGTGCTCTCGTTGTCAATGCTTATGAATGGAAGGCCCAAACATTGAATGTGAAATTGGTGCGGCATGGGTTAAAACTACAAAGAAAGTGCGGGGGTGGACTTTTGCAACCATTAGAGGACTTGTAAGTGCAGGCGATAAGATAATTATTTTAATAAATGCAATCGAAATTCTGCCCTGCGGTTGAGCAAAAACGACAACAGCAGGTGGAGCAAATAGCCGCAGGTTGCGACCGCAGTTGCACCGCACACAATGTGGCAGGTAATTCAAAACGTTTGCACTGTTCCCATTGTTATTATTATTATTTTTGTGTTGTTGTAGTTGTAGTTGCTGTAATTACAGTGCACTCCCAGACAGTGAGCCCTCCCCGCGTTGCCCGCGTTGAGCAAATTAGCATCTGGTTAACAAGTGCGCCGCGGTTAAACGGTGAAAATCTACGACTCTTTGCTGGCGCAGCATAATTAGAATCAATTATATTGAATTGGAGCAGACAATGAGTGCAAGATGGGAGTGGACTGGCAACCGACTTCTTAATTGGAGAAAAGCCGTTGTTTTGTTTTAAACATTAAAGTAAGAATTTCGGTGATGACCCCAGGGAAAAGCTATCACTCGGTGGCATGTTTAAGTTTTTTAAATAAAGACCTTTGAGTTTTAAAATAAAAACTATCAGTTTTTAAGTTTCTAAATTAAAAACTATCAGTTTTTAAGTTTCTAAATTATAATCGTAATTAAGCATTAAATTGTCAAAAACTTTTAAATTGAAATATATTTTTGATTTCCCTTTATTATTATTATTTTAGTTTTTATCAGATCAGTATTTCACTCTTTCATAGAACAGAAACATAACATTTATTTATAAAGAAAATATATGTCTGACAATAGAGAAAACATTGTTTAACAGTTGGATTAATATCATTTATTTGCCGGCGAGAGTCATTAAATTTTTTTTGTTCGACTCTGTACAAAAACAAGTCAAACAAATGAGAGGAAAACTGAAAATGATTTTGCGAAAATCTTTGGGCTTTCAATATGTAAACTCGCTTTTATGTGTATGGGTATTGTATGTTTTTCTTGGTTGTTAAAAATAGAACATTTTGTATTTTTCTTATTTAATGCTTTTGGCCGTTGCCGTTTGCCTTTCGCTGGTTGTTGCTATTGCTGTTGCTGTTCTGGCCATTCGACTTGTAAATCATCGGCTTGCATTAGCCATGTATTTTTTGTATTTGTTAATATTCGAAATTCGAATTGTTGTTGCGGCGGCGGTGTTGAAACCGCAGAAAGAGCACGAAATACGCAACAAAAACAATGGTCGAGCGTCTAGCGATCGGCGCTGCACAGTGGGCCTAAAAAGGAGACCCCTCTTTGACCTTGATTAGGTCAATGGGATCCTTTAAAAGTTATGTAAGATTAAAGGCATTTAATTCATTCATTGCAACGTTACGAATAATTTTTAAATACATTTTTTTCTTGGAACTTGTTTACTGTTTACTATTGTCCTTTTCATTCCATGTCTTTATTTTTCTATCCTACCCATTCATAAATTTTACAAATTATGCTTTGACTACTCTTTCAAGTCAAATTAATACCTTAACTAAAACCCAATTGTGGAATAACTCTATCATTCTATACGTTATGATATTCGTATCACAATCTGATCAGTGGACCTTGGAGTTTGACCCACAGTACGGCCCACGTCAGCGCTACAGTTGGACGCAACAGTGTCGAAACTGCAGCCCCCTGCGCCCGTTCCACCCCCACCACCCCCTCGCCTGGTCGCGTGATCGCAATTGCAGCAGACTGACGCAACGTTTTGCCCCCTTCTATAAGGAAATCAGACACTGGCAAATAGGGGATGCAAAATGAATATACATAATTCATTCAGTGGTCACACATGCACCTAATGCAGGATCCAACCCCTTTTAGAGGATGTAAAAACTTTTGGTACCTTCTTGGAATTCCTACATTCCAAGTAATAGGTCACGAAATTTGGCCAATAGGTAATTTCTTGTTTTGACCTGTCATTATCTTTTTCATTTGTCCAATTTAAATCAATAAATATTTTAAATGAATTTTTTCTTGTGACTTGTGTGTGTTTGAGTACCTTTGAGAATTTAATTGAACTGTTCAAGAAATGTTGTATTTAGCATTGTTTTTTAGTTTGACTTTCCGCGAAATTTAATATGAACATTTTGGAATATCTATTAAACCAACACCAACTCTTTTGCCAAATTTGATGTCTTGAAATAAGCCATAGTTGTAATGCCACTTCTTGGATTTTATATGTGGATAGTGAGCTGTATAGATTTGATCCTTTTTCAAGAGATCTTTTTTCAAGAGAGAAATCCCTCATTAAAATTGTTACGAACCTGATGCAGGGCGGTAAGTCCGTCCACGTTGGCCGTGTTGATGTCGGCGCCCTGGTCGAGCAGCTGGATGACCTCGTCCTTGTCGCCGGAGAGGCAGGCGGCGAGGAAGACGCACCCGGAGCTGAACTTGATCCTGCGTCCGTGCTCGTGGCGGGGGGTGGGGGCGGCTCGGTTGGTGTCCGACTCCTCCCACCGCTTCAGCTGCTCCGCCCGCTTCATCATAGCTGAGTTGTTGCGCGCGTCCAGCGAGGACATCTTGGTGATCCTTTTTTAGACGATCCTTCAGATGATCCTGCTATTTGAGGCAGAGCGCGCGCTCTGTGAGATCCGACTGCTCCAGATGTATTCGTATTTATATGTTCGCTGTTTTTTCTTGTGTTTTTTTGTTATTGCTTTATTGCGTTTTGTTTGCACTGGGAATTTGATTTTGATTTTGCACTATTTATAGAAAATGCTTCACACTTTCGATTTTCGATCACAACTACACTTTGCTGTTTGTACTTCTGCTTCTTCTTCTCCTGCTTGCTGATTATTATTATTTTTCGATTTTTCTATTTTCCTTGCGTGTGTGTGTGTGCGTTTGCTTTATCAGCCAACTTCTTGTCGTTTTCTTTACCACTCACTCACACTAGGGCAATCTGGAACGCTCCCTCTCTCGCTTTCTCGCAAAACAATGCTATTTGTTGTTGTTTAACGCGCACCTTTGTTGTTGCATTCAATGGAAATTACACATTTAAAATGCAAAAAGAGAGGGAGAAAATTAGTGGAAGATAAACAGTTAAAAACATAATTTTTTGTATAAAAAGGAATATTTGTTAACTGCTTTATTCTTGGTTTTGCAATTGTTAAATTAAATTGTTAAGCAAACATATTTTCATATCAATTAAAAACACTTGCGGGCATTTTTACAGCCGCTTGTTTTTTTCACTTTGTTTATCATTCTCCTTTTCGCTCTCTCTCTCTTGCGCACTCACACACAGCCAGATAGGGCCTGCATACGCGGCATGTGTGTGTGTGTTACCAATTTGACATAAATTCAACAGCCGCGAGTAAATAGAACGAAAATGGAAGCCGCGTATTTTTTTCACGCACTCAATTTTGTAGCTTGTGTGATTTTATATAATTCTGCCAGCTAACGGAATGCACAAAAGTCCTCAAAATCGCCTATGTAATTATGTAAAGGCATTTTTACATCGCCCCACTCCACACACACTAGCTCGCACACACACACACTCAGGTACGTACGCCGCACACGCACGTAGAGAAAAATGGATTGCAGTAGAAACTTTTCACACACACCGAAAAGCCAAACGAAAAACGCACCTTTCCCCGCGAAATTTCCAGCTCTCTAGAGATTTACTGGCTGCAGGACGCTCCGCAGGGGCGCTCCTCCTCCGTGAGGCACTGGTGTTTCACTTTATTTTGCATATTTTCGCTAGCGTTCAAATCGAATTTCATCCGCACGAAGTTCACAGACCAAAAATTTTTGACGATTTAGAGGTGGAGAAATATGGATGTCATCGATGTTTTCAAAACATCGGATATATCGATGTTTGACAGGGCACCATCGATGTTTTTCCATCTCTAACTAGTCTTAAACTTTACAAAATGGTCACCCAAAAAATATAACCTCCGTTCTTACGCACGATTACCGATAACGATATCAATTATAATTCAAACTAAATACAATTACTTAAAAAAATATTAAAATGTACTGATTATCCCTCTAGATTCTGAATCGAATAATCACGAAACTAGTATATCGGAAGCTCCCAAAAATACTTCGATCCTCAAGAAACATCCATCACATAAATTTAATTTTACATTTTTAAGCCCAAAAAATAAACAAATATAGTAAATGGGTTCTGAATAGCAACTTAAATATTAATTTATTCAGTGCAAAAGCGAACAACACATTCATATGTTTTTGTAGCAAGTTAATTAACAAAAAATCTGTGGCGATAAGAACAAAATTTTTGGTATTAGCTTACATGTCGTATTCGTAATTTTTAACGTCTCGAAAGTTTAAGTATGTTATGGAATTTTAAAAAAATACTAAGAAGATAATAAAATACTAAATACTGCGATAAGACAGCTGGTGCGGAACATGGATAGATATCCATTTCTCGATCCAAAATTTGTCGGAGAATTTAGCAAAAAAGTGTGACCCCAAGCAAATCATATTTCCAAAGCTTACAGCTGTAACGGTTTTATACCCTCCAATTTTGAAATGTTTAATGTATAAAATCTGAAAAAGCTGCAACAATCTTACTTATTAGTTTGAAAAACTATGAAATAACCAGATGCTCGCCCACTTTACAACAGTGAGAGACAGAGCAACGGAAGCACTTACCCACCCTCCAAAATAATTGCGCATCGCCTGGGTGGCAAAATTTTATTCGTTCCACCCCGCTAATTTTCTCTCTTTCTCTCGCCTGCGCCCTCCCCTTCTCTAGAAAGCCAAGCAAAACAAAACAAATGAGAACGCAAAACAGACTAAAAACAAATACCTATAGGAAAGTAGGCTAGGCGGCTCTATAAAATAGTTTTTGAATAGTCGCAGCATGACACTCAACCCCAACGGACGACGCGTGCACATCGTCGAGTGGAATAATTTTATCTGTGCATTTGTAAAAACTTTGCCGCAATCAATTTAAGCAAGCAGTTTTGTAATCTTATCGTGCCGTGATAAACAAACTGAAAACAATTTATTTTGAAGGTCAAAAAACACAATAAATCAATTCAATGATAAATTGATAAGTTATCTAAAGCTTAAAAATGTATCTGGTAAGTGATATTTTAAGTGAATTATTTTGATTTTCTAAAGAGCAATTAAATCGAATTCGTATATATTTAGCATTTATAACATTATAAACAATATAAATGTTTCCCTTATTTTAAAATGTTTCCAAAGGATACTGTTTTGCTTTGTCTGCTTTTTTGACTTTTTTTATTAAAAAAGTCTATCGTCTAGGCGAACTCTTAAATATATTAAAGCTCCTCTAGAGTTAAAGGATTTATTTTAATATATTGCCTATTTGTAGGCGCTACCCGACTCCCTCTCTATTTTTTCTGATTTTTTTCCAACAACACTTTTGTTTTGTTTCTTCATTCATGTCCTCACTCACATAAACACCCCTTGGAAAATGCACACGCACACCACACTACACTCTTATACTCTCTTCTCTCTCTTCCTCTCTGGTAATTTCCAGTTCCTTCGAAACTGTATGCAACCTAGAATCTCTTCCTCTCTTTCCATTTGACTCTCAACCCGCCCCCTGAAATCTATCTATCCTGCTCTGACGCACACAGCCGACATTATTTTACTTTACATTCTAAATTACGCCATTGTACCTTTTATCTTTGCCGATGCTGAGCATCACATTTCATTCATGATGAAATCTACCCCACCCCTTTTGAAAACCCCACCCACTCGCAGAACGCGACTAGCTAGAATTTTCCTATTTGTAATTACTCATCAATGTCATTTCCATTTACAGAGCTGCGTAGGTTCCAAAGATTGATGGGTTTTCGCTTATAGAATACGCTGCTTACCTCACTCATTTTACTAGAACGAAATTCTACTTACCTATTTGCATTTGCATTTGCATTGCGTCATTGTGTGCTAAACTTAGCCAATGAGTTGGTACACTTATTCTAATATTTACTTCCGTTTTCTCTGGCGCCAAGCGCTGTCGAAAAGATAAGACTACGGTGACACAGATGTTTCTTTAAAACAATTGTCATAACAACCTGTAATCTTTTCCTTTTAACAGTGACTAGATTACTAAAAAAACTTTACGAGTCTTATTCATAAAATTATCAACCATATTCAACCGCAAGTGCTCCAACAATCTTCGGGTCCAATGTCTACGAATCGATCGTTCTTATTATTATTTAAAACAAGATTTACTTTCCTTATATAACTTTGAAACAAATTCAAAAACATTCGATATTCGGTAAAATCTATTAAAATCAAGATTTTTTAAATAACTTTTCAATAAGCAATAATTTAATATATTAAAGGAATCACAATAAACCAATAATAAAAAGGGCAATTCCAAATAAACATTCCTAAGTGTTATGTCAAGACAAGGGGACACATGTGTAACTTACAGATACGTAAAGTCTTGGGGTTCCCTGGGAATTGTCATATAAACCAGGGTCCCTGAAAATTGATTTTATTTATTTTTATTTAATCAATTCTATACATGAAACTTAAATGAAGGTTAATTAAGCTATTTTATTGGTTCATCTAACTTCAATTAAGTAATCTAAAGCAATTAAACACAAGGACTTTCGGAATACCATTAGAAGACAAACAAATGCAGTATCTTAATGACTGCTTGTAATAAGAACTGCTTGCTTACATTCTGTGTAGACTTCATTTTACATCGAATAAAAATAGTAAAATACGATCAGTTTCTCTTCCATCAATTTACTTATATTCATCTATATTTTTAAATTTTTTTAAAAAAATTTAAAATACATATAAAAAAGCTACTGGACTGTATTTTAGCTTATATATTATTATTGTTAAAAAAAATAAAAGCCAAGTAGATTCGAACTAGGAAGCAAATGTCAATGTTGTGAGTATCCAAAAATATTCTGCCTCTTAAAATAACTCTCTCTGTTAATTTGTTGAAACTTGTTTCAAAGTCTGTGATGCATTGTCGATGGTATTTATGACTTAAGCTCTATTCGGTCATCTACCAATTTAGCCAAGGCATCTTTGGATTAAAATTAATGGCTAACTGCCATACACAGTAGATCAGGGATCTTCATATGACAGCAACTGATCCACAGGACTGACCCATTATTGGGCTGTTCCACACATACCCCAAAGGATCTTGACAAAGGATCGAAGGCAGCTGGCGACGTCATGTGCCGCGCGATCCTTTCACTGGAAGCAGACACAATAAGGATAAGGGCCTGCCCCAGGAGCAGATGTTGGCTCACCAGCTCCTTTTTCGGCGATCCTCTGATCGGTTTATTGTTGTCTGCCCCGCTTGCAGCTGCCGGCACACGTTTGCAATTGTCGATCCAGTTTCTAGTCCTGATTTGAGGCAGGTAATTAAACAAGTACGGGCTGAAAAGGGACCGATAGGCAGCACATGTTGCAATAGGTAATAGGCAATCTAGTCGAATCGTGCCCAACCCGCTGTTATGACACCTTTTGCTTTTGCCAATCGCCGTGCAAAAGAAGAGAATGCAAAAATGGAAAACTGGTTTTTAGCCCGATGGCTGCATTTGGCTGTCAATTAAATAACCACAGACAAAGTTTGCAAAAGCCAGCTCAAAAATTACAGTCAAATGTCTGTAACACGTCCCTTTAGTCGTCCAAAAACCAACGTCGCTCGTTTATAATAAAACAGTATATTTATATTGCAAGATGCCTATATAAATATCTAGTGATTAATTATCTACTTTAAAAAAGGTGTTTAAAAATATACAAAGATACATTTTGTTTGTATTTGTAAACGATAAATCGAAACGTAAAATTTGTACAGCACACTTTTTGACATAATTTTTAAATTTTATCGAAGAAATCGAGATTTCATTGCGAAAATTATTCACTAAATATTAATTTTAAGTCATATTTGTAGAATTCTTTTCGGTAAATAGTAGAATATGAAAGGTTATCTATTAATTCTGATTAGCTAACTATTAGAAGGCAATGATGCAATGTAGATATACATAATATTATTCATAAGAGATTACCTTAAGAAAATGCGCTATAGAGTGCCAATACAGTAGATGAGATTAAGAGTATGGGTGAGTAATCAAAATCACAATAAACAGCAGCACCAACAAGAACGGGGCGAGTGCAACAACTTTAAAAGGCCTTGCAAGGCCGTTTGTCTCTGAGCCAGGGATTTTTCAGCTCAAACTTGTTCGCCGACTCAAGATCCAAACTTTGTGTGGTCATCGGAGTGATCTTTTGAAACAGAAAATAGCCAAAGTGCCGACGGCACTTCACTCTGCCACCATCCGCAAAAAGAATATATACATATATCGCCGCCACAGTTTAATTTAAGTTCCACCAAAAGACCGCCTGCGATAGTGTCGGCTTGCAACATGTCAAAGACGTCTAGACTCTTCATTTATAGGCAAATTTCTCAAATGCGTCGCGACATCTTCGTGGTAAATTTAACTGCGTGTATTTTTAAAATCCCAAAAGTTCAACCCGTTTGCGGGCGGACGCAATATGCACACGTCGCGCACTGTCGTCGGGGCACTTTCCATAAGTGATTCAAGTATGCAATCTTTTGTATTTCAGTATTAACGCTCGATCGTGTTGGCATTTCCTTTGCCTTTCTTACTTAAATATATGTGACTACGGAGCCATATCATGGGTGCTTAATTAAAAATGTTTTTGCTATCGGCAACCCACTGCATTTGATTAAATCTAAGAATAAAAGGGGTATACGTGCAAAGACCGTATCTTAGGCCAACAAAAAAATTACCGCATTGTAAAAAAATAATGTTCAGATAGTAAAAATAACCAATTGACTATTTAACTAATAAAAATGGGGTTAATTTAAAAAAAAATACAGAAATTAGTAAAACTACTTGCTTTTAATTTTAGAAAATATTGGAAAATGACTCGGTTATTATGGACGCAGCAAACAATGATAGTAAAAATAACTGTATCTATAGACAATACTGAGTAATATTGACCTAAGGTGTAATTAAAGAATGTCCGAACATAAAACCTGGTGACATATTACAAAAAAACAATGACTCAATATTATTACAATATAAATATTGGTGCTAAGTAACCTGACTTTCTGTGTAATCAAAACTGGCTTAACTGTGTCGGTTTTAATTTGTCACTACAAAAGTTTTTCTGTTTCAAAAGATCATTCAATCAATATTAAGAAATTTAGAATTTAAACGGTGGCGTTATAAATATTAAATTAAAGTGAAGTGCCGTCGGCACTTTGATATTATCTGTTTCAAAAGATCATTCAATATTAGGAAATTTAGAAATTTCTACACTTATGTGTTTAAACACAGTTATAGATTCTTCCAAATGTGTTTAAGCAAAAAATTCTTATTAAGAATCTACAATCTTGCAGACGGAAAATACCTGTTAAATCTGACCGGCAAGGCAAATGATTCTAACTCTATGGCCTGAGTTTAAATGTGATCGCCTATAAATCTGAGTTTGTTTTGGTATACATATCTGTGCTCACTCGGCATTGTGGCAAGTAAATATAAATGCTTTTATTTTGTGTTTATGTTTTGACTTATTTATTCTTTATTGGACTTAAGCAATATATGAACAAAAAAATGCGACAAAAAATAATATTATTATTATTTTGATTGGCTCTGCAAAGGAATTGGTTTTTTGGGCAAGCCAATCTGTCATTTAAAGAACATTAATAAGCTAAAAATAGATCTGACCGGCAGGGCAAATGATTCTTACTCTATGGCCTGAGTTTAAATGTGATCGCCTACAAATCTGAGTTTGTTTTGGTAGATATGCTCACTTGGAATTGTGGCAAGTAAATATAAATGTTTTTATTTTGTGTTTGGGTTTTTTGGGCAAGCCAATCTGTCATTTAAAGAACATTGATAAGTTAAAAATAGATAAAACCTCTTTTTTAACTTGCATGCAGTAATCTATGACTGACGCATAAAATACTTGATTTTGGTGTATTACATTTTTTTGTATATATTGTTATTTTAAAAATGTGGGGCAGGTCGACAAATTTTTGAAAAATTGTTAAAAAAGTTGTTCCAACACGTCAGTTTCTAGAAACTGAAATTAGAAATCCTTTACTCCTGCGTACCAAATGTTTTGAAACAACAAATTCTTATCTGGCTTTGGTGATAAGGAACTTTCAGGATATTTCCAGCTGCTTTATGGAAACCGAAGAAGAGACAGGTAAAACAAAATTTAGAGAGAGTGGGAAGGTGAGGTCGGAATGAGAATGAGGTGCATACACAAAAAAAACTGCAGCTGCTGTCTGCTCTGGCTCTCTTCTTCTCTCTTCCAGCAATGTCTGAAAGGTGCATTGACACGCGCCACATTCATATTTCGGCGCATGCTCTTCCAGGAGCATAAAAATCAATGATCCTGGCTGCTGCTTCTGCGGGTGGAAAAGGGACAACCATACTGCTAACAGTTGTACGGTTCTTACGGGTTGCGTATTAATACGAGTCGTAGTACAACGACACTATTCACTGCCCATTTAGATATTTAAATTTGCACTAAACAATACCCACTGGCCTAACTGATTTTAAATAAACTTATAAGCGTTGCCTTTGCAAGCAATAAAGGTTTCTACTTTTCAAAAATTACAGCTGGGAAATGGAAAGGCCGACGATACTTTACTGCAACTTGGTTGCTTCGGGTTTCGTGCCTCGACTCATGATACAATAACATAAGGTAGTCTCGTCGGCTGTCTAAACGTTCGGGTTTTGGTCAGTGCGTGTTCGTCTTTCGAAGGGAAAGGTTGTCTGCGGACGAATTTTTTAGGAAATTAACCCTTGAGCAACATGACATTTTGCAATGTGTGCCGCAAACACGTCGATGGCGTAAAGGCACCGAAATGTTTGGAAAAAAGAGCGCTGTGGGAGGAATCGCTGTGATACTTTTAAAATAACAAAGAATGTAAAAGAAACTTTAATAATCGCAACCGAAAATATTAGTATAAGTTTTTATGTCTAAACTTATACTAACATTTTCGGCTGCGATTATTAAAGGTTCGTTTACATTCTTTGCTATTTTAAGATTAGAATATATTTTAAAATTAAGAATCTCAACAAAAGACTCAGTATTCAGAGGCAAAAACAACGCCTAATTTCAAATTCAAAATTATTAAAAATTAAATTATAAAAAAAAATTAAACTCCTTTTATTATGAAAGGCAAAAAAAACCCCCTGAACCATATAAGGGTTAATCCACACATTCTATTGTCGCTCTGCTCGCACTTACTAAACAGTTGCCATTTCACTCGCACTCATTGTTTTAATAGTAGGGTTCCAAAATTTGCCGACGAGACTACCTTATGTTATTGTATCATGCCTCGACTCGTTCACTGTTTGCTCGCTACGTTGGCCGCTCTCGTTCGCTCATTTGTCCGCTCACTTCAGTTCGGAATCGAAACTCAAGACGTAAAGAAGCAATGGATTAGCTTTTCAGCGCTATCTTGATTATAAAATTATGCATTTAAAGCTAGAATAAAGTACAAAAATAAAGTATTTACCGGACTCAATTGTGATAGTTGGCTTTATAATTGTCGACAACAACAAAAGAACGCAAACGATAATAGCAATCGAGTGCTTGTCTAATTGTAACCTCGCTTTGTTTTTCCGTTCCTTTAATACACGGAAAATCAATAGTGACTGTGAAAGCGCATAATATTACGATTTCCATATCGCCGAATCTCATCGCAGAGGATATTTTTGGGAAAACTTGAGTTTTTCAATAAAAAGAGAAAAGCTGTCAAGGTGAGCATGAAGTCTATAGTGTACAGTGTAGTATTCGGAATCCTCTTAACGAATTTAACCCCAAAAATTTTATGAAAACGTGACATCAGAAGCAAGAGAGCAACCTAAAATATATTTTTATTTGCTTCGCTTTTCGTTAACACACTATCTTGGAAAAAACCACTCGCATACAAGTTCACAAGACAAGTTTGTCGTATTTGATTTGGTTGTTTATAACAAGTTTTCTTTTTAAGACCTATGTACTTTTGTAAACAAAAAATAAAGACAGAACCCATCAGTAAATAAATGTATATACAAGAGTGAAAACTTTTAATATAATTTCCAAGTTTTACTTGGCAATATAGAGCGAAAACGTTTTCTTACTTTCCGTCGGCTATGCGCCGTCTGTTTTGTGTTCCCGTTTTTGCTGCCCTGTCTCGCTCGCACCTTCAGCAACGAGAGATTGTTTCACAAAAAGATGGCGGCCGTAGAGTTGCCGAATACTTGCAATGTTGTTTTACTCCAAATTATTTACAAAATTACGAAGTTTTGTTTACCGAGCGAGTTCGGCGAATTTTTCTGTTTTGGTTAATACAAATTTTAAAGACATGCGGTTATTTGCGAGGCTTTTGAGGCTAAAGAAACCTAAAACTTTCCGACATATGGTAGCCCTCTTTTTCCATTGAATCATTTCATACGAAATTTCACACCCCGCAATTCCCTTGCGATCCACAATGCTGTTTAAAAACAACATTCTCAATTGGGTATAATCTGAATGATGGAGAATAAGGGGCGGTTTTTGTACAATACAATGCCATTAATTTTGTATTCATTCGAAAATTCGAACAACGCAATTCGCTGTTTTCGGCTATGGATAAAATTAAGCGATGACTAAAACATCAAAATATTTACCCAATTTTTAGCAGACTCGAAGGTCACCCTATGAGTCAATGATCAAAAAAGAATTTCATCCTGTTCTAATTAAATTTAATTTGCTTAATTTGATTTAATTTTCTGAAATATTGAGATCATATTGAACATGGTTTTTTTTTTAATTTTTTTTATTTAGTAAACTGAACAAAATTAAAAAAAAAATTGTTTTGAAACTTTAAATTTGGAAAATTAAATAAAAAACAATTTTTTCTGTGCATCAGAATAAACATGACGCGTTAGTTTACTCGGTATGTACACATACACTACTCCATACGATATACGATTACCCTTATGTGTAAGGCACTTCCTCCTTTACGCACACACTCACTGGCATAATCCGGTCCCAACTCACCACCGATTCCGGACTGTGGAGCATTAGCTTCTTTGTCTGGTACATCCGCTGCCAACGGAAGTGGTGCACTCATGCGTGTTTTCCACTCTGCAGAAATGGAGAGAAAAAGAGGCCAAGAATAATGGTCGAGAAACCATGGCCATAGAGACGATCCTAAAAACCGTTTGGGCTGTTGCCAATTTTCACTATGCTTCTTTTTGCGCCGACTGCAGTTTTTATTTTTTGCGCACTGTGCCGTTTTTTATGCTTCATTACTTTGAACTTTTGCGTTCATTTTTCGCCGAACAAAGAGAAAGTCTCGCCAGTCTCTCAGTTTCTGAGCTAAGCTCGGTTTCCAGTCCAATACAGTCCAACTTCAATATCTTGAAAATATATCTTTACAACAACTTGTTGTCTAGCCAAGTTATTACTGTTCATACAAATAAATCCATAGTTTTAAAAATATTAAAAAAAAAAACAACAACTTGCAAAGCCATAAATATAACCTTTTATAAATGAATCCAAATAAATTTGTTGTTACAGAATTACAAAAAAACCGAATAATTTATTAATTTTCCTTAACATATATTTGTTGGTATTAAGACATTCAAAATAATAAAAATATAAGAATAATATTAAAAAAGATATATAAAATATTCCTTATAGAGGGGTTATTGAGTTATGGCCTGTATTAATTGCTAGTGTAGTGCTACAACTTTTTCCATTATCGTTGCACCCACACAAACCATCGATGGTGGTCCCTGTGCCCACTTTCCTACTCCCACGAATCGGATCAAAACGAGAGGAGTCGAGACAGTTCGTTAATAAAACGATAGATAAGGTGCTTAATAACAACAAACAGTTCTCACGTAAATGCCCGGGAAGTAGAATGTTCCCGAAAATGGAATTTATTCTATTGTCCTCCTCCCGTCGTCCTAAGTTTCATTTGTTATCGCCAGCAGACGCGACGGCAATCAGCACATGAATGGAAATGGACCAAAGCGGGCCTTGAGAAAGGAGATGGAGTAGGGAATCTGGACAAGACCAAGCATAAGATGAAGAAAATTACATTTCGGAATTCCCGGAATTCTCAATGCTCTCAAGCTGAATCATCCATCGCGTCGCCAGCACGACCTTTTGAGCCTGGGCCGCGTGAAAAACGACCTTTCATCCATTATTTCCCTTAACGAGGCCCCCCCTGGCTTCTCCTGATATCCTCACTTTTCCATGAGATCGTAACCACATTCCAAGTCCCACAGAGATGCTGCAAAGATAAATGTTTTAACCTCTCGCTCGCACACGACTTAACTTTGGATTTGAGAACAATTTTCCTTAGGTTTTCCTAGGAAAAATGCTGGCGGCGTCGGCGGTTCTACGACTTTGAACTAAGCCGCCGTTACTTTTTTTTTGGACAATCGATCAACGTTCAATAGGGAAGAGGGAGAAAAAAGAGTGTAGCCGAGCCGATTTTAATGCATTCTTTAGCAGCTCGGATCGGGGCGCATTTATTATGATTACAATATTGCCCTTTGTTGGCGTTGGCCAGCATCCCAGAATGGTTGGTGTTGTTTTTAGTGTTGTTGTTTCATCTCTCTGTTTTCTTCTTGTATTATCGACGTCGGCGGTCGTTTTGTTGCTGCATTTCTTGGAAGGCCACAACACGCACGCACACACATATAAATATCATGCAAGAATGTTCTTTGTGTGTGTTGCATTTATTTATTTTTCTGCATTCTCCTGTATGCTTCTTTTTCTTCAGATTCTTCCACTTTGAGATCTTCCTCTTCTTGAGTTCTGATCACGATGACGACTCATGCAGGAGCAGGGGTTTCTTTCCTCTCGCTCTTTTAACCCCGGATTCGTGTTGTTTTTGTTGGTCTTGTCGTATCTGGTATCACCGCATTCCAATCTCGGTTTTTTGTCGAAGACAACAACAAAAAGAATGGTAAAGTGTTTATAATAGTTTCCCACAGTCGAGCTCATGTCTCCGGGGCTCCCAAGGTATAATCAAAACAGCTGTGTTCAATATTTTAGTACCAAAGTATTTTCCCAAAAGGTACCCAAGGTACATTTAAATTTAACTGGATTTAAGCATTGACAAATAAAACTAGAATTAGGGATCCAAGGAATGGTGTGTCTCAAGGATATAAAAAAAATGAATTGTAGGAACTGTAGTTACAGTCCTATTACTTTGCCCTCATCTGTAGTTACAGAACGTAGACCTTTTCCACGGCTTTGGACCTCTGCGGTTACCTTCACTTACTACAACGATAACAACAGCTTTACTTACAGACTGAGAACGGAATGACTAGCCTTCCCAATCAGAAAACTCGAAAGGCAGCTCGAACTACTCCATAGCGCTCCAACCAAACTCCAACTCCAGTTTAATTTTCTGTGGTGGAGTTTTTTAGAAAAGCTGCCCGACGGCATTCCATTGTAGATTCGGTCGTTCGGCCGTTTGGTTTTGGTCTTGTCTTTCGTGATCGTTTCTTCTTTCTGTTTGTTGCCTTGCCTCCTGGGCACAGCCTTTTGCTTTGGCCTTTGATTATGATTTTCTTTGCTGCGGAGTGGTATGGTATGTGGTGGTATATTCTTCTGGTCTCTGGGATCGAGTGTTGTTGTTGTTTCCATTCGCCGCCCAGGAGGCCTTGTCTTTTCAGTCGGTCTTCGGTTGGTGTTGGGTGAAGGCGCTGCTCACGGTTCTCAATCGCTTGATTTAAAGTAGTTCCTTGTTTTCTTCAAAATCTTAATTTATTTCGATAAAAAATTAATTCAAAAAGTGTATTGAGTTTTTTGTGTTTGTACGAAAACTGGTAAGTGCAAAAGTACCCTGCATATTTAGTGATTGCAAATGTTTGACTTTTGAACTTTTCACGCAATTTCCTGATAGCCCCGGCTAAGTTCCAATACTCGGTATATATTAAAATTGTTAATGGGCTTGGAATTCCACAATAACAAATAACAGACGTCCGCAGAGACAGCTGTAATTGCACTTTGTACTGGCTAGAGAAGCAAAACAAACAATAATAAGGGAGAATAAGGCCGAAGATTCTATACTCTTGCTGAGAAATTTTTACAATGGATTGATATGAAACTTGTTGGGATCAAATATAATCTCATTATTAAGCCAACTACAAACTTTCTATAAAATATCTTTTCAAACGGCAAAGATATTTAAGTTTGAAACCCCAAACGAATGGAGTTCATAGTTGGTAATGGTTACAACATTGATTTTGCACTGTAAAATAAAATGTTAATTCTCCTTGCAATATTGCAATACCTTTTATAAGGGTATACAAATTGCAATTACAATTGCAGACAGCATCTCAAGCTTTTTGTGTCCATGTCTGTGTGCTGATGGCTGCTCCACTTCAAAAACAATGCGCAATCTCTGCACAGAAACAGACCCCCATCTTCAGCATCCCCAGATCCAGCAGCATCATCATCAGCTAGTTCCTTCATATGTATATCCCGGACTCCAGAAGTCAGAATTTGTAATTTACAATTGCTTTTGTTTTTGGTTTTGCTGCACTTTGTGTACTTTTTTTTCTGGCTCTGCGCTGCACTCGGTTTTCCCTGTGGTTAGTTGTTTTTCCCATTGATGGTTTCGTCTTGGCACCACATGTTCGTCTCGCTTGCTCCACCAGTCTTCCAATATGCATTTATGCTGCGCTTTATGCTGCAAGTCGGGCTCCATGGTGGTGGTGCTGGAGTTACCGAGTGCGCCGTCGCCAGAGTGGTTTGACTGCATTCCATTAAAACTTTCTCACAGTCGGCTAGCTTGCAGTGCTCCACAGTGCTTGGCACTGCCAGCTAACCCACCAATGCCTCCTCCCCCTTCCCAGCACCACCATAGCCCCAACCGCTCGATCCGTTGCAATTGTTTCGCGAGTTTGGCTTGTTTGTGGTTGAAATTTGGACTTTGAACGGGGCCCCAACTCGGCGGTCGTGCTGCATTTGCTGGTGGCTCAGGCGAGAAAATGTCGAAAAACGGCTTACAATCTCCTTGGAGGAGACCACCGCAGATACAGTTTAGGTCCCCAGGCAGGGTTGGATTGCCATCGATAAGAAGCAAGTTAATGGTGTTTACCGAAAATTTTATCCTTGTTTGAAAAGTCTACCTTGAATATTCCCTTTAATATCTTCTTTATGTTTAAATAATATATATTAAAAGTTCCAGAATAGTTTGTTTATTTGCCCTTACAAAAATGTTATCCATTAATTCCAGCTGATTTAAATATATTTGTCTGCTCTTGTTTTTATGTTATTATTTTTTCGATTGCCAATAAATGATGGATTCACAAAACCAATATTGAATGAGCTTTTAATAAGGATAAAAAAAATCATTTACAGATATTATTATTGTTTAAAGTAGATAACTAAAAAATCCCTTATTTAGCCTATTTGAATACACTTAAATCTAAGTATTTGCTTTTCCTGTCATTAATATAATTGCCAACTCACCAACTGACGGGCAATTGAAATACCCGTGTGGGTTGCACTTCGATTAGCATACTGCTTTATCTGTTGCCGCTTGTTGTGACTACAAGTTTTTGCTATTATTATTGAAATTATTAGTTCGGTGAGTCAGAATCGAGAATAGTTATCGGGTAACGTCTGGCTGGCGCCACCCACCAACCTTCCATCCAAACCACCACCCACCACCCACTCACCCACTGAAGTCTGGTGGTGCTGTGCTGTGTGCAAAATACTAATATTCACTGTGCTTCGGCGCACTGGAAAAACGAGCGGTAGTATTATTGCGTACTCTATAATACACTACGTATATTTTTTCAGTCGCAACTCGGGAGTTTTTCCCGAAAGGAAAAACCACCCTCGGCTCGAGTGCGAGCGGGACAACCGCTGTGTTTTCCATCAACTAAGGGCTCTTAAAGTTCGTTGATGCTGCATCTCCAGTTTCTTGAACTGCGTTTCAGTTTTTCCTTGCATTGTACATACACACTCTGAAAAACGTAGAAGTGCGACGAAAAAGTGTCTGAAGTTTTGCTCAAAAATATTTTAGGTAACAAATATAAAGTATTTATAAAGCTAAAAAATATCCTCTAAGATAGGAAAATCGTGGTGCTTATTTTTAATGCTGTAGGCGAGATAAGAAATTTTTTGGCAATCTATAAATTAGTCATTCACTAAGTAAAGGTTATCATTTATTTTTCTTGGTATTTTTCCAGCATTGTACTACGAACCCTTTTTAACAAAAGATTATATTGTTCCGTGAAATCGAATGTTTCTTGCAAAAACATGTTTGTCATAGATGTTTTAAAGTGAAAATGTCAAGGAAAAATTATTCATATTCTAACATTACATTTGCCATTTCGTTTTCCCATTTTTTTTGTTTAATTCATTACGTGCTGTAATAATTGTGATTTATAAATTAAATTGACATTATAAAAAGTCAGGGATGGTTGCAAATTGACGAATCCATCCCTGACTGTTTATAGAATATATTTGTATTCCCATTGGCGTCTATCAGTTTCGTCGACCTTATCAATAATTGTCGTAGAAACAACCAGTCGGGCAAGTCTCAGCGGTCTATGAACACTGTGTTATTTACATGCCTGCCAGTTTGGAGCGCACTCTTCACAATGACGCGTGCTCGAACCGCATAGTACGCTCCAGAAGGAGCAATTCGGGGTCGGTTAGAAATCTCTAGGTCTACACTTATCTTTATCAAGTTGATAACCCATATCTTGACTTGCACAGTTTATATTTATACTGATTGCATTCCTTGTTTTCTTTCATTTCAGTTTGGAGCAACTGGAGAAATATTTAAGGATCAACAGTCTAGGAGAGATAACAACAACCGGAACGCAAAATGGCAAATGTGGTAACCAATCCCCGGTACATTCATGTACACTCCGCCCTCGAGCCACCAACGGTTACCGATCAGGTGGACAACAATACGAACGCGACGCAGCTATTCAAAAACAACATCTTCAGTATCATGAACGGTCTAAATCACGAAGAGGCGCGCCTAAAGACCTTCCTTGCCTGGCCGCTGGAGTGGCTCGACAAACGTCAATTGGCCCAGACGGGCATGTACTATACAAACGTCGACGACAAGGTGAAATGCTATTTCTGCGGTGTAGAGATCGGACGCTGGGAGCGGCAGGATCTGCCGGTGCCAGAGCATCAGAAATGGTCGCCAAACTGCCCGCTACTGCGCCGACGCACCACAAACAATGTGCCGTTAAACATCGAAGCATTGGACCGCATCCTGCCGGAGATCAGCTACGATATTTGCGGTTCCAACGACTCCACGACAGCGGTGGAGCTGAGGGAGGACTCCTACGCCGAAGGAAGTATCCCCATGTCACAGATAAACCAGTCGCATACGGCGAATGCTACAGCCACTGTCGTCGGAAGCGCTTCCCACCCGCCGATGAGCTCGATTGCCACCCAGGCAACGACAGCCACCCAGGCCAGTGGCGATGTCCAGCCGGAGTTGTGTCGCACCCCAGCCGCCAGTGGCAATTATTTTCCCGAGTATCCCGAGTACGCCGTGGAGTCGACACGGCTGCGCACCTTCGAGGCGTGGCCGAGAAACTTAAAACAAAAGCCGCAGCAACTGGCCGAGGCGGGTTTCTTCTACACGGGCGTTGGAGATCGCGTCCGCTGCTTCAGTTGCGGTGGTGGTCTCAAGGACTGGGACGACAACGACGAGCCCTGGGAGCAGCATGCCTTGTGGCTAAGCCAGTGCCGTTTTGTCAAGCTGATGAAGGGTCAAGTCTACATCGATACGGTGGCTGCGAAACCGGAGCCAGCCGAAGAGAAGGAGGAGAGTTCGTTAAGAGCCGAGGTGGCCAGCAGCCAGGTCACATCAGACGAGGCTTCCGAGGCGGCCAGTTCTGGGGATGTGCTCCCAGCCACGGCAGCCACCCGCATCTTAGAGAAGATTCAGGAGGCGTCAGCAGCTGTGCCTCCGTCCGCCAGCAACAGCGGTCCCTCCTCCATACCCGAGGAGAAGCTGTGCAAGATCTGCTACGGTGCCGAATACAATACGGCATTCCTGCCCTGCGGCCATGTGGTGGCCTGCGCCAAGTGCGCCTCCTCCGTAACCAAGTGCCCGCTGTGCCGGAAACCCTTCACCGATGTGATGCGTGTATATTTTTCTTAAGAACGCAAACACAAATAAATGTTAATCAAAACTTTAAAAAAAAATTATGTTTCAACAGGCGATCGCAACGGCCAGCTGTTGGTAAGCCTGGCAGCTGGCCGTTGCATATAGAAAGCCTGGTAGAAATAGAGAGAATAAATTGTAATATTAGTTTAGGTCACCACTTGTATGGGTTATTTATAATAAAACTAACATATAATCAATGTCGTTCGTCATGTGGGTGTGGGGATTAATTACAAAAGGCGTCGATGAGCTAACGCACAAGACCGGGAAGTCATCGAGGGGATTCACAAATGCCGATTGCGTCTGAAGAGTAATTACCCAAGAAACCAGCTGGCTTGGCTTTTCCGGAATTCTATAATATCGCTCGAGATTGTATAAGAAACATTTTTAAAATTAATTCTAAATTAAACATTGAACTCATCAATAATTCCATATAAGTCACAGTTTAAATGATAATGGTTTTTGACATGGGGACAAAGTATTTCTTTTTATTTCGTCCACCGACATACCAAGTTTTTTATCGATCGGTGAAATACTACCAGCAAAAAAGCGATTTAAGTTGGCTTCGCTGATAGTCGCTTAGTGCTTACTTCATAATATTGGTAAAAGATTAAACAGGTGGCGTACGCAGGAATTTTTTTTACTTATAGAAGAAATTTATTGAAGTAGTATTATTTTCACAAAGAAATAGGAAAAAATTTAATCTTTTGCGTTCTTTAATAAAAAAAAAGTAAACGGTGTAGATAAAGATAAAGAACAATCTAAATATCGGCTTCTTAGCCGACAGTTGACCCCGAATTTGCTACACTTCACCCTAGATAATAGCAATCTTTTTGTAATAAACATTGCGAAATACGCGACGATATATTGTTATTAATCTTATCAGGTATTTAACAATTTTAAAAATCCAACAATGATCTTACTATATGCACGTGTTGAACCCTTTGTTGGTAATGACTTAAATGCAGAGTCTCTTATCAGTCAATGGGTTTCTACGGCGCTTGCAATTAATCACCGCCCACGCCTAAACAAAGTGCATTCAACTGCATTTAAGTGCAGTGACAAATCTCATCTCTTTGTTGTCGCTTCAAGCCTTCAAATTTGCTGAAATTTCAGGTTTTTTGACGGAATGTTTTATTTTGGATTTTGAGATTCGCTTTTAAGTGATTTCCACCTCATCGGATAAGCTCGCAGTGCCTTTCAATTGGTTAACTGCGATCGGACAGATCCGGTTTCGGATTAGCCAAGGTAAGAAATACTGAGTAAGTGCGACTTATCGGTTGCATCACCATCACCCCCGTATGCATATGGATATGCAATCCATCGGTTTGCACACGTGCCGAATATCAGTCTTATTGGAATTTATTATTATGAAATGCCTTAATGAATGAAACATTTGCCTGAGTCATCTGTTCCTAGAACTGAAAGGAATGTCACTTGCTATTTACTAGTGGGTTTCAATTATCAGACATCATAATGGCATTTGTCAGTCGATGTTATGCAAATTACTGATCTAGTTGCGAGTGATCGTAAAGTCAGGCGCTGACCTTAGGTTGCGTGTGGTTTTCAATTATCAGGCGAAGGCCCCGGCAAAAACTGCCTTCAACTTGTGTGAGAAACTATAATTTTTCACCTAACCTCAATTAAAATTAGAAATGTAGTTAAAAAACTTGGAAAATAGAAAAAAATCTTTAATATTTTCCTAAAAATTTAAATTTAGCGGGTATGACTTGGATTGTATATTTAATGAAAAGGTTTTCTAAAATTGTCGATTTGGCTTGGGAATTTGATGCAGCTTTTGTATTCAGGTTCATTTACTTGCTTTTTGTTTCATTGCCTTTGAGGTTAGGTTGTTGCACTTGCTAAAACTCCAGATGGAAGCATTTACCAATATGGTTTATGAATAGGCTAAAGGACTGTCCACTTTTAAAAAATCATGCACTGAGCAAAATTCGTTTTATCTAAAAGAGTTATCACAACTTTTCCAGCCAAACCACTAATCGATATATATTGCTCTTAAAAATATCTTTTATTGGAATGTGGATTACGAATTTTATACTTTTCAACACAAATTGAAAATATCTAAATTAATGTAATCCTTGTTGGCCATGACAAACGCCTTGTGGGCATTCACCTGTATGGCCAGATCCACAATATTCGTATTGCTAAAATAGTCCATGGCCACGACGTTGGCATTGTTGCCCCAAGGACCTTTCAGCCACTGATTGACCTTGGGATTGAGGACCGCCGCCCGCTTCTTGGCCGTCTCAAGTTTCTGGGTGTTCAAGGTCTGCTCCATGCTCCTCACAGCAGTGAATATCCAACCATCGTCGCGCACCGGCGAATCTGGTTTCTTGCTGAAAAGCAGCTGCATGTAGTCCAGGGTCTGAGAAATGTTCATAAAGCTGGTGCTAAATCGTTGCCACGGTGGACAGAGCATAGTTGATTCTGGAAAGAAAGCAATAAAAAAATGGTTCTTTAAAAAAAAGAAAATTACTTCGAAAAACGTATATAAACAGATTCCTGGGACACCTCCGTTAATATATAATAAAATAAACATAACTAATTCTTCTTCAAAGTAAAATTCTACTTCTATTTACATCTGGTTACCTACCACTCGCTGGATAGGGCAATTCCTGGGTGGGGAACAGTATCAATATATGCCTATCCTGCTGCAGTATCTCCCGGATATTTCTATTAGCACAGTGGTCGTCCTTGGTGACATTGCGCCGGTAGGCCTCATAGCCCAGCTCCTGGCGAAGAAGGCGGTAAAGTGAACTATAGATCTCCGGGTGCTTGTAGAATCCGATCGGAAAACTGCTGAAATCCAGTACTATCATCTCCCCAGATCGCTTGACAAACAGACAAACATCACGCAGAATTCCGACCAGAGGAGTGATAAGCATGTTCTCGTTGGCTATCCAAAAATTGTCGGCTTCATTTTCGGTGTTCATGTTCTTGTAACTGGCAGGGAAAAAAAGAAATTATATTAAATTTTTTTACTTAGATTTAGGAAACTAACACAGATGTTTATGTTTTAGTCCCATAGTTTTTTATTTCTGACTCATAACTCGACTTAAACTCACCCAATGCTGAAATCCAGATAGCGAATGCCAAACACGAGCTGAGACCAAACATCGAATTGCTGGACCACCAGATAATCCCTGACCAGAATAGAATTACTCTTGTTGGAGCTTCCAAATACGGCACCCGAGGCATGAGTGCCCGGCAAAAAGATGTCCTTCAGCGGCAACCGATTGACGTCCTTGATCTGGGCCATCCAGTTGGGCTGAATCTTGAGGCAATCCACGGTGAGCAGCTCAGTGCCATTGTAGCTGGCCACAAAATGTGGCAGGCACTTGCCAGCGGGATACTGGGTTGCAGGTTGATCGCTAGCATCCTGCCGATTCCAGCCACCAGGGAAATGCAGTTTGCCCAGCTTGATGGGCGTTATCAGCTTGCCCGTCCTATTGGCAATCCCATCGATACGGAAATCGGGTTGGAAGTTGGAGGTGGTCGGATCCTTGGCGTAGATGCCAACCCACTGGGGCGGTCCATAGCAGTAGGGACCCCAATTGATCTCCAGGAGGGTGTCCTGCAGGGTCTTGCCAGTCAGCGAAACGGTGAGGTATACAGGACAATGCGCTGAAACAATTTTAAAGATGAATAATAAATTTAATATTAAGTAGAAGATTTAAATCAATGTTAAGTACCCATTCCTACACATGTTTATGATTGTTAATTGTTTTTTAAATAATTGTTCAAGTACCCAAAATTCTTATTGTTCAATGTGATATGTGATATTTTCAACGGAAATAATTAAGTAAAGTTTTACTCTACTCATAACAAATATTAATTATATTAGAATATTGTTCACACAAATTAAAGTAATGGATTGAATAAGTTTATTTATTATTTCTGAATTCGAAGTCAACGTAACCAAATTATGGCATTTGATTGATGGTATTTAAGTAACAGAACCTAATACATACCTTCCAGGGAACCAATTAGTAGAATTGACTGCAGGAAAGGCACAACTAATATTTTCATTTTGTTCATCTTTAAACTTGACACTCAATTAAAAATTACGTGCACTTTGAATGGATTTGGCGTGTTGTTTGCTCGGCAGCCAGTGCCGAATTGAGAACAGAGATACATTTCTCTGCATTTGGATCTCGTTTTCCGACAATTGAGATTCCCTTCCTCCACACTGCTCTTAACCGCCTTCTTTTGAGCTTAGTAATTGAGCGTTTTCGCATTCCCAGCTTTGAGATCGTTTGACCTGAGAGAGAAGTCCGAATTTCGGACTAAAGAACTTTTTTTGTAGTAGAAAATTTAATTTCTGACATTTATTTATTGAAGAAAGAAAATATTTTCGTAATCAAAAGGGTTTCCAAGACTCCAGAATAAACGTGATTTATAATATTGGTCAAAACTCAAACTTTTATAAAGTGGTAGAAAATTATTATATTTCTTCATAAATGTAATAGTTCTATTAGAACACACTCGAATTCCCATGTTTTCCATTTATATTTATACATATGTACCCCCTGTTATTAGTTGATTAATTTAAAAATTCTTCAGAAAATTCAAATCAAATTTCCACTTAATAAAATATGTGAATTAAAGTCAATAAACTTATTTTTTAATTTAAAGTTAACTGTATAAGGTTTTTTTAACAAATAAAAAACCAGAAGCTAAGAAAACAAAAGAGTTTAGTTATGCAGTTAAAATACATTTTATTGCATTGGGTCAGAGAAAAAAGAGGTGGAAAAACTGCGTTATTTTTATGTTCGATGAACGCAAAGCCTTTGACATTCGTTTAAAGTGCAGTAGCGGTTGAAATTGCCGCCACATCCATGGTACTGCATCCTGAAGCATTCGTTTGTGTGATGGTTATAGTACCACATCAGATCATTGGGCTCACTATTGCAGCCATGCAGATGGCGAACTCCTTCGTCCCTGCCGCCCAAACAGTTTTGGCGTTCTATTTGTAAATTAAATCAATATTTAGTTTACTTTAATTTCAAGTAATCAGTATTTAACTTACGGGGACGTCCTTGGCAACTCTGGGCTGAAGTGAGGGCCACAAAAAGGACCAGGCTGGATAAAATCAGGAGAAATTTCATTTTGAATGGTTCCTTTTCGAATGATCGATTTTAATTGATTTCCCGAAAATGAACGGGTGTTTTTATAAGGGAAAAAGGCCTATACATATAGAACATTTTTAAATAAACCATCGATCACACGTGCCAAGTTTATAATAGGCCAGATACAATGGAATTTAATTTTGCTTAGTAACCCCAATTGATGAGATACACGTGTTTATCGATTCGCTAATAAACAATACCAAGGCCCCAAAATGTTTTAAGGCAAAGCTGTGATCCACTTGAGTAATATATATGTATATAGACCTAGTCAGAAATGCATTTAAAAATGTTGTAATACAAAAATGCAGTGGAGTTTTTTAACCTCAATATTGGGATTTTTATTCATAAACAATGTTATATGTTTCAGTTTTGAAATATGTGGAAAATCAAATTTTTGGAAATTTAAAATCTTTATTTAGCTCAATCTCTTTTTGGTTATTTTAAAATTTTAGTAACAATCATTTTCGGACTTTCAACAAGCAAAAGATCAGTACTAAATGATTTGGTTATCTGATTTTGTTGATTACTATGTACAATTATTATGTACAATGTTTAAGTAATATTATTAAATTACAAACTTCTATAGTTTATAGAGTTCTTGACTTTATTAAACCTTAAAGACCAAGCTCAAATGTAACATTTTGCAATAATTCATTTCGTAGTTAGTTCCGACTGTAATTGGTTTTACACTCCCTCAAAATACAATATCAGTTTCGGTTTCCTCCGCAACCAAAGTATTTCATTGGCTTACAGTCATTGGCCCTCTGGTCGTAGTACCACACTTTGTTATTGTATCTCCATTGGCGCATTACTGATTGGCTGTTTGAAAATGTATTCAGTACTAATATAAAGTTTATTTACCTGAGCTTCCGGCGCAACACAATTGGTCATTGGCAGCCAATCAAAATTAAGACGATTTTCATTGTTTTCCTTGGTTTTGCTTGTTCTGCGTTTACTAATTTATTCATCTGAATTCTAAATGTCTGATGGCTAAACAATGAAAGAATTTACCAAGACATAATATAGTTCACTCAACTTACAATCCTTGTTGGATTCAAATATAATGTAGAATGAAACTAGCAATAGTTTTGTTTTTTATATTCATTTAATAACAATCGAAATTTCGATTTATATATAACTTGTATAAAATTTTGTTGAGCAGTTTCGTTTAATTAGGAGTTTGCTTTATGGGCGGGTAACGGGGCATGCTGCCTCACAGCTTCGCAGGGAGCAGTAGCGATTATTGTTGCCGTAACATCCTTTGTAACTCATCTTAATGCATTTTCCAGTGGGCCTGTTGAAGTACCACATACTGTCATTCGGCTGTGGATTACAACGGGGTCCTCCGGGAGCCTGCCTTGCTGCTCCTTCATCCCTGCCGCCGTTGCAATTCGGATTGGCTATTTCAAATTAAATGGAATATTTGAATCTGTTAAATTACAAGTTTTCGAGACTAAACTTACTGGGTGCTCCACGGCAAGTTTGGCCAGAGACGAGGGCCACATAGAGGACCAGGCAAGACAAAATCAAGAGAAATTTCATTTTTGACAGTTTATCTTTGAATAATCGTTTTCAACTGATTTTACAATTAATTGTTGCGGCTTTTATAGGGAAAAATCGGATGTATTAGCGAGTTTTTCCAGCTTTTTCGCAGTGCCGATTTTGAATAGGGAAAAGACAATGGAATTTAAATCAACAGCTTTTGTTTTTGAGCTCCATTTCTGTCAACAGTTCAGTTCACTTGAATCGACATTTTTAGTGTACTGTTTCCAGAGACAATATCAGTTACGTTTTATAATTTTTAACAGTTTGAATTGTTTTTGTACCTTGAAGGTATTATTTCAGTTAAAAGTTGGCACATTTCTGACCCTTTGAATTATATATTTGACAGTCAACTGTGGTGACCCACATTTAAACTTGTAGAATGCATAACTTAAGCCGATTTTTAAGTTAGAAACCTCGTAAAATTTGTGGTTTGATTCTTAAATAATTTGCGTTCAAATTTTTCGTTTTAATATTAATCAATTTTTTGACCCATTTTCATGTTTGTTATTTTAACTTTATGGACTTTCAGAGTCCATAACTTTACCAAACTTAACTCGATTTCAAAGTGGCATACCTCAAAAGACTTGTGGATTGATTCTCTAAAAATCTGTATTCAAAATTTTCAATTTAACGTTGATCAAATTTTTGACCCATTTTCATGTTAGTTATTTCTAATTTTCCGATGTCTTGAAATACAGTGACTCAAAATTGGACTTCTAGAGTCCATAACTTTACCAAATTGAATCCGATTCCAAAGTGGCATACCTCTAAAGACTTGTGATTTGATTCTCTAAAAATCTGCATTCAAAATTTTCAATTTAACGTTGATCAAAATTTGGACCCATTTTCATGTTAGTTATTTCTAATTTTCCGATGTCTTGAAATACAGTGACTCAAAATTGGACTTCTAGAGTCCATAACTTGAATCCGATTCCAAAGTGGCATACCTCTAATGACTTGTGATTTGCTTCTCTAAGAATCTGTATTCAAAATTTTCAATTTAACGTTGATCAAATTTTTGACCCATTTTCATGTTAGTTATTTCTAATTTTCCGATGTCTTGAAATACAGTGACTCAAAATTGGACTTCTAGAGTCCATAACTTTACCAAATTGAATCCGATTCCAAAGTGGCATACCTCTAAAGACTTGTGATTTGATTCTCTAAAAATCTGCATTCAAAATTTTCAATTTAACGTAGATGTAATTTTTACCCATTTTCATGTTAGATATTTCTAAGTTTTCGATGTCTTGTAATACAGTGACTCAAAATTGGACTTCTAGAGTCCATAACTTTACCAAACTGAATCCGATTCCAAAGTGGCATACCTCTAAAGGCTTGTGGATTGATTCTCTAAAAATCTGCATTCAAAATTTTCAATTTAACGTTGATCAAATTTTTGACCCATTTTCATGTTAGTTATTTCTAATTTTCCGATGTCTTGTACAGTGACTCAAAATTGGACTTCTAGAGTCCATAACTTTACCAAATTTAATCCGATTCCAAAGTGGCATACCTCTAAAGACTTGTGGTTCGATTCTCTAAAAATCTGCATTCAAAATTTTCAATTTAACGTTGATCAAATTTTTGACCCATTTTCATGTTAGTTATTTCTAATTTTCCGATGTCTTGTAATACAGTGACTCAAAATTGGACTTCTAGAGTCCATAACTTTACCAAATTTAATCCGATTCCAAAGTGGCATACCTCTAAAGACTTGTGGTTCGATTCTCTAAAAATCTGCATTCAAAATTTTCAATTTAACGTTGATCAAAATTTGGACCCATTTTTATGTTAGTTATTTCCAATTTTCCGATGTCTTGTAATACAGTGACTCAAAATTGGACTTCTAGAGTCCATAACTTTACCAAATTTAATCCGATTCCAAAGTGGCATACCTCTAAAGACTTGTGGTTCGATTCTCTAAAAATCTGCATTTAAAATTTTCAATTTAATGTTGATCAAATTTTTGACCCATTTTCATGTTAGTTATTTCTAATTTTCCAATGTCTTGTAATACAGTGACTCAAAATTGGACTTCTAGAGTCCATAACTTTACCAAATTTAATCCGATTTCAAAGTGGCATGCCTCAAAAGACTTGTGGATTGATTCTCTGAAAATCTGCATTTAAAATTTTCAATTTAATGTTGATCAACTTTTTGACCCATTTTCATGTTAGTTATTTCTAATTTTCCGATGTCTTGTAATACAGTGACTCAAAATTGGACTTCTAGAGTCCATAACTTTACCAAATTTAATCCGATTCCAAAGTGGCATACCTCTAAGGACTTGTGGTTCAATTCTCTAAAAATCTGCATTCAAAATTTTCAATTTAATGTTGATCAAATTTTTGACCCATTTTCATGTTAGTTATTTCTAATTTTCCGATGTCTTGTAATACAGTGACTCAAAATTGGACTTCTAGAGTCCATAACTTTACCAAATTTAATCCGATTCCAAAGTGGCATACCTCTAAGGACTTGTGGTTCAATTCTCTAAAAATCTGCATTCAAAATTTTCAATTTAACGTTGATCAAATTTTTGACCCATTTTCATGTTAGTTATTTCTAATTTTCCGATGTCTTGTAATACAGTGACTCAAAATTGGACTTCTAGAGTCCATAACTTTACCAAATTTAATCCGATTCCAAAGTGGCATACCTCTAAAGACTTGTGGTTCGATTCTCTAAAAATCTGCATTCAAAATTTTCAATTTAACGTTGATCAAATTTTTGACCCATTTTCATGTTAGTTATTTCTAATTTTCCGATGTCTTGTACAGTGACTCAAAATTGGACTTCTAGAGTCCATAACTTTACCAAATTTAATCCGATTCCAAAGTGGCATACCTCTAAAGACTTGTGGTTCGATTCTCTAAAAATCTGCATTTAAAATTTTCAATTTAATGTTGATCAAATTTTTGACCCATTTTCATGTTAGTTATTTCTAATTTTCCAATGTCTTGTAATACAGTGACTCAAAATTGGACTTCTAGAGTCCATAACTTTACCAAATTTAATCCGATTTCAAAGTGGCATGCCTCAAAAGACTTGTGGATTGATTCTCTGAAAATCTGCATTTAAAATTTTCAATTTAATGTTGATCAAATTTTTGACCCATTTTCATGTTAGTTATTTCTAATTTTCCGATGTCTTGTAATACAGTGACTCAAAATTGGACTTCTAGAGTCCATAACTTTACCAAATTTAATCCGATTCCAAAGTGGCATACCTCTAAGGACTTGTGGTTCAATTCTCTAAAAATCTGCATTCAAAATTTTCAATTTAATGTTGATCAAATTTTTGACCCATTTTCATGTTAGTTATTTCTAATTTTCCGATGTCTTGTAATACAGTGACTCAAAATTGGACTTCTAGAGTCCATAACTTTACCAAATTTAATCCGATTCCAAAGTGGCATACCTCTAAAGACTTGTGGTTCGATTCTCTAAAAATCTGCATTCAAAATTTTCAATTTAACGGTGATTAAATTTTTGACCCATTTTCATGTTAGTTATTTCTAATTTTCCAATGTCTTGTAATACAGTGACTCAAAATTGGACTTCTAGAGTCCATAACTTTACCAAATTTAATCCGATTCCAAAGTGGCATACCTCTAAAGACTTGTGGTTTGATTCTCTAAAAATCTGCATTCAATTCTGATCAAATTTTTGACCCATTTTCATGTTTCGATGACTTGTAAAAAGGTCACCCACAACTTGACACCTAGAGTCCATAACTCTATCAAATTTAAACAGATTTCAATGTGGCATACCTCAAAAGACTTGTGGTTTGATTCTGTGGAAACCTGCATTTTAATTTATCATTTTAACGTTTATACATATTCTTAAGACTTGTGGTTTGATTCTCTAATAATGTACAATCAAATTTGTCAAAATTCTTATCGCATGAATGTTCCTACGCGCAAAACTGTAGTAAACATTTGAACAACAATTTTCAATCCATCTCATGAAAACACATTCTTTATATTTTAAAAGCTAACTTTCTGACATACTCCTCTAGTTATATTAATATACACAGACCCATTATAAATAGTAATTGCATCCTCAAAGTATGTTATAAAATATTATATTATTTTGAAAAGCATTTTATTTTATTTCTTGTTTAAAAGAAGGCAACAACATTTAAAAATTTTAAAAAGGCAAGACTGGAATCATTTTTTTGTCGAGAAATTTAGCGTCTGCACTTTGTTTGACAATCTTGGACGCTACAATAGCGATTGTTGTTGCCGCCACAGCCGCGGTACCTCATCTTTTCGCAATTTCTGTTCCGGGAATTAAAGAACCACATTTCGTTCATGGCAGTCAGGCCGCACCAACGTCCATTGTTGTTTCCTTCATCCCGATTTCCAGTGCATAGCTGAGTAACTGCAATTTTTTTTTGAGTATGTTTCAAAGCTCAATCATGTTATCCTTCGGCACTTACACGAACGTCCTGGGCATACGTTCTGGGCTTCAACACAAGCCACATAGATCGTCAGGCAAACCAAGATCAAAAGGCACTTCATTCTGAATGGGTTAGTCTAAGGTGTTCGCATTCAACTGATCAATTGATCAATTTTCGTGGATTTTATAGGAAACAGCTCGAAAAAAAGAGCTATAAATAGGATTCTACTATAAAAGCGTGTTCTAGATTTTAAACAATACAAACTTTTAAAATAATCGCATATTTTTAAAGCTTAGTTTGTTTATCCTATTTGCTTAAAAAAATGTGCATTTTTTAAATGAAACGCTGTTTGCTTTTATGCATACTTTTAAACTTTTGATAAATATTAACAAAAGCTTGTTGAGCTTATTTTAGGAAGAATATTGTGTTGAAGGTAAGGTCGTATCGACGGCCTTGAGACGGTTCGACTTCAATCTGTGCTTTAAAATGTTTTTAGTTTTTCAGATCGTATTGGTAATATAAGTTGTATTTTAGCTTAAGGTAGCCTTAAAATTAGCAGGATTTTTTTGAGATGAAATATTTAGATTATGTTTATCATAAATTAATTTTAATTTATTTTAATTTAATTTTAAAGGCCAAAATTGAGGAATACACAAGCGGCGGCAGTCTTGAAGAGAACAAAATCGATTCTTATTTCCTCCGCATCCCAGAAACGACATTTTTTGGCATTCTTTGGCGTTGGTGTTGAAGTACCACATTTGGGACATGGAGCTACGAGCACAGTTCCATCCAATGGCATGTCCCTCACTTTTCGGACCAGTGCATTTCGGGGACACTAGAAATGATTTAAAATTAGCTGAATTACCAATCTAAACTTTTCTTGATGACTTACTTATTCGTCCACGACAGGAAACTTGGGCCCTGGTGCATCCCACATAAAGAACGATAAGGGCGAGTACTAGAAGGAAATTCATGATCAACCTTATCTCCTGTAATTTTTCAAAACTGAATTTTAATCTTTATATAGCGTCCAAAGTCATTAAAGCTGAGATCAAAAGCTCAAATGATTAATAAGGGCATTGACACAAGCATTTCGTAATTATACAGAAAATACAAACAAATTAGTTGTCATTTAATTATTATAATATTTATATTTGTATTTATAAAACACAGTTAAACACTTTTTATCTCTTAATCTGTCGATCTTAATATATTTTTAGACTATTTCAAAAAAGGTTCGATTGGAAAAAATTTACATATATCACTTAAGTGTTATATTGACTCCTTAAATACTTACTTTACTTTGTCCCCAAAATAACAAATTTTTAATTCTGATAAATCAATGTTAAATATTGGTTTTTTTATTGAAAAAAATATTTGTTCAGTTAAGGGCACGTGTATTTTGCACAATTCGATTCACCCACCATTCATGCATAAAACACATGTGTGCTGAAAATTAAGTTGAAAGGCAAAAAGAGAAATCGATGACAATATAATTGAAAGTGGGCCTTATAAAGACCGTGGCAGTAGAGTTAAGACCTTATTTCCACCTTGCAATATATGAAACGAAGTTACTGCCAAAATGCGACGTGCCACATTGATTCTCATTTCTGCTGTTATGGTGGTGTACTTTGTAGTTGTTGTGGCAGGATGCAAGGGCAAACCTGGTAAGTAGATATAAACTCCAAGATTACTGAGGATGTTTTCATTTGGAATTTGGATTTTATAGGATCGCCAAAGTGTGTTGGGGCACCAGATGGTGGTAATAATCGCAAAAGAAAGTGCAAAAAATCGGCCAATAACGATATGTGGAATTATAATGCGGTGACCAAAAACTGCACCAAAATTAATTACCTTGGATGTGGCGGTAATGATAATCGCTGGTGCACCAAAGTATTATGTGAGACCTGCCGATCAAGGTGAAATTAATGAAATAAGGAGATAATAAAACAACATTTAAAATAATTAATTATTTTTCTGGTTTATTCTTCTTCAAATATTGGTCGATTTCATCTTTTGAAAATGATAACCAGCTTATTTGAACAACGCTAACAAAAGCTAACAAGCTTGGAAATTGCATTACGTTTATGATTATCACTAAGTTTAAGTACAACAATTCTTAAAGCTAAACTTCAACCAGTTCTGTACAGGCTTAACATAAATTACTAGTTTTAAATAGTTTATTTTTGTGCGATTTTTCTCGTTTATCTAGAAATTCTTTACAAACATTGCTACAATTATTTATTCGATTTGTTCACTTCGCTTCTGGTTAGCTATTTTCGCATTTGTTTAATATTTATGTTTATTTTTGTTTTTGTGCTGTTGTATTCTTTGTTTTTTTTATTTTTTCATTAACGGAATGCGGGCGGTATTAAGTTAAGTATTTGATTTTCGTTGCACAGGTACGCAATGATTTATGTGAAGGCAGCTGTTAATCAATTTCATTCTTACTGATCTGAGGTAGGTATAATACAATGTATAAAAAAAAAAATAAAAAAATAAACATTGCGTGGGGCAATTGAAACAGTCTAGATTCCACACAAAAGTACAATCCTAAACGGGCCATAAAATTATCAAATAAATTACATAAACAGTTACGATTATTAAGCATATCTATGTAAACTATGCTATTATTATCAGTATACATATATATATATATAAAAAAAACATAAAAACAGTCTTGTGGTTGCATTTGTGTTTAGTTTCTCGTTAAGCAGATTTCATTTCTGTGATTGTGATTGCAGAATGCGAATGAATAAATATGTGGCGTGCGAATGTGAATGTGAATACGAATACGAGTTGCATTTCGAGTAGGACTATAAATAAATTCTGCTTAATTACTGGGTACTATGCGCATGTCTTTTTCTTGGTGTGTTCTAGGAATTGGAGCTATCTCCACTTATGTGAGTGTGTGTGTGTGTTTTGGGGTGGTGTTATGCAATATTTACAGAGCGGCCCCACCTACAAACTATATATACAGGCCACTTATTTACAGTAGGGTGGGTCGACTTATATTTAGACCCCCAAAAAGCTAACAAATCGTAGGGATGTACACTTTATCGTATTCACTTGGATTTTATGATGTCTCATTTTGTAATAAAAAAAATTAAGTACTTTAAAAGAAAGAAAATCAAATTTAAAAAATTATATAATTCAAAGGCCTATTGATTTTTTTTTTTAATGTGTGTTTTAACCTGGTAACTAATAATTTGTTTTAACTATTTTAATAAAGGACACCAAAGTAAGGACTTAAGAAATGTTTGGCATGCCCCTGAAAAATATATAAGATAAAAGCCTAAAGTATCTACACATTACCCCTACGATTTTGGTCACTATTCTGGATCCACCCCAATTTACAGGGTATTTGGTGAGTCTAGTTGGCCTGCTGGGTGAGCAGGTTGACCAACTCGGTGCGCTCCATGTTGTTGAGGGTGTGCATGTCGACGCCCAAGGCGGCGGCCACCGCCTCGATGTCCAAACCGAAGGCGGTGAGGAGCTCCAGGAAGCGCATCTCCTCGCCGGTCATGGGATTGGTGAGCGTGGGACAGGAGTGGTTGCACTGCGGCCAACTGCAGCGCTCCAGCAGTCGCAGTCCGCACTTTTCCGGCACTCGTGGAACTCGTTGCCGTTTCTTGGCCTTGCTGTTGCCATTGGAGGCGGAGGCGTTGTTCGAGGAGCGTGTCTTCTGGGGGGGTTCCCCCGTCTCCAGGACAACATTGGCAGCTCCTGGTTGCTCCTGCTGCATCTGCATCTGCTGCTGCTGCTGCGCCTTGCGGCGTCGCTTGCGTTGCTCCTGCCTCTGCTCAGGTGTCAATTGCTGACGACGTCGCTGTTTCCGCATCTCCCGATCATTACCATTATTCGACTTGGGGCTATTGTTCTTCTTATTCCTGCCCTCCAGCGCTCCATTGGCCTTCTTGTGCTGCTGTCGCCGGCGTTGTTTCCGCCTCTGTCGCTGCTCCTGCCGCACCCGCTTCCGCTCCTCCCGCTCCTCCTTGCTGAGGTGATTGTGTTTCCGCTGGCCGCCCGTTTGGGCCACGTTATTCTGCTTCTGGCGGTGCTGCCGCTGACGGTGCCGCTGGTGCCGCTGGCCATTGGCATGCGGCGGCAGCTGGGTGACCGCCGTCGATGGCTCCGTCGAGCGTTTCAGCTTGTCGTGCCGCTTGCGACGCGTCGAGTGCTCCCAGCAGCGCAAAGCCGAGGGCAGCGATATATCATCGATCTTGATATTCACCCAATCCCTTTTCGACAAGACCGCATGGCCTATGCAACTGGGTGCAAACACGGCACTCACATTGTCCAGCGAGGATCTCAGAGCACCACCCATCTCGTGGATGAAGTTCCATTGCTGTGGGGTCACGGGTGCTCCAACATTATCCGCTCGCATTTGGGCCTCGTCGAAAAGCCATTGGAAGACGAAAAGGGGAGCTGGTTGGGAAGTAAAGTGGGTTAAATAAAATTCGAAATATTCAAAAATATAACTTACTTTTCAATGTGGGATATAGCCTGTAGCCAAAGTAACACCTCCATGGCTCCGTGGGATGCGCTTTGGTGCACTCCTCGGGCAGCAGACCCTGCCACAGCTTCCAGCCCTGACGCACTGCCTCACTGGAGGCCACGGCCGCCGGCGTGTAAGGTTCCCTGTCCAGGAACCAACCCGAATCACTCACACCTCGCACAGTAACCTGCAGTTTCTTTTCGTTGACGAGGAAATCTCGGATGCGATCCAAATTGAGCATTACACCCAGACCTCCGGCTGAGGAGCCTACGAGGAGCAGTTCTCCACCCGGCACTCGTCCCAATCCCACCGGAATCAGTTCGGCGATCACCTGACGCAGGATCAGTGCTCCCATGAACCTCCAACTGTTCTCCGGATCCCGGGTATCCGGCTCCGTTCGCGTTCCCGACCACGAGTCACTGCTGCAGTACGGGATGAGCACGTGGTTGGCGTTGTGCCAGTAGGGATTCTCCTCCGGATGGGGAGACAGGATGCCTCCAACTGAAAGTGGGGAAAGTGGGGAAATAATTAGATATTGTTGGTGGTGCTCAAAATGCAGATATAATTTCATTGCTTATATTGTACTGATTGAGTGGTACTGATCTAATTATTGTTTTTCCTGTGATTTGTATATTTATGAAATTAATTTATGGATATTCTTTAAGTTACATGATGCTTTATTGGTAAAAAAAAAAAAAGTAGGAAAAATGTATTTTAGAAAATAAATAACAAGGCTTTAATTTAGATAACACAACAGATTTTATGTATTCCCTAATATTTACTGATTGAAAAAGAATATAGATAGTTGTGTATTACATATGTTATTAAAACAACTCAATCAAGCTACAATAAGGGAAGTAATAGCATTTATAGATATTTTCCCAATTATTAATGAAATCTTTTACATTTTAAATGTTTATTGCATGTTAAATGTCTATTTTTAAACAATTTATCAGTTCTGTTTTTTTAAGTAGGATATTTGTAATAACTTTTTAGGGACTGTAAACCCATCTTTTTAGTATTTCTAGTGGCAAACTCACCATCTCTCGTTTCGGGCCACTGCGAGGAGGTCATGAGGTGGCGCAGTCGCATCCACCTGGCGCGGCAGGACCTCAGATCGAAGCAGTGCCAGCCGCCCTCGAGGAAGACGATCCACTTCTTGGAGCTGGGCTGCTTTCGCAGGTAGTAGCCGGCATGGGTGCCGTCGTTGCAGGTGATGCTCGAGTTGGCCAGGACGGCGCGTTTCAAGGAGCGACTGTGGTCCCCGGATCCGCTGGCCGAGTGCATCACCATGTAGTTGCGCTGGATCATGTTCATGCTGGTCTCCCGCAGCGGATCCTTGTCCTGGAGACTGGAGGATGCTCCATCCAGGCTGCTAATGCTGCTGCTGCTGCCACTCGCAGTTGGCAGCTGACTAAACGTGGCCAAGAGCAGCAGAATCGTTAACAGCGGCGTTGCTGTCTGTGGGAGAGAATACAAAAAAGGAGAGTTGCTTTATGTACTTTTCCAGTTAACAACAATAACAGAGATGCTGTGCTGCTCTCCATCTCGCTTTGGGCCACAAACTCTGGGCTCTCTCTCTCGTGACCAGTTGGCTCTTATGTTTTTTTGGCGGAAAAACTTGCTTTGATCAAAATGCGAGCAAGAAGCTTTGCGATAAGATCAAAGAAATTTTTGCCGCTTGCCGTTTGGTTGTGTTATTTCCCACCCCCCTTTTTACCTTTACCCCTTCCCTTCCTTATTTGTTTGTTGTTTTTATTTTTCGTGTTTTTTTTTTTGTGGTTTTTACATAGAGAGAAACACAGAGACAGCCTCAAAGTATTTAGTCAAACATGGCGAGAAATTGTTGTTAATCATACGCCCCGTGGGCCAGTGCCAGTTCCAGTTCCAGTGCCAGTCAAACAAATTTCAATTTCACATTGTCATGGCCGCTGACGCGTGGTAATCAGCAGTTCTTGGCTTTGAACTTAAGGCCGTTTTTGTTGTTGTTTCTTTTTTACACACATCAATCAAATGAGCTATCTGGCGATTTGTTTTGTTGTTTCGCTGATTCTTCACATTTTTTTTTGTTGTTTAGCTATTTTCCAGCAATTTGTAAATAACACAATAACAATAACAATAACAGCAAAAACAACAACAACAAAAACATTTGCCGACAACATGGGCAACGATTTTAGTGTCTCAGTGTGTCAGTCTGTCAATTCTGTCTACGGTCTTGCCTCCGCATAAATAACCATTCAGAAATCGTAAAGAAATCTTCAATCAATGTTTATACAGGCCTTTGAAGTCCGCCGACTTCTGCCGCTGCCGCCGCCGCCAGCAACGACAATTTGCAGACAGAAATGCAAATGACACAAACACGAAACGAAAACACTCTGGCAATTATATTGGCCAAAGGCCTACAAAGTATAATTTGGACTGGCCAGCTCTGATCTAACGGTAGCCAGCCAGTCGTCATTGATATATATATATATTCGCCGATATCCAGTGGCTTAGCTATTTATAAAGCAAACAATCTGGTTCCCCAGATTCGAATGATATATGTGCATAATGTACGAAAACCTAATCTGAATACAGATAAATTAGTTTTAACAAAATCATTGACAAATACCTTAGTTGATAACATTTTAATAATAGTGAATTGATTTTATTTGACTAAGATATGTGGAAGCTTGATTTATGAAAGCCATAAATTTATTTTGTTGGATTTAAATAAATATGTAAGCTAATAAAAAGGCATATGTTTTATATTATATTTATTAGTTAATGTGTTGATAATTAAGTTAGACAAAGGAAACGAAAATAATAATTATTATTAATTTAAAAAATATTGTTATTTTATTAATAGATACACCAATCTTTATTTATTTATTTAACTTGTATATATTTTGTTTATAGCCTTTGCCTTTTAAACGAGCTTTGCTTTAATGTTTTACTTAAATTCGGATGAGTTTTTGATTGAATATGTATTTAAATGAACGAAGATTTATGTAAAGTACAAAAATAAGTTTTTATATCTTGGTAGAAAGGCCAGTTAAAGAAATTAAAAACTAATAGTTACTATTATTGAAAACAGGATATAAAATACATTTTCATTTTAAAATTTCCTTGTAAATATTTCGTTTATATACTCTTTGCCTTTTTTACCCACATATTTCGCTCCACTCTTCTAGTTCTCACCCCATCCCCCCTTTTTTTGGCCGCTCTGCACGTCTCTTACAACAGGTTTAGATACTTTGTGGCCCGTCTTAGCCGCTCGTCGTCTGATGTTTGCCGCCAAACAACGAATTTGACAAGAGCTCGCTCCTCAACATCAGATGAGTAGTTTCCATTGTTGATTAGTTCAACTGCGCCAACGACTGCGGCCACAATGAACCTCCAAAAAAAAGGCAAAATAAAAAGAACAACAAGTAAAATAAATATAAATAAAAAGATTTCACGTGTGCGTGCGCGGATTTACGTTTGAGTAAACACCGATACAGATACAGATACACCGCGAGATACGGGGTGAGCGTACGTTGCACTTGTTGTGTTTACCTGTTGAGAAAAAACGGCAGCGCCGCCGAATAAAAAACAGAGAAAAAAACGAAAACAGAGGCGGCGTGGCCAAAGGAAAAATGTTCACAAGCGCCGCTTAATTACCCTATATAGAGTCTTAAGTTGCGCTATTAATTGCGGGCAGTGCTTATTAATATTTTGCCTTATTTTCTCCCCCCCTCCCCCTTTCCAAAGTGGCGATGCCGACAAAGGAGCGCTACTCTACTCGATTCGAATCGAATCGAATGTCTGGGGGCTGGATGGCAGCCAACTACTTGTCGCGCCGATTATATTGTCAGTTTTTATTAATTGCTGCAAATACTCGGTCGCGTTTGCGACGCGATGGCGCTAAGCGTTCTTTATTTTTCCACGTTTTTTTTTTCATTTATTAAAAAAATCGAGTATACGCCCCGTTGTGACTGGAATTGATTTGATTCCATTTGATTCGATTGCGGTGGCAATCGACTGCGGCACAGTCGCCCGTCTAAGTGTTTTAATCGAATTGCAATTTGCATTAGGTTAGGGATTGCTATCAATTATATTTGCTGATAGTTGATTTAGTTTTTAAAAGGTTAGCCATTCATACATTTCAGTGAACTACAATATTAAAATTGGCCTTTGTTTTGGTTGCAAATATTTATTTTTTCTTTTGTTTATTTGTAAAGTGTGACTAGAAATAAAGTTTAAAGGTTAAGGTACGAACTTGACAGTTAAAATTAATCAAATTTGTGCTAATAAGAAAATTAATGTTCGAAATCCTAATAAGCATATTAATACATGAAAGCCTAATAAGAATTTTAATAGCCTTCAGAAATAACTGTAAGATTTCTAAGTCTGCTAAATAAAAGTCTTTGTAAGTCATAATTGCATTGGAATATAAAATATACTTTTAATAAAAAAAAGACTTGATTCTTTTTAAGAAAATAGTGGTTCGAACTAAGGAAGTTTTACTGTATATTTAGTTATCTTAGCACAATTCATAACGACCTTGTCCAAATCAAAGGGAGGCCGTCGCCGCTTGGATCTTAAAGGTGAAGGAAGCTCCACTTTAATGTTGTTGTTGTTCTTGGCGCACTTGCAGCGGCAACAACAGCAAAAACCAAAACAACAACAGAAACAACAGCAACCAGCAATAACAACAACTACAAACGGACTAGCGCGTTCTCAGTTACTCGCAGCTTATCGCAATACGCTTAAGTAAACAGCGGTCTGGGGCATAAATAAACTTCCGTTGCCGTTCTCATGGCACTTGTTATTGTTGTTGCTGCCATTGTAATTGTTGTTATTGTTGTTCCTGCTGCCAGTTTGTTTGATTTGCGTTTCCCCCCATCTCTTTCTCCGCCCAATATCTCCGTCTCTGTCCCGGTTTCTCTGTTGTTTGCCGGCTTCAATGGTTTCAGTTTGCGCGCGTAACCAGAATCGTTATGAAAGAGAGCGCGCTCTTCACAAAAAAAAAGACTTTAATAAATGGCATATAAATACACCAACAAATTTTCACGATTGTGATAACAATGGCAATATTTATCAATATAATTTCAAGGAAGTGTTATTGGATAAACGAGATGCTTTTGGTACTTATAGAATGTGATATTTTAGAAGCCGTTATTGTGCTAATCAACAGTTCTCCAAATAACTACTTGTATAAAAAGGAATTAAATTCTTTTGTAAATTCTTAAAAAAAAGCTTAAGTTAGACGGAAAACAAGTCATTTTTAAATTCAGTAAAATATATTAAACAAAATTTTTGTGTTATTTAGTATTTGATAATAAAGTTAAAAAAGTTAATCCCTATAAAACAATAAATTAATTGCTTTAAAATTTAAAGAATTCAAATAAGAAAAAGTTTATTCGTTGTATTGTATTATTATCTTAGTCAAGTTCAGATAAGTTATTATTTATTAAATATTTTCAAGGACCAAAACATTATTCCTTCTATAAGGTAGTGCAATGAATACCTTTTTGAATCCCATGTTCCCTGGTAAACTGCAATCTCTCCCACTTTTGCCAGCTTAATCCTTGACAGCTGGAAAAGATTGATTTGTTCTCCGATTCTGACCTGAATTGCGCTTTATTGTTGTAGTTAGCCTGCCTGTGGCTGAGTTTTAGAATACTTAAAGCCATGGCCTAGGCGCGCATAATTGCAGTTCCCGAAACCTGAACGATCCGCCTTATGGTTTCGGTTTTCTGCCTGACGGGCATAAAAATACACCTGTTTGCGGCAATTTAATACTTTTTATGGCAGGGAAATAACGCGGTGGCTGCTGTGCTGCTGTTGCTGCTGCGTTTCTGCTGCGTTGCTACTGCATTGCTGGCATGGCAAAGGCGCAGGTAATTCGGAAGCAGCCTCAAATGAAGCCGCAGGCCAGCGGGAATGGGAATGGGAAGGGAACGGGGAGTGGGGAGCGGCAACAACAAAAGCGAAGCCGCCGAAACGTGTAGCCAGTGCCAACAGCAGCGTTATTAGACCGGCCTGATCTGAGTATCTGTGTCTCTGCCGTAGTGCCGTATCTGCATCTGTATTTGTATATGTTTCTCTGTATTTTCGTATCTGTATCTTTGTGGATGTGCGCACGTCTGCCAAGCGGTCGCCGTATTGTTGTTGTTGTTGCTGCTGCCGCTGCGGCTGCTGCCCGCTGATCGCTTTTTACTCCGAGCGCGCTAAACCCGTGCCGTTTTCGGCTTTGTACTTTGCCGCCCGTGGACTCGTGTATGTTTGCGGCATGTTGCAAAGCAGATCGAAGCTGGCCAAGTAACACACAGAGAAAAAACGAATCATCTTCAACGCGATCCCAAAAGTGATTAGGATTTTGGCAGTTGTTTGTGGTTTCACCATGCTATTTTTATGAAAATAATCATGGACATCATAAATGTTACCACAGTTTTTCATTAGAGATGAAAATATGCATCTCAATTTTAACTGTATTTCATTAAAATAAATACATTTTCTATGATTCACAAGGTTAAATAAATTTATTTGTTTTATTATTTATTTCACTATTTTGGAAATCCCTTTGTCAATATCTGAGACAATTTAATTTGTCAATGAATTCTGTCTTGCTTTAATTGTTATTAAATTTAATTAATATAAGCCACTATGCTTAAAACAATGCTTTTTCTTCAATTGTTCTCTAGGTGGAAAACTCTGTGAATTACAAAAAATTTGATTTATTAATACCTGTAACTCTAGCTTATCTTGACATTTTAACTACTTCGATTGGGATTACACAATGTTGTAATAGTCACGCAATCATAATTTGGTATTTAAATTTACTCCTTCTAAAACAACCATCAGATTAAAGTTACTGGAAACTAAAAAAAAACGCCTACTTTATCTTGAAACACTAAGAAAATTGTTTTCTGTGCTGTTCGGGCCAACTACAAAAAGCCAAGGCATCGTCGTCGTCGTCGCACTCATTGATCTTAACTTTGAAAACAGTAGCTACTACGACTGTGGAGTGGCTGTGGATGTGGCCGGAGCAGTATGGCTTTGGGGATATGGGGTCTCGAGACTTCAAGCGAAGTGGGGCGCACGAAGGCGGCCTGCACTTTGTTGTTGCTGTTGCTGCGGCTGCTGCTGCTGATGAGGGTTTTTGGTTAGCTACACTTAAAGTCCCATTCCCCGCTCATTTCTGTCGGCCTTTTTGTTTTCGCTCCCCTTACCGCCACTGCTTATTTTTCTTCTGCTGTTTTTGTTTTCCGCCTTTTTCGCTGTGGCTTTTTTTTTGCGCACGCAGGCAAATTTAATCTCGTTTTTTATGCCCTTGCAAAGGATTTTCAAATTGATTTCGAGCGACTATGCTAATGTCGTAAATAAAGCTGTAGAGGGTTTTGGTTTCGGTTTCGATTCTCGGCCGAGTTCTCACAACTTGGCCAGCGGCTTAAGTCGGAAGCTATTAATTTTAATTGACGTGCTACTGTATTTTTCGGTTTTCTGTTTAAGCGGCAACTTTTGATATTCCCCCTACGGTTATATATATATATATTTTTTTATTAATATTTCACCGATCGCGCAGCAGCTTCATATTTCATTTCTGGGGCTACCGAATTGCGGCGTTGATAACTCACCTGCTGGGTCTTAATCCATTTATTTGTAGCTTCTCCGGCTTTAGCTGCCATTTTAGCGATTTGTTCGGCTGGCATTTTCGATTCGATTACACATAGATATATATGAATTTAAAATAGATTTTTGATGTTTGTTTTTTTTTTTGTTGTTCAGCACAGTTCTGAGCACTTTTTGGGGCGCTGCATTGTATGCGATCGGTATTGATTTTTGTTTTGGCACTTATCAACTTGTTGTGATTTCAATTTTGTTTTGGGCGGGGGTTCTTTTTTTGTTGTTGTCGTTTAACTGTGAAGTAATGTATTTGATTCGTTTCGATTTGTATTTTTTTTCTGGTGATATGTGATAGCACTGCGATGTTTAGTTATCTGCGGCACGGCACACGCGCTCAAAACGTCCGCTCACGTCGAATGCTCGCCACGGAATGAAATTTTACCTTGCGCTGGTTGATGCCGAAGTTGCTGCTACCGCCGCTGCCGCTGCCGCCGACGCAGTCGCTGCCGCTGCCGCCGACGCAGTCGCTGCCGCTGCCTCAGTCGACGCCGGCGCTCTCTCACGTGCTCACCGCTCACTCTCCGCATATCTCCCGCTCTTTCTCTCTCTCGGCGGCGGCATTTGTCCGCCTGCGTTTTTGTTTAGAATACGCAAAATAATAACAAAACTAATAATAAACTGCAGGGCAATGCAATTTGAGAGAATCGCGGGCAGCGCTGCGACTGCGACGGCGACTGAGAAAGCGGCAGTGGCAGCGGCAGAGGCAGCGAGTGCAGCTACTTGTTAATAACCGTATTAAGGTTCCCTTTGATCTGCTTAATCGAAAGCCGAAATGGATTTCGCTTCTGGTCTTCTCGCCCAAGTTCGTTGCCTAAGTCTTTTGTTTTTTTTTCTTTCCTTCGTGCCTTCTTTTTTCGGTTAATGCTAATTTAGTGTAATTGCAATTATAATGCAAACTCTCATAATTCGCTCATCGCATTTATTTTTGCTGTTTTGTTTCTTTCGACTGTGTTTTATGGCTTTTGGGCATTTCGTGGAATCGGACCAATTTTTGATATGGCCCTGAACATTCGCGATGCGGCTTAAAGACATAAAATCTCAATAAAGTAGCCAGCGACTTTTATCTAATTGTAAATCTAAAGGCAAATTCCCTCGTTTTTAACCGACCCTTTGCCGACACGCTTTTCTATATACGAAACTCAATTAATGACAGATCATTAAAAATTCTTTTTTTCGGGGCCTTTTGATTTTTGCCGTTTGGCCCCGAAATCGAAATACTTTTACGATTTTCCCCCCACCCGTTGCCATAAAATTGATTCGTTTTTGCAAAAATTTTATCACTGACCAAATTGATTTTAGCTGTTCGCCGCCGCAGCGCTGCTCCAATAGAAATTGTAGGCCTAAAGGAAGAAGGCAAAAAGTAAAAAAAATATAAAGAAGAAAAATGTCTGAAAAAATGATGTCCAACTGGCGGCGGCGGCGGCGAACTTAAAAGTGGCAAATAGAAAGGAGCCGACTTGGTCGACCAGTCCGATTCAGTGCAATATTTATGCATTAAGTACACGCAATTATTATGCGACAACGACGACGACGGCGGCAGCATCTCAGGAGATTATTGATGCTCGCATTGCTCATACGCAGCGTGGCCACTGACCACTGGCCACTAGCCACTAGGCGCTTGTGCCGTTCGGGCAATTAAAACGCCGCCAGCACGCGATGAATGCCATAAACATTTGACGCGCAATCAGCATCAGCAGCAGTTGCAGCAGCAGTTGCAGTTGCAACTCCTTTGGCTGTTCAGCAATTACAGCAGCACAAATTCAAAGACGCTTCAGCGGCATAATGATGATATTGCCATCGGGATGATGATCTGGCTGTGATGAGTGCTACTTTTACTGCACAGTAAAATATTTAGGTGCTATGAACATTTATATTAACCACAAATTAGTACATGTTAAAAATCAATTTAATATTTTTAATGCTAAGAGAAAGAAACCTTGACTTTAAAAACCCAAAAATATTATTTGGAATGTTTTTCTTCGGCGAATTTCCTTCAGAGTAAGTCCTTTTCTATTATCTAAGAAAAGCAATTTAGTACCAAGAGAATTTAGTGTACATTTGTGTTAACAATATCTTTATTTGTAATGCCCATCTCTTTTTGTTAACTTAAAATAATAATTTGCTTCACCAGACAAAAATATGACATTCCCATCGTAATATTACTCTGGCATTAAAAAGTTCTACTTTTACTACACTGAAAGATGTTGACCAAAAAATAATCATTTAAATTTATTTATCAGTTATCAGAACTCAAATTATAAATGCAATGTTGATTAGATCAAAGATGAAGATGAAACTTACTTTGAAATACAATAACGACAAAAAAAGAGTAAAGTTGATAATGAGTCGGGGAAATATCTATAATTTTTTGAGCAAAAATTATACAACATGAGAGTGCTCCAGATTTTGTTGCGGTGTGGGGCCAGGAAAACAGATCATGGGCGGACGGACATGGACATTCATTTCGCTTAAGCGCACTAACCGGGTAAACTGGTCGGTGTCTTTGATCCTGGCATTCTATTGTTCCGTTTCAAAGGCCACTATTATGTAAACAATCGGCGGCTTTGATCTTGGCCGCATCAAAGTGTTGCCGCCGCGTTTCATCTTTAGCCGCATGCAGCAAATAGCGAGCGGCAAGCAACAGCGCCAGCTGATGCCCCAGCCAAAAGATGATGATGATGATGATGATGAGGACGGCGAAGAAGCGACAGCCCCTGCGTAGTTAAAGCTGCCGATCTGCCGATCTGCCGCTGCCACCACTGAGCTATATAATTTCGCATAGGCCGAACTGATCACCCGGAGCACCTGGAAAACGGAGCTACAGCCTCATAACTTTGGGCATAATCTTCAAAGCGCCGACATCGCTTGACATCAATCGAGTCGGCCATCAGGCCGCTCTAATCCCAACAGATGGGCTCCCGGATCGCTGGTCGCCGATAAGCAATTAAAATTTCATTTAATGCACAACTTTATTATCGTTTCGGCCCAGTCACGGTCACGTCCTTTGATCCTTTCCCAGATTCCAGCCAGTACAGGACATGGACACTAACACGGACACGGACACCATCGCGCAACTGTTCCCGTTTTGCGAAATGCAATGCGGCATCGCACTGTGGGAAACGCAACAGGTGCGCCAAGGATCCAGGCATCCAATCTCCAGTCTGCAGCATTACTCATCAGCCGGCATTGCGGCCATCTCTAATTTCATCGGCCAGCGATCATAATTGCATTGCTCTCGATTGATGGAGGTCAGTGATGTTGCACCAGGCGATTTAGGGAAATTCTTTGCGGAATTTCCATAAAGAAACCATATTGTGTTATTAAAATGTGGAAAATTGGGTATTTGCTTCCAAACCCTAATTAATTATAAAGATTTTTAAAAAATAACCCCTTAATTATTTTCATCGTTTCGGTAAGTAAAACAATGATTTTTGAGGACTAATTTTTCATAAGTATTTTTCATTCCGGTTAAGAAATAATATTTTATTAAGATTAACAAAATTTAGTGGTAGTTTTTTTTTTACTTTTGGAAACCAAATATTATATTTACTACAGTAATTATTGTAGTTTACTCCAGGTTATTTATTTTTCATGCCAACTGTATAAATAATATTTGTAAAATACACCATTAAAACATTACTAAGTTCATTTCGTAATATAATATATTGGGGTGGATAATAATCCCGATAAGTATGCAGTAAAGTTGACTTTCGCTGGCTTGTTTGTGTTTATTTTCAATGTGTTTCAGGATTCTTAAACTTCCCCACAGCAGAAGCCAAATGGTCAGCTCTGGCTGCTTCCCAAAGGCCGCCAAAGTTGGCTGAAATGCTTTGAACACTTGGCCAAGGGGCAACAACTTTCTGGTGGCACTCTCTCGCATCGCACGCTCCACGTTCCACGCTCGTCGTGTTGTTGTTGCTGCTGCTGCTGCGGTCCACTTTGCGGCAAATTGCTGTTGCATGGCGATGATGTTGTTGTTGGCCGGCAACGAAGACGTAGACAAAGTCGGCGAAACAACAAAGCGAAAATCTCTGCATTGGGGCACACGCCATTCCCAACATCAAAGCGTGCCGCCAGCACAGATTTTCTGAGGTTACCGTCGCCACCGTTGGGGCAGCAGCAACATCACCAGCGGCAACATCAGCAGCAGCAGCAACATCAGCAGCAGCAGCAGCAACGCATGCGCAGAACTCCGCTCATTTGTGTTTTGAGGCGCATTGTGCGACGCGCGTGTTAAGTGGACTGTGAATATGAAAGGAAAGTTCCCAAAGGTACCAAATAAAAACAGTAAAGAACCGACTATGAGGTACCCCCTATTTACCATTTTTATTATGAACTATGTTGCATAACTGTATAAGGGAATTATCCGATTTTGACAAAGGTTTCTGACTTAACAAGTCTATTTCGACAAGAAATTGTAGTTTCCACATAAATATACTTGTTTAGGATCTGGTCAAAGCATAAAGGTTAGCTTCTTAGCTTTTTAAAGGTATATATCTTTCTTAGTTTCAGAGATCTCTGCAATCAAATGGATAAATGAGAAGGAGGAAATATTTAAACTATACTTATATATAGAACTATACTTATGTATATAACATACTATCTATGACTGCAATATACCCTTTTAATCTACAAGTAACGGGTATAAACATTTCTTGCCGCCAAATAAATGCAAGTCCAGCTCCTGCTCCTCTTTCCCCGACTCCTTTTCCCAGCATCCCCTCGTTCTTAATCAAGAAACGCATCGGCGGCGTATCACGGTAGCACTTTAAACGTAAATTGCTTTTAACATGGTTATTACAATCTTAACGTTTGTCTGGGCCACGAAGCACTTCAGGCAGCAGCGGCAGTGGCAGTGGCTGCGGCAACCTGTTGTTGATGTTGTTAGTGCTGCCGCTGCTGTTTGGTACAGGCAGCAATAGAATTCCGGCTAAGATCGCTCCGTTGATCTTTGTTTGTGTCTCTGGGACTGCAAATGCTGCTGCGACTGCCACTGCGACTGCGACTCGAACTGGAACTGGGTCTGGATTATGCTTTCGGAAGATTGTTGTAATTATGATTGCGCGATTATGTTTGGATTGAATTAGTTGTCGGTAGATTTTGCTTTAATCGAAATTGTTTTGTTCTTATATCCACCGCTCGCTCACGGTTTCCGTTTCTGTGGCTTCCATTGCTAATTAGTCGAGCGCACGGCAAGATCAAAAACGACATAAATTCGTACACAGAAAAAAGTTTTAAATTTGGGTTTCCAAAAAAACAACGTAATTTTACTTATCTCGCTTAAATGTTCATCCTTATATCTTAGCTTAATAATTTCAATTATTTTATTTAAGACAGTCAAAAAAGTGTAGTTGAGG